CATGTGGTGAATGTGCTTCACTGTGGATTAAAGGCAGGAGATGTGTTTCTATAGGCTGTGGAAACATATGGTAATATCAACGACCGTGTATGTCAAAAACAACCAGATGACGGAGATTTAAGTCATGCCAAAAAGTCAGCAAATCAAATTCTGTGCAGTCCCTCCTCAGAAACATTCAATACAAAGCGTGTAAGTGGTCCCTGCCTAGTGAAGGGTCACATTTCTGTTGATGTGGCGGTACAGTTGTGGCTCAGGGAGCATCAGAGGTCATGCACGGTTTTCATCAACTGCTGCGCTGACTGACATTGAGAAAAGAGCTTTTACTGCAAACGTGGGCGAGAGCTATAACTGTATAGAGTAATTGCTTTATTTGTTATAGGAGATACGGTAGTTGTTGCTACCAGATATGATGAAAATAAATATCAGTGATTTTTCTACGGGCATTGACCTGCTTCTCTGATTTAGAGAGATATATTTATTTTGTCAAAAAACAATGCAACTGCACCATAATGAGTTATTTTCAGTTGTATTCAAAAAGATTCTGATGTTACTGCACAGGTTTATTTTAATCAACATGCCAGAAGTATTTAGACTGGGGTCAAGACTGCAGATATGTCTTGTTTTGGAAGCAGTTTACAAACCAGTGAGATGCAGCTCCTCCATTATAACCACAGCAAAAGTGATACACTTGTATTATCAGAGAACATTCAGCTGTATTAAAAGCTGTGGAAAGAGCTTCCTGTTGCTGTTGATTGACTAAAGCTTTTATAATATCCTCAAGTTCTCTTTTTATTGCCACTTTGTCAGTCCTGCTGGTACAAAATGATCCTTTTATGATCGTATTAGGGTTTTGTTAAAGCCAGACTTGTAAGACTACCCTGCGAAAAACATTATGGTAGTGATCAATAATTTATGTGTTTTTATTTTTAGCAATTTTAGGATCTAAAAGTAGCTTCACTGATTCACTGCTTTTGCATTAGGAGGATATGCAATGACATTTAAGTTGTCAGGCTAATACATGCAGCAGAAAACAGAGAGAACAGACACTGAGTTCCCTGTAATAGATTGAGCTGAAACTTGCGGGGGCAGGGACATAACACAACAGTTCCTCTTCACTTTGTACTTCTATATGAGGTATATCACACACTTCTCTGTAGAGAACAAAGTCAGAGGACAGTTCCTATTCAAAGAAAGGTCAGTGATCTGGTGTTCATGTGGATTGTAAAGTCTAAAGATCTGATTGAAGAAGTGACATATCAATAATGGTAAGACATTTTTTTTAATCGTTTGGCTTCTTCACACAAAGTAACATTTTCTGTTTGTATGCTTCAATCAAAGGGAATGTGTGTATTACCATCACTGCAGTGGTAAACCTAGATGCAATATAACTGAATATCGCTGTAACAGATAAAACACAGATTATGTAAATGTGAATCATTCAAATGATATGGTGATCCAAGTTCTGTTTGGCTCCTCTTCAAAGCTGGTTATAATTCATTCCTAAAACCTAAAAAATATTCCACATCCGAAACACTTTTTTCTACAAGTATTGTATAATATGCCCGTTTCTCAGGCAGCACCGGGTTCTAAGGAGCTACAGCTCATTAAAAACTACAAGTTTAAAACTATTTTTCACATTAAGAGGTTTTTAGGCAGCCAATGGATATCACTGGTGTCGAACAGCTCACTGTGTCATATTAAGAAAGGTAGCTAATGTAATTTGGCTGTGTTATGGAGGTGCTGGCATACTGTTGGCTTTTCACAGAGATATGCTTCATGTGTATATTATGATTTAACACTAAAGGAACATGGTTAGTGCTGCATACACTGTGCTCTTGTTACACACTCTCAGAGTCTGCAGTCATGCTAGCAGCTCTGTGAAGCTAACCTCAGGCACAGCTGTGCGTTGAGCTAAATAACATCAGCATGCTCACAAAGGCAAAGCTAACATGCTGATGTAAAGCAGGTTGTAAAACATTCTCCCTGTTATACATTGTAGTTTAGCGCATTAGCATGCTAACATGAACTAATTAGACCATCCCTAGAGGCATGCTAGTAGCATAGCTAAAATATAACATGCTCCTGTGTTTCCTGGTGCCAGCTTTTTTATGTTTTTGTACAATTAAAATGTCCATCTGTTTATTTGATATGTGCCATCTTCTTTTGCCACTGCAGAACCAGTATATCTATGGAGACAACATGTTTACACTCTTACATTTTTGTAGTCAACCACCACCATGACAAGACTCAAATATTGTCTCTTGTCGTAGTTTATATATCATAAGTGTTTAGTTTGTTTCGTAGGGGGCTTATTTCCCCTCTTAGTGAGCTGTATAGCATTGTTCGACTGGATACCACATTGAAAAAGGGTGGCACTATACCGGTTGCTATGGAAACAAGGACTGATTTGTGGGTCGGGGGTTTAAAGAAGCTCAGGAGTATGTGATTTACACAAAGGGTGAGTGTTTCTTGAAGTTCAGTTTGCTGTTGGAACAACATGAAGGTAATCTGCGATTCCTTTCAAAAATACAAAATGCTGCCAATAATCAACACCCCCACTTAGAGACAGCGGAGAAAATGTATTGCTCGCACCTATTCAAGGAAAACATGCAGATGAGGCTGCACCTAATGATTGCAGAAAGGCGTAGACATATCATTTGTGCCCACATGGGTAATGATGTTTGAGAACATTCACAGGCTCCCAGGAATATACATGAGCGGGGTTTTAATGTCTGCATCCCTGGCACGATGCAGGAAGTGCACAGAGGTGTCTCTATGTGACCCAGTGTCTCAGATAGGGAACCAAACATGGCCCAAATCTGAAATCAGAAGCCTGGACTAGTAAGAGATGTTAAAAAACGGTTATCACATGTTGTATTGCTCTCCTTGTCCGTATCATTTCAAGCTAACAAAATAATGTGTTCGATCAGACACATGAATTCAAGTTTATTTGAGTAAAATGTCACACTTATTGTTGAATAATGTACAACCACGGCCTATTTGTAACACTATCTATCCATATGATCATTTGACACTCATTGTATCTGCTTGCACATAAACACGAGCTACAACAAATGGCAGTATTTGCACATTTTGACAGTTATGACAAAATAAAACTACACCTTCCCAGCCCCTACTTTGATTAAGCTTTCAGATCAAATACTTTACACCTAAAGCTTTTGAGAGATGGCTTTTTTATATTGGATTAAATATTACTTATAAACATGTTTTTGTTTGCCAATTCAATGGAGACTTTTAAATATTGATGTCACCCAGCTCAGGCTTTTGTTATAGAATAGAGCCGCAGAAGACAATGCTGAAAATGATCAAATGTTGCATAAGACAATATAGAACAATAACGTGTCACGAGCATAATAAAAGCCTTTCTTTTCCACTTTTTAAAAAGCAGACATTATCCACTTCAGAATAAAACAAAGACCTTAAAGAGACACTAGCAAAATCAGCAGCTAGAAACACTTCCTGCTAACCGCGTCAGAGATAGCTTCTACATTGTTACGGTACGAATGGTAACATAACTACGCACATAAGCATTTCATGATGCACTAATAGAACTACGCATAACCTTTGATACGTTACAGCCATATTTTGGTTGCAGCCTTATAGAAATGTCCGCTGAAAGATTGTCTAACTGCGAGGAACTAGAGAGATAGTGAGAGAAAGCAAGGAAGGGAAACAAAGATTTCTTGTGACTTCCTATAGTGTGTGTGTGTGTGTGTGTGTGTGTGTGTGTGTGTGTGTGTGTGTGTGTGTGTGTGTGTGTGTGTGTGTGTGTGTGTGTGTGTGTGTGTGTGTGTGTGTGTGTGTGTGGCCTAGCATTACTATACTTGTGGGGACCTAAATCTGTTTACACAGTCACGTGTGGGGACTCGCCTCCCTTATGGGGACGAATTGGAGGTCCCCATAAGGGGAATCATTAATTTTAGGGTGAAGACTTGGTTAGGGTAAGGGTTAGGCATGTGTTGGTTATGGTTAAGGTTAGGATAAGTCTCCAGGAAATGCATGTAAGTCAATGTAATGTCCCCTGAAGTGATGTATACATGGTATGTGTGTGTGTGTGTGTGTGTGTGTGTGTGTGTGTGTGTGTGTGTGTGTGTGTGTGTGTGTGTGTGTGTGTGTGTGAAGCTGTTCTGGTAGCAGCTCTGCACCACTGCACCTGCTCTTTAGGCTGCAAGCGTGAGAGAGGAGATGCTTGTGAAAACGCTAGACAGGAAGAAGCCTCGCACCTTATTGAGAGCGACACTCGGTTTCAACTTGAGTCGATTGACGTCAATTCTGTCAAAGACGGGGCCATCTGCAACGAATGATAACAGGAACCGGCTGAAACAAAACCCACTTTGTTGGTGAGTTGCAGTCAAAACAAGGAATTATAAACTATATTATTACTTAAAAAAGGGAAGTGCACCGGCTGATTCTCTTTAGTGGAAAACTGTTGCTTTAAATGACTCAAATGGATGAATAACAGCTGATCTGAAACACTGTTGGTATCAATACTTCTGTGGTTGTATTCTAACTACTGGTGCAGAAGTGAACTAACAAAGCTGCGTGTGTTGGTGTGAACGTATGTGAGGGTGAGAGACAGTTTACTTGTACTTCTCGAATGTTGGCAGAGTGTCAGAGGGCCAGGAAGCCCCCTCCCCAGTGTTAATACTGTGTCTATTGTGAGCGTGTGCAGGGCGACGTGGTGCGCATTAAGTCTGCTATGGAACTATTTTAGGAAACTTTTGGAACGGGAAGTGTGTAAAGGATAAATAATGAAAGGCATTACTCAACAATACAGCGCGTCAGACCTGCCTGCTGTTTTATTGTTAAAATTCAATACTTGTTTATCAAAGCCAATTCCCTCCTCTTAAGTGTTTCTGTGTGCTCACTCACAAGCTGCTCAGGGTTGAGTATAAAGCTGTCGATTAAGATAGTGGCAGTGTGGGTGAACAATTGGAAAGATGAAGTTTATAAAGATGTTTCTCTGTGTTTTTCTACAGGTGTCCAGTGCACCAAAAAGGAAGCAGCAGGCACTGAAGAGTGCAGTTGAATGGACGCCATGTTAGAAGGGTTAAAAGAGCCTCTCAGATACAGGACTCGGGCGATGACCCTCTCATCCTTACTCTGCAGGAATGAGAAACCCCCAACTGGAGCACCACCAAAACACGCATCTGCTCTCCAGGACAAGGACTGATTCATGGGTCGGGGTCTCGCAACAGACACAGCTGCATATTCTCCTCCATCTTCTTCATTTGCACTTAAGAACTTGTTGACTTGTCATTACAAAGTGTGGCCTCTCACAGACACGTCTATGAGAGCCCAAGGGTGGACAAAGTTAAAAGATTGTAATTTGTGCGAATGAGAAGCTTATTTGTGGGGGTTTTTAATCGCTCCTGTTTCCTACCAGCACCATAGAGAACAGGACAGACATTTTCCTGGAGGAGCAGAACGCTCTGGAGCAGAGTGGGGAAAACGATTGTTGGACTGGTGTGTATTTCTCAGGCACCATGCAGTCGGACGACCTCTTCATCCGCAAGTTCCGCCGGCAGAACATGCGGCCGCCTATTGCCACCGTCAACTTTGACCCCAAGCGTGAGGCAGGCGTAGTGGAGTGGCCTCCGAGGAGAGAGACAGATGTGGTTGACGGAGAAAGCCTGACTCCGAGCCGCGTGGGGCTGACGCTGAGGTCGGTGGGCCGGGGCCACATCATGCAGAGGAGTAACAGCGACGTGACCCTGGGAGACCTGGACTCCTCAGGGAAGGCAGGGGGGAAAGCAGCCCGGGTGGTTGGTGAGAAGGTGGGTGCGGGGGCTCAGGGGGATGGGGGGGGTGCTGCTACACAGGGAATACGGCAGCCTGTCCTCACTGGAGAGACAGACTCAAATTCAGGAGCTGAGCACAGACGATCAGGGGCCCCTGAGTCCGAACGCCCTGCGCTTCAAAGACCCTTTCCTGCTTTTGGGACTGCAGGGCAACCCTCCAGAGCCGGATGGATTCTTTCGGGGTCTGATTGGGTCTTTAGGGGACTCCCCAAAACCCCCCAAGCCTCCAAAGCCTGAAGGTCTAAGTAAGAAGGCCAAACCCCCCCATATCCCTCAACCGGGTCCCTATGATAACATCGGGGGCGGGGCCTGGGTGAGGAACTTCGCCCACTATGATGTCCAAAGCATCCTGTTTGACCTCACCGAGGCGGCCATGAACAGAGACAGCATCGGACGGAAAAAGAACATCACCTCTGGGGCTTCGGCCGCCTCCCAGCTGCGCCCCCTGTCCCAGGCCAACCCGTCCTCGCCCGCGCAGGGAGGGGGGGGCAACGGGGTCAACGCAGACGACCCCGAGCAGTCGCTGCTGCTGGACGAAGGCGACGGCAACGATAACGAACTCCTGCTCAGCTGCCCACACTTCCGCAATGAGACGGGCGGAGAGGAGCAGGTGGGGCTGGACCAGTCCCAGGAGAGGAGGGGGCTCTGCCTGAGGACCCCCAACGATGCAGTGTCGGTCCTGGAGGAGCCCAGAGAGAGTCACGTGCAACAGCAGGGGAAGAGCAACTACTTTATCGAGCACGCAGACCTGGGAGCCCATTACTATCGCAAATACTTCTACATGAAAGGTATGTGTAGTCAAGTTCAATTCCTGCTGGTTCTGTTTAGGCAATGGAAAGGAGGAATACTACTTAATATCTATCTAGCTTAACAAAAGTGGAAGTACACAGAGGGTGCTGTTATCATTTTCAACCTCTGAACAATTATAAGCATTTTTTTTAGCAAATTTTCAAAAGAAAAATTACCATTTATGGACTGTGTAAAAAATAGAAGGAGAGAGGAAGAGGAAGTCAGAAAAAGGACATGGTTATAAATATAAATATTGTTTTTTAGATACATCCGTAATTTCCCAGTACTATTTTGCATACAGTATTATAATTGATATGTTTTAAAATCCATCGTATCTATCAAAAACATCTTCTGTTATCACATTGTTTTTATGTTGGCTTTCATTATTGTTATAATGGTGTTGAATATTGTTTGTTTATTTCCTTGTTGTTTTCTTTCGTTTGTAATTGACTCGAATAGTAAGTGGGGATTGCCCCTCAATATTCTCCTGAGTGTAAATAAAGGAATTAATGAAACTTGAGTGAATATATTAGGGGGGAGGGTGTTGCCATTAAGAGGAGGGTTCAAAGAAAATATTCATAACTCTGGGGAGGATCTAAATAAAATATAAGATTCAACCCCCCTCTGCACTTTAGTAATTGTCAAACAGTGCTCGATGAGCTTCAGACCTACACAGTTGTGTTTATACATGTATGACTGTATTGTGATCCACAGAACACCAGAATTTCTTCGGGATGGACGATCGCCTCGGTCCAGTGGCCATCAGTTTCCGTCGGGAGGAGAAAGATGGATCCAGCGGAGCTCAATACAATTACCGAATCATCTTTCGCACCACAGAGGTAAGCCGGCGCTCTTCTGTCCTCAGAGTTCAGTGTGTGTTAAATCGATCTGACTGCATGTGGCGACTCTCCTCAGATGAAGACGCTGCGAGGATCCATCTTCGAGGAATCCGTGCCTTCTGCCGCGCGTCACACCACCCCTCGGGGCTTGTCTCCAAAGAGGCTTCTGGAGTTCATCATGCCTGAACTGAACCTGCACTGCCTTCGCTTGGCCTCAAACTCCCCCAAGGTCCGGGACACCCTGCTGAAGCTGGACGAACAGGGGGTGAGTACGGATGCGTCTGCTGACACCAAAGATGTGTCAGACAGAGAGCTTTTCAGGACATCGGATAGTGACAAAGGTCAGACTCAAACATTATTTTGGACAAGCTGACACTCTGAAGTCTCCACAGTGATCAATCAGGTGTGTTAAGATTTAAAAGTGCAGTTATTATATCCATACATTTTTCGCTTAACTGCTTTTGCCACCCTGATAACTCTCTTTTCTGTTTTGAGTTTTCAACATTAAAACGTTTTCCATTATATAAAGGCCTCAATGTGTTTGTGTAGTCGCACACAGAACAAATCAATTTAATTTAGTTTCTTAAGGTTAAATCCGTCCGGATTTTTCAATTCGACAGTTTTTCTGTTGTTCTCAATTTACATGTAAGACAGACTAATTAAATACATACACTACTTTCTGTTGATCACATAGTCATTTAAGTCCTATACCACTAAAATACCATTTATTTTGTATATCCCTTTAAATTGAATTGCAGAATTAACTGTTTTAATCCACACCTGCTTCACCTTTCAGGTTAACTACTTCACAATAGGACTCAACAACTTCTTTAAATAAACTCTCAGTTTGAAGCATTTTGCAGCCTGAACTCTGGCATTAATATGAAAGGGGATTAATAGTTTTATTAGTGTACTGATGAATTTTTTGAATTGCCTTGTGTTGAAAAGTGCTATATAAATAAACTTGCCTTGCCTTGCCTTGCCTTACTGTGTGCTGTGCAGGAGTATAACATTTCACAGCGTAAATTCTTCCAGACAAGCTTTCTGAGCTGCGAGTAAGATGTCAAATGATCAATATGCCCTATCAGATGAAAGGGTAATTATAAACTCTTCTTCTCTGTCTCCTTCACGCAGCTGAATTTCCAGCGTAAGGTCGGGGTGATGTACTGCCGCGCGGGGCAGAGCTCGGAGGAAGACATGTACAACAACGAGAGCTCGGGCCCGGCGTTCGAAGAGTTCCTGGATCTGCTCGGGGAGCGCGTGCGGCTGAAGGGCTGGGAGAAATACCGAGCTCAACTGGACAACAAGAGTGAGCTGATGAAAACAATTCACACCACACACCCACGCGTATTGGCTGTATTGGCGTATTGGATTATTATCCGAAGGGCATCAGTGCCCCGCTGAAAGCATGAGATAACCCCTATCTAGACACATGTAATCTGAGTAATGCCTGCAAAACAGCATAGTCACTGCTGCTATCTCAGAGCTGTTCTCCACTCAGTGAACAGCAAATGAGACGGAGAGTTTGACTCGTTCAATCAGAGACGCCGACTGATTTTTACCAGTGTCTGTTTCGATGTGTGATGTGTTTTTCTGTGTGTGTTGTCCTTGTGTAGCGGACTCAACTGGAACACACTCCCTCTACACGCGCTACCAGGACTATGAGATTATGTTCCATGTGTCCACGATGCTGCCCTACACATCCAACAACACACAACAGGTACAAAATAAAATACCTTTCACCAGAGATTTGATGTTGTATGATTCCCTTCTCCTGCCTTTTGTGTATCTTCAATACCAATTTCATCGCTTAGAATTCACGGAATTACTTTTGCTTCACTGCTTATTCGTAAAAATAAAAAATCAGTCTTGGTATAACCGTTCAATACCAATCTCTGTTCACACTGTCATGTTCTTCTTAAGTCTTTATTCTGTAAAAAGCCTGACATAAAAATCCTGCCCCCCAGTGTTCACTCCCACCAGGAAGGGTTTCGCAGTCGCCTCTCAGGAAGCTGATGTTCTTTCTTCATGTGCGGTTTAAGGCTGTTGGATGTAATTACAAAAGACACTGGACATGACATGCTTATATAGATTAAAGGTTTAAATAAAACAAATCATGGTAGTGACAAAGCCCTGAGATTACTCCACAAACTCCGCTTTTAGGTAAGGTTTTTTTTCAGTTCTATTTTTTACTTTGTCATACAAAATGTGCAATAAAGGAACTTGTAGTTACAAAATTCTGTATTTTTCTAAGTAAGTATGGTTTTGATTTGAGTTGTGATCACATGTTCATGCAAGCCTATTCAAAAAATATTGAAACAACTATTTTCCCAATCAAGCCTTCATTTAAGCATTGATTTGTTTGATTTTTGTGTATGGATGCACATTAGTGCTAGTTAATGCTCATGAATGCCTTTGCAACTACTCCGCCTGGGGTCTGTATTCAAGGGAAATCCATAAACAATTGTTTACAATACATACAGTAAATACTGTTGCTACAACATCAACACTGCATCCAACAATACATTATTACATTACATGTTACTTGTTAGACACTTTTATCCAAAGCGACTTACATACTCAGTACTGTGGGCAATCCCCACAGGAGCAATTTGGGGTGAAGTGTCTCAGGGACACAACGACATGCTGACTGCAGTGGGGTTTGAACCTGTGACCCCCTGATCCGAACACCAACGCACAACCCACTGCACCACACGCCTCCATTATATCTAAACATTACATTTAACCATTTAAATTGCTTGATAAATACATGATATCCAATAATAATGTAATTGTTGTTGCACACCAGAATTAAAGAAATGAAAGAAGATCTGCTTCCCCTACTAAGATTATCTCTTAAAATCCTTCTTAAAATCTTGTTTTGCTGAATCTCGATAATATGTCAAACTGTTTCACCTTTATATGGCTCATCTCACTTTACTATAACGACTCTTTCTTAATGGTTTAATAACTGTCTCTCTCTCTCTCTCTGTCTTTTTACTCTCCAGTTGCTGAGGAAGCGACACGTCGGTAACGACATCGTGACGATCGTGTTCCAGGAGCCGGGTGCGCTGCCGTTCACGCCAAAGACCATCCGCTCCCATTTCCAACATGTCTTTATCATCATCCAGGTTCATGAGCCGTGCACTGACAACACCTATTACAGGTCTGTTAAAAACACCCTTTCACACCCCAAAAATACCATCCCCTCGTATTACAGGCTGAAATATCAATCAAATCATTTCCAGCCAGTGGGCTCCAACGTTGGGATTGTTGTTACTATGTGCTCTCACGTGGAATACATTATAGTACTTGTGGGGCAGCTCAGGACACAGATCTGTGCTCCCCTGCAGCAGGTTCACTGTAAATGTTTGTAATTCTAGAGAGCACTTCACACCAGTGAAGCCCTCCAGAACAAGACGTAGATCGATCTGGCTGCACCCAGTCTCTTACTCTGTCACTCCTCTTTCCCTCTCTCCCTCTCTCCCTCTCAGGGTGGCTGTGACACGCTCTAAAGACATGCCGTTATTTGGCCCCCTGTTCCCTAAGGGCGCGCGCTTCCCTCGCTCCTCCGCCTTCAGAGACTTCCTCCTGGCGAAGGCGGTGAACGCTGAAAACGCTGCAGAGAAGTCGGAGAAGTTCCGCTCCATGGCCACCCGCACGCGGCAGGAGTACCTGAAGGACCTTGCAGAAAACTATGTGACCACCACGCCCATCGACTCCTCCACCAAGTTCCCCCTGCTCTCTCTGGGAGGAAAGCGCAAGGACAAGCTGAAGGGCGCCAAAGGGGCGGAGTTGCACAGTGCGGGGGCGCTGGTGTGGGCCGTGATGGTCAACAGCGGGTATGAAACGGAGGCGGGGGAGCACAGACTGCCCTGTCTGCTCGGGGTCTCCGCTGAGTCCGTGGTGCTCATAGAGAGGTGCACGCGCAGGGTGGTGTTCAACTGCTCCTGTCGAGATGTCATCGGCTGGAAGGCGGTGACAGAGACTAAGCAGGGGGGGCCCTACTTGGATATCTTCTACGAGCGTGGGGAGTCAGTGTCAATCAGTGTGATGGAGAGCCAGGCGGAGGACATACGAGAGGTGGTGCAGAGGCTAGAGGTGGGTGATTGTGCTCGGATTTTAAAGTCTCCTATCATGCAAAATGCACTTTTTGATGTCTTTTATACATAAATATGTGTCCCCGGTGCGCCAGTGAACTCACACAGCGTCGGAAAACAAAACCCTCTCTCTTTTCCTCCCTACCCAAATCTCAAAAACCGGGGGAAAAACAGAGCTGATCCAGATTTGCGTCCGATATGATGTCATATCGGAAATGTGGGCTGGCTTTACGCCCATGGCCCTATCAGAAACAAAGCGCGATGTGCTTTGGACGTAATATGGTCTTTGTTTACATTAGCAAGCATCGCTAACACTCAGAGCTAACACTGGTGAGTGTATGTGTAAAAAAGCAGGATATACCTTGTGGTAAACCCGCTCCGTACTGTTTCAGAAATAATCCTTGATGTGGTTGTGAACATGATATGGTGTTTCATCACGGCAGCATTTAGCTGTGTATCTCGGTAGAATTCTGAGCAGGCATAAGCCCCCCCCTCTTTTTTTGTTTTTTTAAAGCCAAGGACCCAGAATCAGCACTTCTCTAACAGGGCTGAAATTGAGCGATATGAGGCATGGCTAGAATGGGTGATCTGTTTGGTATTTTGAGCAAAACACATCATAGACATGTTTTTTAAATATTTGTATATATCTGAGGCCCATAATATATGCCTAAAAATATCATGATAGGAGATCTTTAATGTTTTGCTTTAAAAGGTATACATATTTCTGATTCCTTTCCCTTCTTATGCTCATCCTCAGCTGGTGACGCGGGGCTGTGAGGCTCTTGAAGTCACGCCCCTGCGCGACGGGGTGGGGCAGCCCGGCTTCCTGATGAACGAGGAGGGCTTTGTGACGGAGCTGCAGCGGTTCTGTTACGCTGAGAGCGGAGGCCTGCAGCTGTGGGCCCGCGTGGTGCGGCTCTGCGGACACTCGCTGGTTCACCTGAGCCCCGACGAGAGGGTCCGGCTGCTCCGCACGGCACACAAGATCCACATCACCGTCATCCCTCCGGACGAGAACGGCAAGCCTCGCAGGTGGGTGAGGCTGAGGAGGATAAGGAGAGGGAACTCTAACAAGGGCACTTTGGGGTCAACAGACACAGAGAGTATACGATACGTTAATACTTTATTTGTCAGATTAAGTCTGACATTTGACTTGCATCACAGCAGCTCCATGTGTGACATCAATATAGACAGATATCAAGACACAATACATGAAAAACAAACAACAAAACATTCAACATAACAGCACAATCACTGAGAGAAACCATTTTCAATGAGCCTTTAGCGTGCATTTGATCTGTGTTTAGAACACTACAAAAACTCGAAATCTTGCCAAGTATATTTGTCTAATATCTAGTCAGAATATCTCTTTACACCTGATATAAGACATAATAACTTCAGAAGTAACACTGCAGTGAGATGTCGGGTCTTTTTTTTAGACAATGCATCATCTTGCTAAGTCGTATCTCAGATGAAACACATATTTGTTTACATATTTATCAGAAAATCACCAACTAACATCAGAAAACTTTTGAGCATTTGCGGCTCATATTGTAACAACATTTCCTGATTCTGGTCAAATATAGTTCAAAATGAGTTCTCCCAGCTAATTACAAGATCTGGTTTATCTAAATATCCCGTCTTATTTCAAGAACTCTTACCAGGCAAATGTTCTCTTGTTCCATTGGCAGATTTCTGTACCTATTTAAAGTGAAAACAGCTTGTTTTCATTATTGTTTAACTTGTTTTTGGAGCAGCATTTTTTCCAATGAAAGGGCTCATATACAGAATGCTCCAGAAAGCAGAGAGTAGTCCCAGAGAAAGGGTGAGAGAGAGGTAGACAAATAAGGAGGAGGGGGTTAGTAGTAAGTTCAGTAAAACAGGAGAGGTGTCACTCCAGGGTCTGCTACTGATGACGGCCGCAGTCACTGTCACACCAGCTGTCTGACAACCAATCAATCCCTCTAATGATCCTTAATCACACTGGCACAGTCGGTCCCAATGTAAACAGCACACTTGTCATTAAACTGAAATCAGAGGGAGGGCCAGAAGCAGCTGTGGACAGAGCTCTTTCGATCCTCAGAGGATCCCACCGCTTCATTTATATTTGAGTCCTGATATGCTTGTTCCAATCCAATCCACTTTATTTATATAGCACATATTAAAAACAGAGGGTTTTACCGAAGTGCTTCACAGCAGAGATAACATTATAATAAAATATAATATTACAATAATAGATAAAAGGCACATATAAGGGCTATGGCCAGACAAATAAAACATAGCTCAAACTGACTCGAAAGCGAGGGGAAAGAGGTGGGTCTTCAGGCGGGACTTAAACGTTTGAAACGTTTGTTCTGTAACAACAAAGCACAAAAACGTCTTGATAGGAAGTGTTGCTCTGTAATCTCCGGGGGAATAAAATAGACAAATATAGCACATTTCTCCACGCCTCGTATTTGTTTTTGGCTTCTTGATGACTAAACAGTGCGATGAGAAGCTGGACGAGGCGTGATGACTCTCTTCTTACTCAGCTTGTTGTTGTTTTTGTGTGCTGCAGAAGTTTCTCAGAGCTCTACCAGAAGGCCATCAAGGACGCAGAGTGTAAACCCGGAGAGGATCAGTCCGGAGAGGCCTGGGTGCTGGACGAGAGGGAAGAGGAAGAGGTGGAAGCAGAGGGGGAGGAGGAGGAAGAGGAGGTGGAGGAGGTGGAGGAAGTGAAGGAGGTGGAGGAAGTGAAAGAGGATACGCTGAAGGCGAGTGAGGTCATTGAAGCGGATGTGACAGAGGTGAAGGTGAAGGACGAAGAGGACGTAGGGCGGTCGTGTGATGAAGGGCAAAGTGAGAGAAGTCCCGGGTCGCTCCTCACACCCCCCAGCCTCCCTCTGTTACGAGCCACTTCCCTGCAGGAGCAGCCGGCCAATCAGAGCCAAGAAGGAGGCGTCTCACATCTCACACGCAGCTGCTCTTACACCGACACGTGTGATGGGTATGTGGGGGAGAGATAATAGACATAACAAGATGTTTTAATCTTTGTAGTTACACTGTGAGACCATCAGGTAAAAGTGCTTTTAAATCGTCAAGCATGGCCGAACATATCCTGAAGCCGAGGCTGACTCATCACAATTTAATCTCACTCGGTGCGTCACTTTTCCTGCGAAGGACAAGGCATGGAGAAAGGACACAGAGGGTGTGTGTCACTGAGAATGATGCTTTACATTAGAAAAAGTCGCTTGACTTATAATGTTTCCATTGAAATGTTGTTTTGTAACTTTTTAACGGTTGCACAGTATAAATCCAGCTCATCAGTATCGATACTATTTTTTGTCCAGACCATTAATGGTTGGCAGCAATACAAGGGAACATAACAAAACAAACACATTTCTATTAACCAATCACTTCAATTATGGTCTCTGTTCACTATTTCCTCATCCTCTTAAGTATCAAGGTCCTTATCTGGCAGTCGAACTGAAGTTTGCCAAGGATTAAGCTCCAAGAAGAGAGATCAAGTCATATTTTAAAACAGCTTAACATATTTGTATCTGCCGGATAAATCATTTCTCATCAGGTCTCACCCTGAAAAAGCCACAAGAGATTGAAGAGGAAATTGTGCATAAAGGAAATATTCATGAGGATAATATTGAAATGCTTTTTCCCGCAGAACAGAATATTTTGACCCCAAACTGCATCAGATATGGTATTTTTGATGGATGAGTTTGTGAGTGTAGTGTAGCAAACATCAATCAGGCCTAAATCTAAGCCATGCCGGGGATTACGAAGTGCTCCAGTTTCTGCTTTGTCCTCTGGATTGGATGAAAACAAAATGTCACGAAGCATAAACAGCAGATTTGCTTTGTGTTTTTTTCCCCCATCACCACCTTGTCAGGCACGTGTACGACAACGTGGGGCTGAAGGGGGAACGCCACATCTACGAGAACGACGGCGAGCTGAGGGACGCCATGCCTGATCTGATCCTGGCTGTCAAACCCAAAGTTCCCCTGGAGGACGAGCAGGTGAGGGACGGAGACGAGAGGACATCTGAGTGATTTCTCTCCCCCTCCCCTCTCTGACAGTGTCCTCTCCCCTTTATCTCTCTTGTCTTCAGTTCATGGCCGCTGAGTTTGGTGATGACAAAGCTTCGGTGAGTGACTCGTCGACCCGCCTGTCGTGTTTAGACCGCGCCGAAAGAAATTCACGAGCCCTAAGTCTTCATAACTCCATCACCAAGAGTAAGTACTTCCTGCTAATGTAAATCACAAATCTAACAAAAGGAATGGCATGTTACATAAATGTATACATGTGTATTACACACAGGCCATAAGACTGTTAAACACCTGAACTTTTGAAAGAACATCCACAACATTCATCTGTTTGCAACTTACAAATTATTTCTCTAATGTATCATATTCCAATGACTTGTATATAGACTCTCCTTGCACTATTTCTATCCTATTTTTCGTTGTATTTACTATTTGATCTGTTATATTGTGTTGCACTGCTGAAGGAGCCTGTGACCTAAGATTTCCATTGATATATCTACACTGTACACATGACAATAAAAGCCTTGAACCTTGAATTAGGAGACATTACTATGTGACCCTGATCATGCACTTAAAACAAAGCTCCCTTCTCAGACAGCTGACTGCTCCTATAAAGCCAAAATGGAACAATTACACATGTTAGCGAATCATCCCCGCCTGATTGGAGTCCCTTTTTTCCAGATTTAAACCCCTCTCTTCATTATGCTCCCTGCCCTCTCCCTCTGCATCCCCCCTTTGTCCCTCGTCTTTCATCCCCGCTGCCCCCTATTCCGCTAATCTAATATCACCCCTGCTCTGCTGCCACCCCCTGCCAGGGCTGGGATAAAAGGGGGACAGATGGGAGGTGGAGTTTTAGGCAGCCCCAAATCAAGGAGCCCCTCTTCCACCATCTGCTCTGCCTCCGCTGAGACCCTGAGACTCATCATTTAGTCGCCATAAGAGCACGCTGGCTCATCCTCTCATCTGATTTTATGCGGGGGCCGCCTCTGATTGTTTTACATTGCGTTCTTTCACAGGAAGTCCTTGCTTATGCAAAACCATCAGAGCAAAGGCCTACATAGATCTAGAAAAAAGGAGCAAGCAAAAGTCATTCTTAAAATGAAAGATTTGCAGATATTTACGCAAAATTATGTTATTTATTTTTTAACTTGATTTTCTTTTTTCTTAAACAACACATACAGTTTCAAGGACAAACAAAAAACAGGTGTGCAAGTTGTCCATTTTTGTTAACCCCCCCCTACAGTATAAGACAAAAGATGAATACTACAAACACACTTTGAAATGATAGACAGACAGATGGTTCAAATCACAGCACAAACTCAATTCAAATTCAATTTTGGTCATGACCTTACATTTTTACTTCCATCTACTTCTTTTGGTAAGCTGTATTCAATCATTTTTTCAGCGGGGACATTTACATTGTCTAAATAGCTAAAATAAATAATATAAGTATTAAATAAAGAGAAAGCACACATTAATAAATACAAATATAGTCAAATAAGTACACATCCATGGTAGAAAATAAGTAGCAGCATTATATGTGAACATATAGGTATCAAAGTAGCAGCCAATGACATTATATTGCCAATATATCAAATAAAAGTCTTATAAAGTCTGCAGGCATTATAACATTTCCTCCCCCTCCCCCCCCCCTCTGTATTCTGCCCCTGTTTGTGACCAGCTCTAACACAGCAGCATCCCCCAGTGGTGGCTCTTTGTTATTGTAGAACAGCTGATTAAAGTCTGTGGTGCCACTGTATCGTCCCTGCTGTGTTGTATTTGCTTCACTCAGATATGTTTAATTAGAAAGCGTGACACATCTCCTCCTCTCTCTCTCAGTTCTCTCAGAGACGACAGAGTCCACGGAGGAGGAGTGGCAGTCCATCGCAGACCTGGCCACCGCCTGCCGCAGCATCCTGGAGGCTCTGTCCCGAGAGGGTGAGGAACTGGAGATATTGATCACCTCACTTACCTTAACCCTTATGTTGTGTTCGGGTCTCCCGTGACCCGTTTCAATTTAAAATTATATAATAACTACGCTCTAGTTTTTGTTATCGGAACAAGGCTTCATGATATCCTCCACAACAGCTTTATAAACACTACAAAACTGATTTTGACCATTTTTGCCAAGTCTGAAGGTCTCAACAAAAAAAAGTGTATAATTTGGTGTTCAGGTCTGGGGATCTGTTTTGGGTGACTCAAGGTCAAATTTGGCCCAATAGAGAAGTCCCGCCCTTCAGAAAAAGTATGCATTGAAGTCAATGGAGAGAGAAAGATTATCTTTCGATCCCGTTTGAATTGTGCCATGAATTACACATATGATGTTTGTCAATCTTAAATAATAATTTCCATGTCAAAAAAGTCACAGTTTGTCGTAAAACTGTTGAAATATAAGACTATGAAAAATACGCAACTAGAAAGACTATAAATCCCAGAATCCCGGTCCCGCATGCTGGCTCTTACGGAACCGACTAACTCCCCTTGTGTGTATGTACAGCTCTCAACATGCCTAGACTTGTAGTGATTTTCACCTCGTTTAATACTTTTCGCCTCATTCTGAAAGAAAGAAGTGAAATGTTCCAACGTGACGGCCGTCTTGGTGTGTGGTGCGAGACGGGAGATGTAGTTCATTGAGCGGTTTCACACAAAAAAAGTGTTACTTCACAGTTTTACGACACATTTACATTTTTTGACTTGCAAAATTATCTTTTAAATTGACAAACATCATATGTGTAATTCGTGCCACAATTCAAACGGGATCGAAAGATAATCTTTCTCTCTCCATTGACTTCAATACATACTTTTTACGAAATAAGGTCCCATGGAGCTCCCCCGCAAAGGGAGGGACTTCACTTCTCTATCAAGATTCATCTTTGACTTTAGACACCCCTCCCCCGCCCCCTTCATCAACTGTAACAATAATTCTTCGCAACATGCACCTGGTCTCCCCTCCCTCTGCCCCCCTCCCCCCACGGGAACTCAACCTTTCTCAAAGAACATGTACACTAACACTTGAACCTGAACACACACATGCACGTGTGCAATATGTGGTGTAATGTGTTTGGGGGCCATAACATTAAATTACAACAGGATTGTACGGTTATGAATGCATTATTAGTTAGTTATGATGTAGTTCAAACAATATTGGATGATAGTCATTTTTTTGTGCGTTTTGGACTGAGATAAATCATGGGTCAAAATGTAACCGCGGGGTTACTAGAGTATAATAAGGTGTCTTTGTGGTAATCAATGGTGGAAGCAGTATTCTTATCCTTGGCTCTAGTTAAAGGGCAAAAACAACACTGAAATACACCACTACAAGTAAAAGACCTGCAATTAAATGTTACTTATATAAATATGTGTAAGTATTATCAGTTAAAAGAATTATCAAAACTACTCGTTCTATATAATAATTGGTCCCTGGAGGCTCTGTCCCGAGAGGGTGAGGAACTGGAGATCAAAGTCAACTTTATTGTCAATCTTTCAGTTTGTGTGTACAGACAGAGAGATCGAAATACCGTTTCCCACAATGCCGGCCGCATACAAAAATACAATATAAAAATATGTATAAAATATGTATATCCTATTTATACACAATCAACAGACACATGTATACATATGCACACATTAAGATAAAAGCACAACAATCAATATATACAAAATAACAGTCACTTCAATATCTTTTGGGAATGTTCATTAGTGCAAGATTGATCTGCTCACCTCTCTTACTGTAATATAGTATAATAAGATGGCTTTGTGGTAATCATGGGTGGAAGCAGTATTCTTATCCTTGGCTCTAGTTAAAGTACAAAAACTACACTGGGAAAAACACCACTACAAGTAAAAGTCCTGCAATTAAACCGTACCTAAGTAAATATGTGTAAGTATTATCAGTACAAAGAAAAACAAAAGTACTTATTCTGTATAATAATCGGTCGAGTGTCGGCTCGCTGCACCCGCACTGCGAGGGGGACCCAAATTCCCATCAGCAAAAACACGTGGGTTTGCTATCCTGGCTCCAAAATGGTGGAATGAGCTCCCCATTGACATCATTTTTGTTTTGTTTGTCTACCCTCCCTCCCAAATGTAAAGCGTCTTTGGGTTCAAGAAAAGCGCTATAGAAATAAAATGTATTATTATTATCAGGACAGCAGAAAGCTTACACATCTTCCGGCGCAGACTGAAAACGCATCTCTTTCGACTCCACTTCGAGCGATACAATGAAAAACAAACAACAAAAACGCACTTAGATAAAAACTAAGCACTTACATACTAACAAAGGACTGGCTTATCTAAAGCCAGTTGAGTAGCACTTGAAATGTTTTTGCTCTATGAAACCTGATGTACTTATATGATTCTGCTTTCTTCTAGTTTGTATCTTCTTGGTCGAATGCACTTATTGTAAATCGCTTTGGATTAAAAGCGTCAGCTAAATGAAAATGTAATGTTTGGATTAGTATTACTGCTGCATTGAGGTGTATGTTGCATTTTCCTTGTGTAGATGTTAAAGGTTGTGCTTATTTGTTTATATTTGTATACTGGCTTGTTTAATCCACAGCAATGCATCATGTTTACAAGATCCTCATATGTCCAAAGAATTAAATCTGTTCAAAGTCAACTGGTCAGTTTTGTGACGATTTCAAAAGGGTTTTAAATAGTTTAAGGTCATTTTTTCTCAATATGTATCAGAGGAGGATACTCAAATAAAACACAAGTACTTTTAATTTCTACTTATATAGAGTAGGTACTTTTGGGGGTTTTCGAGTGTGATTTTCAGTAATCACTGTAGTGGTGTAGTGTCCCCATACTATTGGCTATATACAAGTATGATGGTTCCACACTCTAAATGAAGGTTAGTTGCTTAAGTAAGTGTATATATATTTAAGGGGCTGTAAAGGCTTGTATGTATGAGGGATGGGGAGAAAAATAATTTCGATCCCCCTGTCTGTGTAACACAAATAGAGGAATTGACACTAAAGTTGACTTTGATATATTTCAGCATTTACTAAGAAAAATTATCCGTACTTTGTCTCCCTCCGCTTTTTCTTTTCATTATTTTAAACTAAAATAATGTGGATGATGTTCTCTCCCACAGACCGTAAAGCCGGAGACCCTTCCCAAGCCGGAGTCGACCAGACGGACGGGAAGCTCAGAGACTCAAAGGACAGGTGGGTTGCTACAGAACACTCAGGGGGATCCAGACAGTTCAATACCTCTGTCCTTAGTGTCTTGGTTTTCTTTTTGACTGAGTCTTTGCACACGTCCCTTTCCTCAGCTCTACTTCTTTATTCTCTCTCAATTATTTAGACTTTATCGGCCACGTCCAACTGTTTGAGTCAATGCGATGGTTTCTCCCCCCATGAAGAGAGCGCTCTTGCTGACTCAGCCATGCACTTCTGCACGCACCCGCACAGCTTGTCTGACTCACTGCTGTGGTCTTCTTTTTGTTAAACTCCAGCTCTGATCCATTTTATTCAGCCCCTGCGTCTCATTATTCTCTCCTCCGTGCTGTGTCTCAACATGGCAAGTGAGCAGAGCTATCGGTCAGAAGTAAAACAGAAAAATGAGTCAATAACAAATAAGTAAACTCCAACGTGAAGCTTTTCCTTAAAGAGGTCTGAAGGATTTACAAGCACAGTTTATATCCTCCCACGTAGTGTACAGGTCAGAATATGAAAACAGGTGAATAACAGAATTAGATTCAGACGATATGTGTTGACTAAAAGAGACATCTGCACAAATAATCTCTTTGAAATTGCACTTTTGGATAAATTGTACAAATAAGCTTTTAAGGGGACCAATTATTCTCCTTGTCAGGTTCAGTATTGTGCGCCTCTACTGTGACGTGTCTCCATGCTTTAATGTTCAAAAAGCTCTGTATTGTTCTCATACTGCCTGTGCTGCAGCACCTCTTTTCACCCTCTGTCTGAAACCAGAGCCCAGTCTGCTCTGGTTGGTTAGCTGGCCAGCTCTGCTATTATTGGTCAACCGCTCAAACCTATATAATAGACTACAGGAAAGGGAAAACCCCAGAAAGATAACACGGCCCCTTTAAACCAGGGGTGTCAAACTCAAGGCCCGGGGGCCAAATCCGGCCCGCGACTTCATTTGATGTGGCCCCGCAAGAGCTTGCAAAGAATATAATAAGTGTACTATACGGTTACATGCCACTTTACAGAAGCAGGTTGCCCATACACTACATGTCCCACAATGCATCTCGTTTTGTGACATGCACACTGAAGAAACTTGCAATTATTTGCCCTGGACTTCTGCTTTCAGACGTAGTTAATTACTAAGTTATTACCCTATCCGATAATAATCCAATTCAGAGGCAATAATGTCATTTAATACATTATTTGATATATATTATATTTATATATGTATATTTATATAGTTACCACCGGCCCTTTGAGTGCAACCATAATGCTGATGTGGCCTGCGATGAAATTGAGTTTGACACCCCTGCTTTAAACTAATCATAACAAATATATTTGGCTTGATGGTGACTTTCAAACTTAAAAATACACTTAAATCCCGAAGAAATGTGTCGACAATGTCATGTGTTTTCAATCCAAAGCATTATCAAGCTGTTCCGATCACCAGGAGAAAAGGAGCGTTGTTTTGTATAACAGCAGTCAGAGGAAATGCATGATGGGATGGTATTGTTCACTTGAAAAGGGTCTGCCTGTCAACGTTAGCAATTACTATCAATTGATCTATAATTTGAACATTAATGGAACGGGAGTCTTCAGCTCCACCACGGTGATGAACGGCTCCATCACAGTAATGGAAAAGTTTACTATGAGACGAAGAAAGGCGAAATAACAGGGGAATATAACTTTACCAAAGAAATATAATAAAATACTTTATATGAAATGCAACAGTGAAGACATCCATCTTGTTGATTCGTTGCTCGTTAACCCATGTCTGCCCTTTTGATTCTGAATGCTGTGATTGCTGTTGACGAAGTGTCACTGCCTCTCTCGTTGCAGTGACTCTCCAGGCCACCTGGAGGAGAAGGTGTCTCAGCTGGAGTCCATGCTGAAGAGGCTGCAGGATGACCTGCAAAAGGTGCTTTGACTTTCATGAATGTTTCTTCTGTTCTGTAGTTACTTTTTCAGTGAGCCCCACGGGAGAGTAAGCAGGTAGGAGAAAGAGTTTCGATTGTTCAGCTTCTATCGCTTCTGTGCGAGACGATATGTATTTTCTCATGCAGGCTTTTGTTTACGTGTAGAAAACCTCCCGGCTATTCGGCCATTTGAAGTCCCAGCGGGCTCACTGTGGATGCATTAAATACAAAAAAACACTCAAAAAGCATTTATTTATTTATTATGTTGTTGTAAATTTGTACAGTAACATTTAAGATTTTTTTTTTTAAATATGAAAAGATCATACTTTTAAAAGAAATGTATGTACGACAACTCCTTTAATGCTGTTATCAATATTTTCTAGTACATTTCTAAAAATGTATGTATGTAAAAGTACTGTATGTAATGAATTCCTTAGTCTTATTCTTAAATTCAGAAACAGAAATGGAAAATTCTCAACACAAAGTCGAGATGTCAACCACATCTCGACTTTGTGTTGAGAACTTTTGGTAAATATTGTATTTGTCTCTGTGTTTACACATATTATATAAACATATTATTTCTCCCTACTATATGGAACATTTTCTATTTATTTTTAACTATACTATTTTCATTATTGATTCATCCAATGAATATTTTCAACAATTCATTGAGTCTATGAACACTCAAGAATAATGATAAAATACCCATTTAATGCTCAAACAGTAAGTTGCTCAAAAGAAAATTAAACTGATTAAAATAACCGATAAATCGTCTGTCGTTTATGAAGTAACGAATGAAACAAGTGTGCTGCTTTTTTTCTGTTTTATATAATCAGTACATCTAATATATTTGGGTTTTGGGTGGTTGGTCGGAAAGCACAATTTAAAGCTGTCACCTTGGGCTCTGGGCTAATATGTTGTCAATTTTTCAATACTTCTTGACGTGACATTTCATTCATTGACAAATAATCATCTGATAAATCAATAATGAAAAACAATCATCCCCTATAGCCGCTGATGTGTTTCTTTCTCAGTCTGACCAGCAGCCTTAAACCCAAATTTGACTCCTGTCATTTCAAATCTGATTTTCCGCCACAGAAATGATCAGTTCAGTGTCTCACTAGTTCAGTTTTTGGATTGTGGGTTTCTTTTCCTCCACTGCAGCGTGGTCTACACTGTTGCTGTTGTTTTATTTCAAGCTCTGTGTTTATGTGTGCCCACTAGTTTCCTTAAAGCCACCGCTGTACCTGTCGCTCCCCTCCCGTGCCTGCCACAGCGATCTGAGCGACGGCTTTTGTTTTGTTGTGTGCCGATGTCTTTCAGGAGAAGGAGGACAAGGCGGTGCTGCAGGCCGAGGTGCAGAGCCTCCGGCAGAACAACCAGCGGCTGCAGGAGGAGTCTCAGAGCACGGTGGCTCGCCTCATCAAAGTCACCGAGCTGCTGTGCAACGTCAACAAGCCCTGTTAGCCTCACACAGAGACACACACATCAGCGTAGAGATGCAAACCGTACCAGCTTGTACTGTACGCTCAGTATACTTATTTTGCTCGTAAGGCAGACACACACGCATCCTCTTCGATCTGTGTACTATCACAGTCTTAAATCCTGAATCCTGGACCTGCATTTTGGTGAGGGAGTATGCAAAATCAACCCATAAAAAAGAAAGAAAATACATTTTTCAACATTCATAGACTGACCAGCTGTGGGGCTGCTGCTATGCCAGAGTGCTGCTCTCAGTGTGTGCCATACAGCACGTGCGTGGATGTGTGTGTGCGTGTGCGTCTGTTTGTGTGCATCTCTTCCTGTACCTTGCTTCAAATACTTGACAAGCTGGGCTAAATAGCATTTGCATAAAAAGTGGCAATTAAGACTGAGAGACACTGTATAGCATGTTTGGTGGTGTCTTATCTGAAATGACCAAAAGTGTATATATATATCACCGATAATATATGTGAACAGTAGTAATTGATCTCCTCTCTGCCAAGCGTGTAGTCGCAATGTCTGAGTGCGGCTCTGCCCCGGCGCTGATAGTGTGGAAGGCCTTGAGAGAAAAAAAGGGAACGTGACAATGACAGGCCTGTAGGCAGCCTTCTACTTCAAAAGATGTAATGATGCTAACTGACTAGCCTCAGAGCAAGGCCTGTTATGTAAGGACATCACTCTGCCCATTCACGTCTCAGTTTTTAGGGAGAGACGATCTTTAAAAAGCTCGTACATGAAAAGGAAGTAAACTGGAAACAAAAAGAACCGAGCATGCTTGTTCCTCCTGGAAGTATGTATGAAAACAGTATTAAAGGGATACTGAAAAGGGTCAAACCTCTCGTGAAGACGCAGACAATGGCAGGAAAAGAACTGCTTCAGCTTCCTCCCATGATTGCCTGTAGCTGTTTTCTTCTAACCTCACTATTGTAGCAGCCATACTGTAGAAGACCTCCTCCCGCTGGCCTGAAACACAAACGCCAAAAGGCAGCTGGCAAAATAGCTTTAGGTGTCAGAATAAAGCACCTGGAGACAATACAGAATATTGTTTGGCGGATGTCTACAGTGACTATTTCGGGTACTTGTTTAGTATGGCTTATGAGTGGTAGAGGTAGGTGAAGTCTTACCATTCCACCCTGATGTGTGAGTAACTGTGTTTCTGTGTCGTTCTTGCACTTTTTTGTTGTTGTTAAATCATCCCTGGATGGGGCACATACTGTACTGTACTTCATTTATGTCAACATAAGGAGGTGGATATGATCTCGCCCCTTACCTCACCTTTTTGTGTCCACTGCTGATGGCGCTGATACTGAAATGCGTGTTCAGAGGAGTCGGAGCTCTTCTCCTCCAGTGCCAATGAAAAAAGCCCAGGCAGCTCTCCTGAATCCCACCGAAATAAAACCGAACTGTCCACAAACGAAAACCCCGACAAAAAGGGATGCCAAACGTTCACTCAGACTCTCTTGTTTCTTGTACAAAACTTCCTCTTGTAATTTAATTTTAGAGTCACTGTGAATACCTGGTACCAGCATATTAACAGTATATACAGATTAAATTATGAATCTAAACTTTATCAGTATGTGACGATACTGTATGTACAGCTGCTCCATGTTAACTAGTGCATTGGGGTTGTGTATGCAATCCTTTTTGCAGGACGATTATGCAGAGAAGTGCTAATGCAGGCGTCCTGCTTCCTCTCTTGATGAGACATGCTGAAGCCTCGCGACTCAACGGGGAGACGGGGGGGGGGTGGGAAGACCTGTTTTACTGTGTCCTGTACAGTATAGTTATTTAGATTGTAGGAGGTTGGTCCAGCATGAGAATGTGCCAAGCAACTTCCAGGCTCCCCTCTGTATGTGTGTATGTATAAAATGTAACTTATTAATCATGCAAATGTGGATTTTCTTGTAGCTGTTTAAACTGAAGGGAAGGCTTGAGGAAAACAACATGTGAAACAATGCAGAAAGGAAAGGTTGGTTATACATTTATTTTGTAAGAAACCATCAACCATATGACAAAATCTGCTAATCTTGCTAAATGTGACTTTGGGTCTTATTATTATTATAGTTTTTAGCTATTTCAGCCATAGCTCTGATTATGTGAAGGCTTATTTCTTTGACTTTGTGCCTATCAGAAAATGTAATGTATGCTAACCCAGCTTAGTGACCTCATTTCTTTGTCTTTGGTTTCACTAACTGAGGGTTTTTTGTGGCAGATGAAGGATTTGCTAAGAGACTGTGACAACATCTGGTCTTTCATCCGCCGTGCAAGGAAAAAGTCATTAAGTTACACTCGAAAGAACAGATAATAATAATGATAATAATAGATGTGTGTTGTTGGTCTGAAGACTTACCATAAGCTCGTTGAGTACCGATTGTTCAAGAAGCAAACCGACAAATATATGGTTTTTAAAAGCAAATTAAAAGGAAAAACAGTGCTGAAAATGATTGATGATGCATTGAAATCCAGTTGAAATATGAATGTGTTGAATGGCGTATACGCTTCCTCTAAGGAATGATTATTTTGGTATTTAAAAATAAATGGTCTCAGAAAATCCAGCGGAGTATTTGGAGAAAACAAATCTGATTGTGGCTCAATGACCTCAGAGGAGGGAGGGGGGAGAAACGACAATATTTTGGGCATCACATGCATCTATACCATACCAAACCATAACATACCAAAGATGTAGCCCAAATGTCCCGTAGCCTCTCTGAACACCCTGGGACTCTGCGTTGTGTTTGTTATTGGTGATGGGATGTTATGCAGAGGGGCGGAAAACAGGACACAGTAGATCGGATTGCGGTGGAGACGCTGAGTAGTGATTTATTCTTCACAATGGCAGCTCTTCTGACACACCTTTCGTGGAGTGAATACAAACATTTGCGCATTAGCTACATGCTAACCAATACAATAACCAAATGAACAGACAAAACATAAACATCTCACTCCCAAACATACACAAATGGGTAAATAAACATAAACTAACCCATTAATTAAATAAATGGAATAATACCATAAGCCCCCCCCCTCTCAACCAACTTCCTCCTGACTGCTTTTCTGTTTTGCTTTGTTTCTTTTTGGCTTTGTTTTGTTTGTCTACCCTCCCTCCCAAATGTAAGTGTCTTTGGGTTCAAGAAAAGCGCTATAGAAATACAATTTATTATTATTATTATTACTAATATGGAAATAAGTTGATAGAGATGTTTTGTCAACGGCGCCACAAAGTGCCCGAAGGCAGGCTAGCTTCCTTAGAAATATGATGCTGTTGTTGAAAGACAGATAACAGCATAAACAAAAAGTAATCGAGTAAAAGTTCAGAGATTTTTAAATATTTTCTATCCAACACAGACAGCAGAAAAGACCACTATGGAAAAAAGAGTTTTAATTAGTGGAATTGGATAGTTTTGAGAAAAAACAACATTTGCACATTAATTAAGACTTCAAGCAATCAATTTCTTACTTTACACCTCTATTTAATTTAGATTTAACAAACAACGATTAAAAGCGCAATGATATGTTAGGTTTCATTTTTAATTATTTGCATGAGTGAAATTACCAAGAGGGAAAACGTGTTTTACCTTTAAACCATTTTTTAAATTATTATTGTTCATGTTGTCATATTAGGAATATGATATGGTCACGATTTTAGGGACTACACATTTGGATAATTTGTCCAGGAGAAGACGTCTTGATGGTCTCATGTTGGACTGGAGTCTGGAGGTGAAATAGAGCCGAATCTTCAACTGAAAGCAGCGCAGGGAGAAAATGATTTTACAGTTTTGACGTTACACAAGAGATTTCACCTTTTTTACCCTCATATTTTTTTATATAGACTATACTCATTTCCACCTCTACTTATATTGCTAGATATAAATACTAAAAGTGAGGGGCCATCTCTTCTGTCTGTTTCCTAAAACATTTTAAAACATGATTTAAGGCATCAACATTATTTTATTTAACATGGCCAAATCAGATTGGCTGCAAAAGGAACATGTATATGTCAATTTATAAAATAGAATGAAAGCAAAAGAAATATGTGCAAATAGAAATTGACTCACAATGTGGTTCTAATAAAAAAAAAGTATATTTACATAGGTATACATTTTACATTTTTCGTATAAAAGGGAAAGTCCAGCAGTGGAATAAGAACAAAAAAATCCTGCATTCAAAATCGTATTAGCACCTGAACAGAATTATCTATAGTCCCCTTTATGAAGAATGACTTAACCCTATAACCCTTTTTTGCCTGATTGATTATGGTCTACACTTTACCCTGATATTGTCATGGAGCACATTTTAAAACTATAGGCATATTCTGTTTAGTGGTTTCATCTAAATCCATGCAGATGCTTGAGTAAACAATATGAAAGTAGGCGTGTGAGCAGATGAGTTGGTATCAATCTGCAACCTCAATGATAGATGACGCCACATCCTATATGAATGTAAAATAACTTGTTTTATTATATATTATTCCAAGAATTTCATCCAGCCTGGAAAAAATGATTGAACAAACTACCAGCACTCTGCCCGGCTCTCAATGCCCTTCACCAGTCTTCATGAAGCTGCTCACAGAACAGGTGTGAGTACTAACAACAGCCATGTTCACTGTTTATGTTGGAGTAAGTGCCTGCTACTATCACAGGACAAGAATCAGCACTTGGCTTCAGCTGGATATCTTTTAAATGTAACTGAATCTTGCTAGTTTCTGGGATATTTTAGACCTTTGCTTTCAGTACTAGATTAAATATACTTGGTTACACATGGGGAAGGTCATGCTTGAGGTACTTTTAAAGAAGTATTCGTTTTAGATCTGGATCTTCACGGCAAATTAAATCTCCAAGGAAGAATACAGCACAGGCATCAGACAGGACACAGTGTGTAGAGAAACCAAATAGCTGAAATGGTTATGGTTCATCTAGACTTGATCAGCCAAACCTCATTATTTACCTGAAATGTGAGTGGTTCTCCAGAGTATACTGCAGTCAATGATGTTCCAGTTGTAAATCAATCTCACAGCTGATATGAAAACCATCAACGCTGAGAATGAGGAATAGAAAACACTCATCTCTTCACAATCAAACTGTTTCATGCTCTAAATCAGATGTTTGAGGTGATATCACAACACAAGGAAAACATAACACGGCTCATTAGTCGTTCATATTCATGTGAAGGATCTGGTTTTGCTTTTGAAAATTCTTTAATGTGTTAGAATAATATGACTGTTGAGAAAACTTGTAATCGTGACTGTGAGCAAGACTTATTGTGACAATGCATGTGGACGCTGAAGGGGTGCAGCAGTACACAACTGTGTGACCACCACACTTTGAAAGGATCCAAATACATGACAGTTTAACTTCCTGTTTGTCACTCAGATCAGCTGAACAAGCACAGTGGGGAGCTGGTGTCCCTGACCCTTCAAATCTCCCCAGAATAGCTGTAAAGTTGTAGCACAGCTTTGTTTGTATATCCTCTGTCATGTGACATCTAAAAAATGCTGACAGTAAACTATAAAGCCCCCTCAGTTGAATCTGATGTATCTTTATAGTTAGCATCAACATATAAAAATATGGAGATTTAAAGTGAGAGTTTAAAAACAGTTTGATTGGATGCACATTCCCATCTCCCTGAATTGAAATAGCATGAGGTAAGACAAATACACTTTCCAAAGCTGCTTCCATGATCATACAGCATTCAAATATTTTCCAGGACTCTGTGCTCTGGAAGGTTTTCCTAAACACCAGCCGCAGAAAAACGCTTCATCTTCCCTGGCCTGACAGCAGGAGGAGAACTTGTGACAACAATGCGCTGGCCGATGTCTTTATTTGGGGTTGGAGCGCAGGACGGACTCTTCACTAGGGGCGATGTGTCACACACAGCTCAAGGGCTTTACGGCAGTTTGACTCACCCGTGTTCTGTAAATACAGAGGCCATGTGAGTGTGTGTGTGTGTGTGTGTGTGTGTGTGTGTGTGTGTGTGTGTGTGTGTGTGTGTGTGTGTGTGTGTGTGTGTGGCCACACAATGGCCAGGCCACTGTTGCCCCATACAACCAGTATGAGGCCTAATGTGAGTCTGCCTGCATCATCACGTCTGTTTTCCTGCCATAAATTAGACTTGACACCACTTGTATGAGTCAGATTTCTTAGCTTTGATCCATACTACACATCTACAGCTACAAACAACTGACAAATATGTTAGGTGTTAGTGTAAAGTTTAGAAATACGCCCAATAGTTTATGCATCCACCCCAACATGCAATTGTATAAACAATTTAACACGTTTAATTAGTTATACTTGGATTTAAAAATACAAAACTTCTTTATGTTTTGACCTTGAAGTTTTAGGACTCTGTAGAAACAAAACTAATATGCAGGTTCAACACATTTATGTGAAAAAAACAGAATGCAACCTGTTAATAAGTGATACACCTCATATAACAAGCCATGTACGTCACAAATCCATGAGTCCCGCCCTCTTGTCATAAACTCAGTTAAACATTAAAGGTGGGGTAGGTACATTTGAGAAACCGGCTCGAGATACACTTTTTGTTATATTCCATGGAATGCTCTTAACATCCCGATAGCAATGAATATCTGAAGTGCTTTGACAAAAAATCCATTAAAAAATTTCACCCGTGGAAGCCGTAATACTGTAAAAAGCACGATCAATCATCTGAGCCGGCCCGGCTAAAATAACTGGATGGCCTACCTGCCTGTCAGCCTTCCATCGGGGCACAAACTTATCTCGTGCCCTCATTGGTCATGTGCGCGTTCGTGTGTGTTGGAGGAGGGGCTCTGTAACGGCCCCTACAGACGGCGGCGTGCGTTACCGCTTGGCGGTGGGCGTGTCTGAAGCTTGGGGATTTTTTACGAACAACGCGACCAACAACCAATCACATGAATATCCCACCCCGGACATACAAAGCAAAGCATTCATGCTACATCCATGCTGGCTAAATATACTGTCTATGCTTGCTAGCTGTCCATTCAAACGAAGTACACTGGATATAAACTCCCCAAACAGGCGAAAACCTACCAGTTTCACCCACTGTCTCTGCCACCTCCCCCCATGCCTGGCTCCTCCGGTTTATATCCCTGTATGTAAAGAGGGACTGGTCATATAGTACCGGGTGATTCCCTAACGCCACGATAATTTCCTCCTCCATTTTTTGACATGGGTAATAACTGCGGTCTGGCTCTCCAAACATACACGCGGTTTGATTGGCTAGCGCTTGTGCTGTCAGATTTGCATACGCGGGATTTGATTGGCTGACGCCTCCGTCGAGGCCGCAAAAGTAGAACATTGCTCTACTTTTGCAGCGAGCACCGCGAGAGAAGCTACGCTTTGCTCCCACAATGCAGTTCGGCGAATCGTGACGTCACCCCATTCAAAGTGAATGGGCAGAAGCGTTGAAGCGGCAACGCACGCCGCCGTGTGTAGGGGCCGTAAGGAAGTGGCAGATTTTCTCCGGTTGTGTATTTTCAAATTCTAGCGATCTCGAGCCGGTTTCTCAAATGTACCTACCCCACCTTTAAAGAATGAAAACCTCCACGACACTGCAGAGCTGGTGCAAAACCTCCACGACACTGCAGAGCTGGTGCAGTACGAGGCTACTTTCACTTTTTTGTATCATTTTACTGAAGTGAAGGTCTTTTTTAATTTTGAGTAGGAGACATAAAACAGACTACTTCCGCTGCACGGTTCACGCACGTTTATGCAAAAGGATTTGTGTACTTTAATGTAGGCCTACTTTCTGGGGAACTGGCATAGTGGTTTATTAGCAGACCGCTATGCCGCAGTGTTTCTTAATCTTCACCATGTTTCTGGAAGGTACCATGTAACAAGAAGGGATGGCCCCTCACATATAGCATTGTTATAGCAACACAAGTAGAGCTGGAAATGAGTATGGTAAAAAAGATGAGGGAAAACAGGTGAAATCTCGTTGAGTAACGTCCAAACTGTAAACACATTTTAATCTGACCTCACCTACTTTAATCTGACTTCACCTACTTTGGTTTGTACTAGCAGTATATGATTATTATGGCTGTTATCTCTCCACCTTAATCCCGTACATCCACACCCATGCACTTGCTATTCCACTGCTTGACATATGGTGGCGATAACACACACAGAAAGCGTGGTAATGCACCCACAAGGCGAAGAAGAAGAAGAAGAAGAAGAAGAAGAAGAAGAAGAAGAAGAAGAAGAAGAAGAAGAAGAAGAAGAAGAAGAAGAAGAAGAAGAAGAAGAAGAAGAAGAAGAAGAAGAAGAAGAAGAAGAAGAAGAAGACAATACAAAACAATTCCCAAATGTTTTATGAGGATGCAAATGTACGGGCCAAATGCTAAACATAATAGGTTAACTCATTTTATTTGACAAGCACTCCCCACATAAAGATGTCATAATTACATATCAGTTTAGGGGGAGATTTCTTAAAACTTGAAAACATTACTGATTTACTGATGTATTCCCTGTTTAAGGTTCTCTGGACTTTATGTATATGAGGGACTGATTATTATTTTCAATTTTGGTGTAGCTGATTCCTCTTTTTACTTAGCTATTACGTCTAATTAGCAGCACCAGGTGTGTTCTGCTAATCAAGAGCTGCTGGGTGCAGAGAAGGTAAGATGGACAATGACATAGTGTTTATGGCTCTTCAGGACCTGTTGTTGGCACCACTGCTAGGCTACGAGGGCTTTTTAGTGTGTATGATGTAATCATGGGAGTGAAAACATGGTTAGCCTCCCATAGCAAGGGTCAATAGACTTAAAGGTGGGGTAGGTAATTCACTTCAGAAACACTTTTTGTTATATTCCATGGAATGCTCCGATAGCACATTAAATGCTTTGACAATACATATATACAAATATTTCATCTGTGGAAGCCGTGGCGCTGTAAAAAGCACGTCCAATTATCTGCCCCGGCCCGGGTCAGCTAATTGGATGGCCTACCTGCCTGTCAGCCTTCCATCTCGTAGTGCACAAACTTATCTCGTGCCCTAATTGGTCATGTGCTCGTTCGTGTGTGTTGGAGGAGGGGCTCTGTAAGGAAGTCTGAAGGAAGGGGCAGATTTGTTTCGGTTGTGTAGCCTACTTTCAAATTCTAGCGCCCCCGAGTTGGTTTCTCCATTCTTACCTACCCTACCTTTAAAGGCGGAGGTGTCACAAAGGGAGTCGTGAGTTTGTCGCCGCCTGGTGGCCAAACAAGGAAACACAGTGTGTGAGCAGAGAGAGAGGGAGCGAGAGACAGAGAGAGAGGGAGAGAGAAAGGGAGGCACACAGAGCTCGGAGCATGTCGCCTCCTGTTGCTGAGCCTCACTGTGGGATCTGCTGTCGACCTTTCAGACTGAACACATGAACGCAGAAAGCTTTTTTTACGCGTTTCCTCGCTATGTGAAACCCGGAGCTCAGCGGCTGCTCTTAGTTCCGAGGAAAAGCACTGCTTGTCATTGCGGGGATATTTTTTTTTTTACACAACTTGGCAGAGAAGTCGCTTGCTGCTAGTGCTGGAGCTGTTTGTTTGCAGATAAAGTGTGAAACAAGTATTACAAAAGAGAGCAACAGATGTTTCTGGAGGATATGCGGCCGGCTGAGGAATGAGAGCCGCAGCGAGGCACCGGCGGCCCTTCCAGCGGTTCTGCTGCTGTGGAGTCGGGCTGGTGGCTGTCATGTGGATCGCTCAGGTCCTCCAGGCACCAGGTGAGACTTTAATATAGACTACAGGCTGCGCGCGCCTGCGAGCGTGCACAACAATTATAATCCTATGGATATTATTAGACACACTGGGAAATTAAGGATGCACCATTCAACATGCTTCACTTACTGATTATACAGCGTGCACAATGTGTGTATTTTATGTGAATCTTGACATTTTATGTGTGTGGCCCTAAAGGAAATGTCTGCTGCTATCAGGAGCCAACCTTTTATATTGATGCTGCACATAAAGTTATATTTCTTGTATTAGAATGAAATCAAAAGCAAATCAATTCTAATTTTGTCTTACCCCTATTAAAACAGATCCACATTTAACTGTCACTGTCTTAATAGATAGCTACATTTGATAAATGAGTAGACAATTGATGCATTAACAATAATGTAGGGCACAACATGTGGTGCTTTGTCTTCATTTGGAGCAAGGATCCAATATACTTCCCCTTATCTATAGATCCAAATGTCATCTGTAATAAGGCTGAACATAAGAACATCTTAAGTGTCTTGTGTAGAAATATTACAATTGACAGGTGCTACATTCATCCATCAAACCACCACCATGTAACTGTCTAAATAAGAAAGGAGCATCATTTGAAAAGCACACTTCTGATTACTGTGCAGAATGGGGCCATTTCTGGAGGCAAATATGGTCTACGAAGTAGCAAATAGTGCTGTGTGTGAGACGGCTGAATCACTGCTCTAAATATTTAAATCTTAGTTCAGTTTTTTCTAACTCCTAACAGTCTCCCAGCTTCTGTCCCTCTGGTCCAATGTGCTCCGCTCACACTGCAGGAAGGTGACAGGTTGTTGATTACATAAAGCAGACAGACATTGTGGCATGTATAAATCCAATCATTTGGGTTTAGTTATTTGTGGATCGACCATGGTTATTTTGTCTCAGCAGGAACACTGTGTCTGTGAATCTGACGTATTCTGAAACAGACTGCCCTTTTAATTCCTGCCTTTTTCTCTGGCTGTTAATGAGTCTAATAGGTTTTAGATAAATAGTAAATCCTTGTTATTTGTCTTGCAGCCGTCTATTTATAACCCAGCATCATAATCCATTCATAGCCAGGAGGATGAGGTGATGTTTCCTTCTTAGATGATGTCTCATTTTCAGCAGTGCACCTAAAGGCATCCCCACCCCGCTCGTTATCCTCTCATCACCTTTGCTGAAGTTGTCACACACACTCATCCGCAGCTTCAGCCCCGACAACACCATTCCCTGTCATCCTTTGTGCATTACGAATGATTGAACTCTCAGGATGTGTTTTATTCAAATGTAGGTACCACCCTAGTATTGCATGAGAGTACTGCAAGAGTTTCCCAGTGAATGATCCATGTCATTAATATTTATACTTCACCTTTAAAGTATGAGTGTGCCATCAACCAGAAGAGGTTTTTTGAACCGAGATCAAGGCCGCTCAACTTAAACCTCATGAAAGCACACGGCAAGGCATGTGGTCTGCTGTTTGTAACGGGGACAGGCAGGTTCTTTTTGCAATGCTTGGAAACTATTACACATACCGTGTAGCATCCTGAACAACATGGCTTGTACAACCATTTATGGATGCGCCGTATCAATGTGGGTCGACCCTAGGAAAAAACATTGGATTATAATAACTTACAATATTAACTTGATGGAAAAGGTATGTTAGAGTTCTGAAGGAAACACTTCAAGAGTAAAACAATTGCAATTTATAACACATTTCTTTGCTGAAGATCGCCAACCATTTTCCATGTTTGCAAACGTGGGGTTTTGATCCTTTCCACAACATTCGAGCCTCTCAAGCGAACATTTGATCTCAAACATATCTCCGTTTTGTTTACACTGTGCAAGCAAGTGGTGGATTCCTATTGAAATATTTATAAAAGGCAGCAGCCGTGGTTCTAACAGCTGACACTTAATGATCCCTGTGGCATGACTGTCTGTCAACACACTGGACAGACTCAAGTTGAGCGTTGATTGAAAAGATACGACAGTTTCCCTTCTTTGCTTTAGCTTAGCTTTTTAACAGTTCAGTAAACATTGAACTGACAAAAACTGATTTTTGATTTTATGGTCATCTTTTAAAGTGCACATATGGAAAGTGTTAGCAACAATTGCTTATGACAAGGAGCATAATGCTGATATTTAACTTTTTGCATTTAGGCGTCCCTTCAGGCTTAAATGTCAGTAGTGATTAAGGTGAAATGTAAGTACTTTTTTTCACTAGTAGTAGCCATCCTTTCAAATACCTCTTATTTGAATCCATTAAAAACAATTAGATTTTGATCATCATTGCTGCCTTAAAGTTACTATTATTTCCTCCCCTGCCGGTGTGATTCCACCTAGGAAATATTCACAACATTACTTTCATTGCCTACACACAAAAAGATTCAAATGCCATCAGAATAATTTACTATTTGCTCCCATACTGTAGAAGTCAAAGTATTTAGAGAGGAAATTCATTTGTATTGATATCGGAAAATCAAGCCAAAGTAGCTATCCTAAAATGTTGTATTAACAACCGTAGACTTAAAGGAAGAAAATACTTTATTATCCCTTAAAGCGTCATAACTGTACAATAAAGTCTTGCCCTCGTGACATAATCCTGATTTGAACTTTGTCCCACACTGGAGTTGTGGAGTTCTCTCAGATATTTGAATGACTGGTTGAGCCCCCATTTAAGGGAAAATCTAATACAAATGTTAATCAGTTCTCTGTTTATTGCAACACGACACGACCTAAATGTTCAGTGTAAATGTCAGTGGGAATATATGTGGAAATGGAGCTCAGTGTGTGGGACGGAAATACAAATATTCGTTTTTTAATAAAGACTTGATTTCCAGAATAAGCCAATCTTATCTGCATTTGTACTTTTGATTATGTCACCATCAGAGACATTTAGATTCCCGCCTGTAGACCTGTCCTGCAACACTGACCCTGTTTGGGGTAAATCCTGAGGAAGCCGGTCTTACCAGTCGATGTGTAATTGACAGGATCAAATGTCTTGTTTCTGCTAAGAGCAAACACTGGTTTTAGGGCTGCTCAATTAATCTTATTTTAATCGCAATTACGATTATGGCTTGCAACGATTACGAAAACAACGTAATCGAAATAAAACGATTATTTTTTCATTATTATTATTAGTTTTTTTTTTTTTTAATAAATAAAAAAAAAATTTAAATTGGTTTTTCAGTTGAATTATACTTACAGTTCAGGGTAATCAACTGTTAAAAACATACTGTTCAAATTGTTTTCTCCAATAAATTGATGTTTTCAAAGTAAATGGATAATCGTTTTTAATAATCATGATATCAATTATTGACCCAAATAATCAATATGATTTTTGCCATAATCGAGCAGCCCTAACTGGTTTTCCTTCTACCTCAACGTGGAAAGTGACATATTTATGACTTTAGACTTAAAATAGGTTTTGTTTAATGAAAATGCCACAGTGACTTCTTTTGGTCTGTGTTGCAACAAAATGAATGAATGCAGTCTCTCTACATCAATACAAAGACATCCTGAAATAATCTCAAAACGTAATTTCACTTGGAGGTCCCTAAATGTTTGCGTTTTTATTCTGATAAATAAGTGTAGAGATAGGAACAATGAATTACGGTGTTTACTCTTAACATTATGGTATTTACATGTACCTTTCTGCGCTGAACCGTTGTGTTTACGTTGAGGCACGAGGCAGCAGGATTAAAGTATTTTAGATACAAACACCACATTTTATGATTTATCAGCTTTCATCACTGATCCTTCCGTTACTTATTTTTCTATATTTACATTCGAAGCCTTTTAGGTGGTCTTATCTAGAGGAAAAATCACTGTAACAGTAACGTTAGCTTAAACACCATGGATCTCCAGAATGATAAGCAACATTAATGCAAAGCTCTGGGAGTTAAAACTGTGATCTTAAATCCAATTCAAATAGATTTGTGAAGCTTCAGGGAGGATTGTAGTTGAAGCATTTCATATATACTATAATAATAATCCTTATATTTATTATAGCACTTTATCAATGACTCTCAAAGCGCTTTACAAATACACATTACACATACAGATCATACATGTAATGGTCATCTACTGTGGACAATACCCACAGGAGCAAATTCGGGTGAAGTGTCTTGCCCAAGGACACAACGGCCTGACGCAGTGGGGCGGGAGCGGGTCTCGAACTGGAGTTCCCCAACGCCCCCTTGATCTGATGATCAAACGCACAGACCACTGCGCCACCCGTCCTTTATACTGTTATGCAATGAGCCAAACCTTCAGGAAAAAGGTAAAATTGGCTATTTAAAGCAGTAAATGCTATATATTACATAAGTGTGTCATCAACGTAGTGGATCAAGTTGATCGCAGGACGAGAGGTGCTGCTAAAACCATCAGCTAGAAAATATTCGTAGTCAAACAACGTTTAGTTTAAGCAACACCAGAACCACCAGAGCTCTAACTTAATGGAAACTATAAAGGACTGGACATTAATAAGAGTCTTTTATAATGACAACCGCACAGGAGGCAAGTATCCCATGTTTGTTTGATATATATGAATGCAAGCTTAGTGAACAAAGACTTGAATGTTTGTTTGTTTGTATCTCTTTTTCAAGGGAGACCTGCCGCACATTGGTTACACAGAAAAACAACAGAAAACTAAAAGGACATCATACAACATGATGACAGGGGTACAAATTACAACCTATTCACGATGACAGGTATCAAATAACATTTCATCTATCCGAGCTTTAAAATGATGCAGGGGAACCAAAATGCTCAGTTTCAATATGTTTTGCAGAGTGTTCCAAGCTAGAGGGGCAGCGCACATAAAAGCTTTTGTACCTAAAACAGTCCTAGCACTTGGCACATGTAATAAAAACACATCCTGGGATCTCAGGCAATAGCTACTTGCGACTCTCTGTGAAATCAGAGAGCAGATATAAGTCTGTAGTTTACTCAACATGGCTTTATATATGAACATGTACCAATGACTGAGCCTCCGAACAGTTAGTGAAGACCTGTCTTGGCATACAGGGTACAGTGATGAGTAAGTGCTTTACAGTTAGTCACAAATCTCTAACTTGTCTATTTATGTTCAGATTCATCAAGGAATTAATGTCAGATGAGTTTACAGGTGAGGTGCGCTCTTAAGACTTTACTTTTCTGTACAAGTCCTTTATATGTGTTTTACTTGAATATTTCAACACTGTAACTGTTATAATGTATATGATACCACCAGAGAAGTGGGTCTCTCTAGCTCTATAGAGGAGCTCTGCATCCCCATCTCTTTTTCTTTTTTGTGCGTTAACAAGATCTGAATCTTGAGAAGAAACAGAATTAGCATGTTTTTATCTCTCCCTTTCCTAATGAGTCACAATGTGGTTTGGGTGCTCGAGACGTCTCCCAGTGATAAGTGTGAAAATGGTGCAGAGCCATCTGTGGCAAAAACCCATTTGAATTTCATACGGGGAGAGCTCCTCTTGATGCTCGACATGAAAGCCTTCACGTCTCCTCTCAGCCACGACCGCTGCCCTCATGAAACAGCCTCATTGAGCGGCGAGCTACAAAGGGACTCAACGACGCCTAGCAATCAGGAAATGCATCGGATACAAGCACCAAGCTGCCTCGTAAATAAAGGACAGTGTAGAGATAATACATAAATATATAACGTCTGACTGTCTGCTCTGAAAGATATCCTGGGTGGTTTTGAAGGAAATCTGTATTTTCTTCCCCATAGGAGAGATGATAAAACAGATATATCTATGAGGAGTTCCTCGTTTGTTGTAAAAATGGAAATCCACACAGAGATTAGCTTTCGAGGAATGAAATACACACCATAAAGATGTCAGTGCTGATGGCTCAGGACAGCTGACGGCAGCTAGGACTGAATTACTGAACGTGTCGCTATCTTCAAAAGCCAGACACAGTACCGATTGAGGACAAGTTCATTTTTATTTTATTATTAAAAAGTCCACCTTGTAAAATAAGAAATGTGGTTATTATAGTTCAGTCAGAGGTTCTTTGATTTCAAAGAGAAACTCTGAATCAAATCAGTTTGGAAATTGAACAGAAAACGAAGATCATTTTTGGTAATTTCTCACAAAAATGCCAACACTGTTCCTTTTCTCACATTTGAGGATTCACTACCTTTTGAGAGACACAAAAGAGAGACACAAAACATTGAGAGACATTGGGCTTATAGAAACTGGACTTTTTGTCACATTAGGCTTAATAGTTCTCCTTTTTGTAAAATATTTGTAATCACAAAGCCCAAATAGACTTTTTGTTTTGTCAGAGAGTGTTCAGTTTAACTTCAAGGATGACAAACAAACAAACATTATTCTTCAGCTCTTTTATTGACTGAACAATTAAACATGAAGAATAGAGGTCCTACACACAGATTGAGTTCTTCGAGGGTTGTTGTTCAAATGTGCCTGGCTGGTTTGGCGCTAAAATGACTCTGGTGTTGTTTTGTAGCAGAGACGGAGTCCTCTGTGTTTGGGCCAGGCGTGAGCGGTGAGGAGCTGCGATGGACCCGCCGGCTGATGCAGGAGAAGTCAGACAACCAGAGCGAGGACCAGCTGCCGCGGGCAGGTGAGTGAGTCACTGCTTTATACCTGGATGGATGACCTCTGCTTCTTGAGGTCAGACCAGCAAACTCTCCCACAGTGCAACACTTCATTGTTCAGTGTCGGCCATATCGATAAAACATTCTATAAAAGCCTGTACAATATATCACAATGTGGTGCACGAATGAGTCCTAAAACCCAGAAAGAGTTAGCATTTTGCCACATCCAGATCTCAAGTCTCAAGATCAATTACTTTTGACCAGGTTTGTGGTTAGAAGCCTGAAATAAGGTCTGTGGTTAACACAAGCTTACTGCATTTCCACGTTCTGTACTACGACATAAAATAAGTCAGTAAATACCCCACCGCTAAATGTCCGAAGCTTCAAAATGGCGTCAAAATGACTATAAACGCCATCACGTCGAACATTAGCCGCCTTTAGCTTAGCGGCAGTGATGTGCATTTGTCTGACTTTGATGTTATTTACTGCTCCACTCAACATTCAGATATAGACATATTAATTCCTGCTTTTGTGCTGAACAGTTTTTTAATTGGTCTTTTTGTTGGATGCTTTGTGGTGTGTATCATATCAAACGGAATATCTTAATATTGGGTAGTCAGTAGGGGCTTGGACTGTGAGCCGTAGGGTTGCCGGTTAAAGTCCCCGACCAGACCTAAATATAGATTGTGGACTGCTAATTGGAGAGGTCCCAGTTCACCTCCTGCCCTGCCGTGGCACCGGACACCCCCTCACCCCCCCCCCCTCCCATTGCTCCCCGGGCGCTGTACAATAGCTGCCCACTGCTCCTAGTACTAGACTCCTGGTATTAGGATGGGTTAAATCAGTGATTCCCAAAGTGGGGGGCGCAGAGGCATGACAGGGGGGGGAGCGAGAGACCAGGAGGAAAAATGGTTATTAAAATAAAAAATAAAAAAAGATTACAAAAATAAATAAATCATAATTTTTAAAATTATTGATTCGAAAATAATATGATACAGTACTATTACGTCTGGGTCTCTGTGTTTCATTAAAGCTCGGCTCTGTGTGTGTGTGGAACGAGCCATTTTGTGTGCGTGCCCGAGCGAGAGAGAGAGCGCAACGGTACCGGAGATCGTAGTTGTTAGCTTCTGGTGCTAGCGAGCTACGCTAACGGTTATAAAGAGTTTTTTCAACAACAAAGTGGAGAAGAGTCCTCTCCTGTCAGACTGAGAGGCTCAGTGAACTAAAGGACTCTCTGAGTGTTTAGATAGTTAACTTTACTCTAAGTTATCTCAGTGGGTCTCAAACGTTTTGGTCACCATTAATGTAAACAATTATTTCCGAGGCACACGTTTATATGATTATTATAGTTATAAAAAAATAAGAGAATAAATGAAAAACAGGTATGAAATACTATAAGACAGTAAAAAAAGAATAAAGTTTAAAAGGGTGATTTGTAAAATATCCATAAAGAAAAAGTAAATCTGTTTCATAGGTGTTGAGAGATGTATCCATAGATCTCCTAATGTTGCTCTCAAAGTGCACCAGATTGATGCTTTTAACTTCAATATTTAAAAATAAATCTTCCCGGGGGAGCTTGCCCCCGGACCCCCCTATGTGAGGTCCACACACCACCTATAAAAATAGCACTTTACCCCTGCTTACACCTATATGCCTCGAGCCTTCATTGTAACTGTCACACTGTGTATTTGCGTGGGGAGTGTTGCGGTAGAAAATTCCACGGTAGCGACCGGTGCATTAATGGGAAACCCTAAATGTTTGAGCACCCTCAATTTGAGCACCCTCAATGAAACGTCAAGCTACCCCACAGCACCCCAAAATAAATATCTGGCGCGGCCACTGAGCCTGACTATTTGTGTTGGGGGGGCCCGACTTATTTTTTTCTCCAAAGGGGGGGCCTGACAGAAAAAGTTTGAGAACCACTGGGTTAAATGCAGAAAACACATTTCACTGTGTGTGCTGTGTGCTCTGCATGTGTGACCATTAAAGAGGGTTTCATCCCTCCCAATTCTATTCTCTATTCTCCATGCCTATTTTTGTGTTTTGGGAAGTATTTGGAATTGCACACACACACAAGACCATAGAGGCTGCATAGGGTGCATTGCATTGATGAACAGTAGGAGCTAGTTTGGATGCTTTGTGTGTTGAAAGTGTAGGAGGTCAGAAGGGGTTTGGCTAAGTTTACATGCATGTGTGGTGTGTGGGGGTATACAAAGGAAAGTGGAGTGTCCTGGAGAGTTCTGCCTCTCCCCTGCAGGTGAACTGAAAGGTCATGCTGCATTGTGTCTATTGTCAGGAGTGTGTGGTCAGTGTCAAGCTTGTGCACTGACAGAGAGAGAGAAGGCTGCCAGACTGAAAGTCAGATTTGATTTTCTACGGTAGCCTGTCTTCAGCAGACGCCAAGTTTCCTTCAAGTTGTTTCTGGAGTCTGGATGCACCCTGAATAGTTTTGACAGATTCAAACGTCTCCTTATTATCACGAGACAAGCAGCCGATCAACAGCCATGATCAGAGCTCTGTTTCTCTGGTTCCCAGGCTGATTAGCTGGCTGACATGAGCCGCATTCATCACAGCTGACAGTTTTATTATAAAAAATTCAGAGCGGAGAGGAAACCTCTTTGGGGAGAATAATACAGAGTAGATAAAATAACACGGCCGCACAATGAAAAATATTTTACCTCACTGACACAATACAATTCTCTATCTCTTCATCATTTGCATTTGCTCTAAGGCACTGCTAATATTAGGCAGGCAGTCACAATGTTGCATTGTATGCAAAGGGCATGGTTATTGTATTCCCTAAGAGATTTATGCAAATCGAGTTATGCTAATAATATACCATGCAAATGAGCTGTTCCGACAACACTCCTCTAAGTACCACCCTATAATGTACTGTGCCTGGTGAGGATGTGAAACCTAAAAAAAAAACCTGCGCGCAATGAATAATTTTAAGCTTCTAAAAATAGATTTGAGGGAAAGGCGCTTTCGTGACATCTCCTCCTTGCAACAATGTCAGACAGGCATCTCAGAATCTTAAGAGAATCCCCAGAACTTTTCCAGTATATTTTGTTTTTGACAGCAGATGGAGAAGATCATGTTTACATAATGTGCATCTGGCTTCTTCTCTGTGTAGTGCATTGTAGGTGTAATTTATCTCCAAAATCTCCAATCTTTAAAGCCATTTTTAATCTTAAATAGGCATATAGCAAACAGTTTAAGCTCCTGATAATCTCATCTGATAAAATAATCACACAATTCAGTGACATATCGTTGGGTTTGTATTTGAAGAGCTTACATTTGAGAGGTGGCGGACACGGACTCATCAGGGACTGGTTTGTAGTAAATTCACACATTGCAGCCTCCTCACAGTCCCCGCACCTCCTCCTATGTGACATTGTATTAGAGGTGTTTTTTTTCTCTACCCTTGAGAGAGAAAATGATTGCTCTCTCTAGCAGAGCTATATACAGCAATTTGTGTTTTTGCTCCCCGATATAACACTTAACCTTTATAGAGATGGCTGCTCTTCCTCATTATCTCTTACAAAGAAACCACCGTACTGCGGGTGGATACTTCCCCGTACTAATACACGGGAGAGGAGCAGGCGAACAAAGGGCTGGACAGGTAGTGTCTCGCAGCAGTGCGCAAGGCACCAGGTTCATGGCAGTGATTACATAATCTGTGGTGTGATTAAAAAGCCTGCCTGGACCTCGGGGGGATATTATCTGGGGGATTGCACAGTAACGTCCAGCCCCGAGCTCTCTTTCTCTCTCTTCATCCCCTCAGTGCTTAACAAGATGGAGACGGTGCGACCCGCCTTCATCTGACAAGCCTCGGAGAGACCGTAGTTGCTAGGCGACTGAATGCTACATTTTGAAACCCAGACAATTCTGGCTTTCAAGCATTAAAAAGGTCCAAGGAGCTAAATTAGACCCTGAGTAGAGGGGGGTGGGGGTGCATCTAAATGATGTAAATGAAGAAAGTGGCTCATGCTGTGTGTGTGTTGCCGAGGCTGGTTTTGTTGTTTATTTTGGCAGCGACCGTCGGCTCAGAATAGGTTTTCTTTTTCCACAGCCATGTTTTAGGGGCTTTTGGGAAAGTATTGCGAAAGGGAATCTGGCAGATAATCTTACAGAAATTGTCTTCCAATGGTTATTCAGGGCAGTCAGATTATGGATGTAATACAAAGCAATCAGTAGTTAATGCAGCCAATATGTGTAGGGTTTCAGAATACTGATTTAACTTTTTCACTTTCTGTCCACAAATAGGCATCTTTATTTAAACTCATAAACCTCCTCATAAAATGGTTGATTGTCACTAAAGAGAGGATTAAAAAACCCTTTCCTTTGTCTTTACATTGTATTTAGTCACCCACAAAGCTGAAGATGATACACGGTGTTGTCTGAGCCCTCGTGTCACACCAGTGTAACATGAGTGTATTTATTGACAGGCGAGGCGGTTGGAAGCCTTGCTTTCGTTTCATCATCGTCTTATTGAAACTGCCTCAAAGGAAAGCATATCAAAGAACAACTGCATAATTGAATATACATTACACACCTGGATGAAACATTTATTTTTGTATTCCTCATGAAAAATGCAGGCTCATTGCAGAGCTCTCTGTGTATATATATATATATATGTGTGTGTGTGTGTGTGTGTGTGAGTGTGAGAGGGTGAGTGCTCGATACTCCAAAGCCAGTTGGGCTGATGCATGAAATGTCGATGGCGTAGCTTGACTCCAGGACGCCCGAAGCCTCTCAGATCGATAACATTACTCTGCACCGCCCACTGCCCCTTCATTCAGTTCCACTGAAGCCCCCCCCCCGCAGCACGTTGACTCACAGAGAGCTCAGCGCCTCACATCAGCTCTCACTCAGTGGAGATTTCCCTCCTTGCCTTCTGAAGAATATGCTCGGCATTGACCTTATAAGGCTTTCACTTAGAGATCTAATCTGCTGCACTGGCCTTATTGATCTGGACTCAGATAAAAACAGAAGGAAGATAGGACCTGTCGTATGTAACACACCTTTTGATTTACCTTATATCAACACTGCATTTGCTTCCTATAATCAAGGCACCATCTGTAAGATGTCACTATTATGTGAACAGAATGACCCCAACATAAACCAGTGTCTGGTTAATGCTTAGCAGCTTTTTGAAATAGGCAACACTGTTTTATGATTGCTATAAATGTTGTAGTGGATTCAACTAAAAGCTAATAAACTTTTCTCTAGCAGACACTCAGTGTGTTGGAGGAAGATGCATTAGGGGCACATTTATGCGTTGCTTCTGAACAGTGTGGTTTGAATGTGTGCCTCCTGGCTTTTCCAATGCTGTGGAGTTAATATATTAGATGATTATTCACTTTCAGTGTCCTTATTTTCTGGCCTAATTTACCTCTGTCCTTTTGTTGCTCTACAGTCTGCATACAATTACTGTATCTGCTTTAACAGGTGGACAAAAGAAGCAGTGTCTTGGCTTTAAAAAAATTACTCGTGAATTTGTGATGTGCAAAAGAAAACCTTCTTTATCCAGCTGTACCCCAGACTGTTAATTATTTTAATTCATTCATGATTAAAATGTGAAAAATGAAGTGGAGGTAACGGCAATCCACTTTGCATAAAACACATTATTACCAAAAATAATAATGTTGAATATTTATATATATTTATTATATATATATATATATATATTATATTATATTTTTTGGTAACAGGATTATAATGTCTGAAAGGAGTCCTAGTATTTTTCTTTAAAGAGTGGTTCAATCATCCGGTGTTCTGCACATTTTTGGAAAAGGTTTTGGATGGTGGAGTTGAATTGTCCTCGATTGTTAATCATCAGTTGCATCCATAGTTGAAACTTTAACAGACATAGACTCATTTTGAAAAGATGTTGAAACAAATCTGTATTTCCCAAAAAGATGTTTTTGTGTCTTTGGAGAGGTCTCCTCCAGTCAGCACGTCTAACCCAATCCTGTCACTTCACATGCAACCTCAAAGCTGAGCAGATGAAAGCGTCGCCTCTGGTGGCCTTTGAAGAAATCATCACACAACCTCAATACCTTCTGAAATTAAGAGATCTGATTTTATCAAAATGAATGAAGTTTAAACTTATCTGTGCACGATTAAAAATGCTTTATCGGTGATTCATATCATAGATAACCAGTTCATTTAGGCTTCATATGTCACATAGCACCACTATGTGTACAATATAGGGCTGCTCGATTATGGCAAAAATCCTAATCTCGATTATTTGGGTCAATAATTGATATCACGATTATTAAAAACGATTATCCATTTACTTTAAAAACATCCATTTATTGAAAAAAAAAAATTGAACAGTATGTTTTTAACAGTTGATTACCCTTAACTTTAAGTATAATTCAACTGAAAAACCAATACAAAAATAATATAAACAAAAATATAATCGTTTTATTTCGATGATGTTGTTTTCATAATCGTTGCAAGCCAAAATCGTAATTGCGATTAAAATACGATTAATTGAGCAGCCCTAGTACAATGGAAGAAGGTTAAGGAGGTGCTACTTGTGAAGGACCTTTTAAAGAGCACTCTAGCTTGGAGTAAAAGCCACTGATGTGAGCTGCTGTGAAGACAGACAGAACTGGATCAGAGGTGACAGCATTGTGGGAGCATTTCATGATTCTGACGGTAGAAAGACACCGAGCACAGAGAGAGGTGACGAGTAGCCTACAGAGACCCCTTCTATTGTCAGAGTATGAGCACATCAACAGCACAGGTCGACCTCTGCCTACAAAACGAGTGACTTCATCAAGCTGAAGGCACGTCTGGCTTAAATCCCTAATGTGGAAAGTCGCACGTGATCATCTTGAACCTGTTTCAGTTTGTGGTGTTGTGTTGTGAAATCGGGGCAAAGCACATTCCTGTCCAGTAGCCTTCAGTAAACCAGTGCGCTGAGAGACGCTGTGTATCTACCCACCATTCCCTCCCCTGCCTCGCTCTCAGACCTCTCCTGAGGGTTTGAAAGGAAAAATAAATATTTTTAGACGGAGCTGCTGTCACTTAGCTTTTTTTTTTTCATTCTTCATAAACCCCAAACCATGGGAAACACATATTCACCTCCCCCTTTCTCACTGTTCAGGCAATTGCCTTGCCTCTGGCTTCCTACTGCCACCCATAAAAAAAAAAAAGAAGCTGCCCCCAGGGAGAGTGTCGCCATAGCAACGCCTTCACCAGAGCAACTCCTCAAAGCATCTATCTGAGGTACATGTTGCAGCCCTCGGTTTCCAGCGACAGAATAACCTGAGAGTTTGTGTTTCGGGGCAGAAAGGAGACTGGATATCTTCCAGCGCCGGGACGCAGGCAGAGAAGAAGGTGAAACGAAATAAAGCCCCAGATGTCCAGCCGCTGATCAGCTTCAGAGGAGAAGACTCAAACTGTGCAGCTCGCATTCAGGCTTCCCTGTTTCGTGCGATAAGATGACAGCAAGTTTACATGCTAAGCCTCGATGATTTAGCGGATACAATATGACAGCTGGCGGATAGGATTGTTCCTCTTAAGAGAAACGGAGAGCACTGGGCCTCAGTTTATGGCACAATAAGCAGACAGTGCTCGCTCTGGCACAGACACAAATCTGTAAACATTGCTGCACAAACATTTAGATGTTCTAACTGAACATAGCGAAATGACTGTCCCCTCTCTGGAGCATATGGCCTCCGCCTCTCACACTGCCGTGTCAAAGATCAAATCTCATATCCTCGCTCACCAGGGACCCTCTCCTAATCCACGCAGTTTGTTGTTCAGTTTCCATGCAGCCGCGGTGCAGTGTGCATCGTGACGGCTGCTCTCTGTTTATTGTGTGCCTGTCGACCCACTGTTGTCTCACAGCAGAAGAGCTATTTATAGCTCCATGCTCCCCAGTAGTTTAAATTCATCCAGCTCGGCTCTGAGTTGAGAATTAGATCTGCACTACACTCTCCAGGCTCTCATTTGTAACGTTCATGGAGCAGAGGGAAGCTAGGCTGTCATTAGCCCTTTTTTCTTCTTAACACTCGGAGGACAGGAAGCAGCTGCCAGTTTCACTTCCTGTCTCACACTTCACTTCAAGACAAACATGATGTTGTTGTGAGTTTTACCATGCAGGAGATAAATAGTATTTTATATGATGCCACACATTTTCCATCCATCCATCTTCTCCTGCTTATCCGTGGTCGGGTCGCGGGGGTAGCAGTTCCAGCAGAGAGCCCCAAACTTTCTTTCCCCTGGCGACATCAACCAGCTCTGACTGGGGGATCCCAAGGCGCTCCCAGGCCAGCGAAGAGATATAATCCCTCCACCTGGTCCTAGGTCTACCCCTTGGTCTCTTCCCAGCTGGACGTGCCTGGAACACCTCCCTAGGGAGGCGCCCAGGTGGCATCCTAACTAGGTGCCACACATTTTGAAAAAAGAAAAACTCTTCTTTAAATATTTGTATTTATTTAAAAAATAACTGCTTGTATTTATAGTTAGCAATACTTTAAGAAATAATCTTTGAATTTCAACAGTACAGGAACTCAGGCAAATTATTTAATCTGGTAATAAAAATGTTTTGCAAGACGATAAAAATGTCATTTATTCTCAAAGTGTCATTTACGCCTCAAATATGAACAAATGCCTTACAGGACAGAATCATTTAAAATGCACACATTTGTTATTGATCCCATTTTTCCAATTCACTCAAGTCTTGCTCATCTTCAGCATTTGGTTGTGTTAATCATCAGCCTTTTATTCGGACCAGCCCAAAGCACGACAGTGTTATAATATACTGATCGCCATTTTGATAAGAAACACCTGTCATGTGGATTCATCATCTTGGCATCATTTACCAACATTTTAGAAAAACAAGCCTTAGGTTTGCATAGATCTTTTATTTGACGTGAGCCTTGTGCTTATACTTCTCTTCAGTATATGTTATATCACTTTCTTACAGACTATTTCTACCTATTGTATTAGTTTTTTCAGTGAATTGATGACAAAGACAATCAGGCTTTTTTATTACGTTTGCAGATTGTAGCATAAGGCTCTTCTTATGTGTAACTGAGAACTCTGAGAACATTAACTGTATGTAAATCATCATTATGTCTATTCCCCTTCAGCCATCCATGAGTTTCCAGAGGACATTTTTACCAAGGAGCAGAGGAAGAAGGGTGCCGTTTGTCTGCATGCTCTCTGTGTGAGTATTATGCAAGCTATCCCCTGAAATCAACAACATATTTTACAAAACAAGACCTACATAACTTAGTGAGAGTGTGTCCCTGTTCTTTCTTATTCTATCCAGGCCATCTACATGTTCTACGCTCTGGCCCTCGTCTGCGATGACTACTTTGTCCCGTCTCTTGAGAAAATATCTGAGGTGAGCTAACGAACAGTGGCGGTTCTAGACCAATTTGACCACTGGGGGGCCAGTTATTTTCTGAGGGGGGCACAATAAAGGCAGGACAAAAAAGAGAACTAGACAGTATGAAGTAATTGCGCATAAGAAAACAATGCAATACAGTTATTGGTATTTGTTTCAGTACACTTATTTATTTCAGATAGATCTTATAGTTATTACTGTTAGCTTAAGTTATAGTGCAATGTTTGCACTAACACCATATTTATATAAAAATAAAGGCAATGAACAGTTACATCTCTACTTTACATAAGGGTGTCTGCACAATCTCACATTACAGCAACAAAATCCTGCGGTTTTTGGCAAACCGAGTACCAGAAAATATACATTTAAAAAAAAAAAAAAATCATTGTTAGGGGGGGCCACAGGGGGGTCAGAGGTCGGTGTTAGGGGGGCACTGCCCCCCCCGCCCCCCCCCCTAGAACCGCCCCTGCTAACGAATATTGTTACAGATACTATTTTCTTAGTTTAACAGACGATTATTCGTTTATTTTTCATTTTATTCTGAGCTTTTATTTGTTTTGTTTTCATGTTTCAGAACCTGCAGCTTAGTGAAGATGTGGCCGGAGCGACATTCATGGCTGCAGGAAGCTCTGCTCCGGAGCTGTTCACGTCTCTCATTGGTCAGTAGCTGATCCAATCACGGACCAAGTAACAGTGGCACATTTAAAGCATGCTAAAATGTGTTCTCGCTCATTTTTAACATTTCTAATGATAAATGCTGGAATTTGAAATAGTCTTTACAGCCTCTGCAGTGCAAAAACCCTCCATAGGATGTCAGCATAGTCTAATTGAAGACCTCCGGAGGGATTTTCTATTTAGTCAGGTATTTTCTTTGAGATAAGTGAACTCCAAATAGAAAGCTGGATGACCCGTTTGAGATGACAGACTGCAGGGTTTTTATCTCATCTTAAACAAAACAAAGCTAGATATAAAATGCACACATGTGACTTCCTCTTCTCCTCCCTCCAGGTGTCTTCATCACCAAAGGAGACGTTGGAGTCGGGACGATTGTTGGCTCTGCCGTCTTCAACATCCTGGTCATCATTGGACTGTGTGGGATCTTTGCGGGCCATGTGGGGAAAACTTTGTGTTAACCATTTGTCACCCAGCTGCTCCCGAGTGAATGAACACTGACTTTTCTTTATCTTTCTCCACAGACAGTGGTTTTAACGTGGTGGTCTCTTTTTAGAGATTCCACATACTACATCCTCTCTGTTCTGGCTCTCATCATGGTGAGATGGAACATGTTGTCAAATAATCAATTATTGTGTTTCAACCTCCACGTTGTCGTTTAAAGAATCTCTTTTTCTGTTCTCTAGGTAATCTATGATGCCACAGTTGTTTGGTGAGTCCACTTTCCTTAAGTTCTTATATGATAAGTAGGTCAGTAGGTATCTGTATTCATACAGACAAAGCTCTAAAATGGCCTCTCTGATTGGTGTCAAGTACCCCTCCCCCCCCCCCCCCCTGAAAGGACAATTACAATCATGGAGATGGGGCGTCAACATGTCTCACAATCAGTGATAGTTGAACATGTCAAATAGATTTGGTTCGAATGACAAAACATCTGAATATTGATTTCCTGTCAGCTCAATTCAGAGTTAGGCGAGGTGACGAGGAACACGCTCTATTTAAAATCTGTGATTTCTTATTAATTGCTATTTGTTTAATTTGTGTGGAGGAGCTGTCATCCCCATAGGTCATCACACACATGATTAATGATTCGGTTTGCTGTGAGATTCTTTTTTTAGGTCTTCTTAGCTTTAGCTGCCTCTCCTGAACGTTTTCTGTTTTGTCAACCTATGATTGTAAAAATAAATAAGAAAGAAGGGTCTCCATTGTTGTATGTGTCAGCAGTTTAAATGAAAGGGAAGATTTATACGTGGGTTGTTGCAGTGGATTCATCAGTGATATATGGCAGGCTGTTTATTGCGTCCTAGTGTGCCAAGCCTTAGCTGTCTTAGTATATGTCACCTCACCAAAGGGTCTTCTAAATACACTCGCTCAGATTTGTGTCCTAGCTTTCTTTGCCAAATCCCTGCATGCTCCGTCTATCTGAGACATAAGTCTGCGTCAGAGCAATGGTGGCTTAGTGGAAATGCTGTTTGTTTGGGAGGTTAATGAAGTGTTTTCTTGAGTAACGTTGTGTTCATTCACCGGTATCTTTTACGGTGTCCTAAGGGCTGTGTTTATATTTTATAGTTATAAATATGACCAAGCCATTGTAAAGACAATTCATAAACAGAGACAAAGACAGATAAAAGCCTAACTTCATGACGGAAAGACTGTTTCAAATTCAACAACTCAACTAATCTGCTCTAAGTCTAATTGGCCTGGAAAAATATGTGAGTTTTTTCTTAACTAAGCTCTGTTTATTTCAAACCAGTGAGAAAAGAAGGGATGAAAACACAAATAGAGAAATCTGTTGTGGGAAATAACCAAACTCTCCATGGAGACTTTAATGTTGAAGACACAAAAAACGCTTTACACACTTGAAAATCTAGTTAATTGAGTGGAGGGATATTTACACAATACGTTAAGTGCAGTATGTATCTATGATTCCAACTGTCATACAATATGTTATGCTCTATAATTGAGATCATAACATATTAATTTACATTACCATTTGTGTTAGGGCTGCTCAATTAATCGTATTTTAATCGCAATTACGATTTTGGCTTGCAACGATTATGAAAACAACATAATTGAAATAAAACCTTTTTTATTTTTATTTATTATTTCTTAAAAAAAAAAAAGTTTGAAAGAATTATTTTTTAATTGGTTTTTCAGTTGAATCATACTTAAAGTTCATGGTAATCAACTGTTAAAAACATACTGTTCAAATAAATTGATGTTTTCAAAGTAATCGTTTTTAATAATCGTGATATCAATTATTGACCCAAATAATCAAGATTATGATTTTTGCCATAATCGAGCAGCCCTAATTTGTGTTATATTTGATGTATAATATTGAATGGAGGTTTACGTCAGACTCACATGTTTTCCTCGCTGTGCAGGTGGGAGTCCTTGCTTCTCATGACCATGTATGGGATCTACATTATAATCATGACGTGAGTTTACCGAAACACTAAAGAGTCATCATGCCTTTACTACTGTCTAAACTCTGAGGACACACTGTACTCGTGGTATAAATGGATGTGAGCAAATGCTATCTGTTTGGTTGCAGGTTCAACTCCCAGATTCTGGCGTTTGTGACGCTGCAGCTGAGCACCTCCGGGCCGTGCTGCTTGGGATCAGCAGACATCCAAAGAGAAGACAAGATGGCAGAGGACGCCACTGCCTGCAACACGTCCATGGTGCTCCTCAACAAAGGTCAGGAAATGGGGAAAAAAGTGAAATTGTATATGTTAGGAAAAATATCACTCGTCACCGGCTTGGTCTTCAATATCAGGATACATGTATTTATTATCCTTGCAAGAATGGAAGAAGTCATCACACACAGAGCTGCATGGGACAATTAGTTCCCCGAATAGTGTCCTTCACATGCTTATATACAAGAGAGTGTTATTCAGTCACAAGATACCGGTTCAAAGCAGTATTCTGACCTTAGTTCAGATTAGCTAAGGCCTGTGTAAGCAATAAACATGACAGTCATATGTCTATCTCAATAGAGGCTGAATCATCATGTTAATCACATAGCTATCATATGCCTAAAACAGTCCTGATGCTCTTCTAGGTAATCACACATCCTGTTACGTACACAGCTACGTAGGGTCTTTTTATTATCATGTGCTACTCTGATATTGGAAGAGCACATTCAGTTTTTTCCCAGCAGTATAATTGTATGTATTACATACTTGCTTCCATTTGTCATGTGTTTTACTTACAACGTTTTTTTTTACAGGCCAAGTCCACAACCAAGAGGCTGCTCCAGTCATCATGGTGGATGAGCTCCTCAACCTCAACCCTCACAAACTGTCCTTCTCCGACGCCGGGCTGCGCGTCATGATCAGCCCTCACTTCTCCCCCCGCACCAGGCTCTCCATGGCAGGACGCGTGCTCATCAGTGAGGTACTCCAGGCACATTTAAAGGTCTCCTATTATACTGTTTTTCATCAATATATTATAGGTCTCAGATATATACAAAACCTGTCTCTGAAGTGTTTGGCTCCAAATACCAAACAGATCATTGCAGCATTACCCATAATCCCCTCTGTTTCAGGCCTGTTTCAAAAGTGCTGATTCTCTGTCTGTTACTTTAGATGAAAATAAGGAGCCCCTCCCCACGCCCCTCTGAGAGACATTTGGTTAAAAAGAACACAAGGGTGCTCTAGGAGGAGATTCAGGTGATAAGGTGGGCGGGGCTTACCTTGGTTGGTGATTGGCTAATGGTTACACAAGCCACAAAATCGTTATGACATCATAAAGTGGCCAAAATCTGATCAGCTCATTTTCAGACAGGTTTTTATAGAAATGGATCAGGACAAAAAGAGAGAGAATCTTTCAGAGTCTCTTCACACAGAGGGGACACATGTTGATGTAGAAGAGACATGAAAAAGTGGATTTTGCATAATAGGTGACCTTTAAGGCACATTATATCTTCTCAGAGTTTAACGACATAATAACCTCCCACTCTCCTCTCACAGAGACAGAGGCTGATCCAGAGCTCGAAAGACGGCGAGGCCGGCCCGGTGTCGCGGGGGGGGTCGACCAGCAACAGCCTGAAGAGATCGGGCTCCTGCGGCGTGGAGAACGGAGGCAAGACTCCCGCAATAGGAGACGCAGAGTCAGGAGAAAAGCCGGGGGTTGAGGTGTGCCAGACAGAGGAGGAGGGCGAAGAAGATGGGATTTTTAGTCCTGTGCGCATACCAGGTGAGGAGGTTCTGTGAAACGTAAGACTTAAGAGGATGATTTATTTTTAATGTTGTAGCTAATCCCTGCTTTAACATCTTGTTATCACCGCAATAATCCGTATTTAATTTTGTCTTAATGTTCATTATTTAATTTCATATTCAGTTCAGTATGTATATAGACTTTTTATTTTGTATTTTATTATATATGTTGCATTGTTGGAGGAGCTCAGGTCAGAAGAATTTCATTGCTATTTCTACACTGTAGCTTTGTGCATATGACAATAACACCTTTGAATTTGAATTTTGAAAACCATGCGCCCTCTTGACCCCCGTCCTGCTCCTCTCAGGTACTTGGTGTGGGCGGGTGAAGTGGCTGATCAAATGGCCTCTGGGTCTCCTGCTGTACTGCACCGTGCCGAACTGCATCCGGCCCCGCTGGCACCGCTGGTTCATGGTCACGTTTCTGGCCTCCACCCTGTGGATCGCCATCTTCTCCTACCTCATGGTGTGGATGGTAAGGAGGCAGTGAAGAAAGACGCAAGCTTGATTCTTAAAGACACTTCATATTGGTCTATTGCAACACAACAGTTATAGTCTACAGCAGCCTCATATCGCCATCTAAAGGCCCACTGCGGTACTATCATATAGATTACATGATGAATACGATTTATTTTTGAAATGTACAAAGCATTTTATGATTTTGAGGTGGGCCTCGTCAAAATGGTTACAATGAGTGGGCCTGAAGTAACAAAAGGCTTAAAACGCCTTATCTCAAGAATGCCTTGTACTCTTAACAACATCTAGCAATATATAGATGTATTTTTATTACAAATCAGGGGTCAGCTAAAAGGTGTACAGGACAGAGGGGGATTGCAATTCAAGTTGGCACCTTTTTAAGATGCTTAATATGTATAGTTGATAATAATGCATTTTATGTATAGAGCGCTTTTCTTGAAACTCAAAGACACTTTAGAGCACATGTGTCAAACTCAAGGCCCGGGGGCCAAATCAGGCCCTTGGTGGATTTAAGCCCTCAGCTCAGAGCCTGAGCCCAAACATTGATGACCTTGCACCCACGATGAGATGCCAAGTATCTGCTTGAACTAGCATCACAGCAGCAAACTGAGTTTCAATGGATGTTTCCTTCTGCACTTTGTCTCTCAGGACAACAGGGCATGTTTGGTTTTCTCTTTGAGGGAAATAGTTTTTTTGAAGCTGTTGTTGGCCTGTGGAGAAATGTAATCATAAGAAATGACTCCGGAAAAGCTGCAGATAGAGCCATAAGAAATGAATGCAACTGATTATTTAATGTTTAATGTTGTTTTTATAGGCAATAATTTAAGCTTTGTTAGTTCCAGGTTTAATATGTGCAATAAGTTCATTTCAATAAGTTCTGCAATAAACATTGACCCAGTCCGGCCCTCCACTAGTACCCATTTTTAAATTTTGGCCCATTGTGTATTTGAGTTCGACACCCCTGCTTTAGAGAGTAAACATTCATAAAAACAACACACTTAAAATATATAAAACACAACATTAATAACAGATTAAAAGCAGTAGTTGACCCTGATGCATCCTAATGTTTCCCTCAGGTCACCATCATCAGCTACACACTAGACATCCCAGACTACATCATGGGCATCACCTTCCTGGCCGCGGGGACCAGCGTGCCGGACTGCATGGCCAGTCTGATTGTAGCTCGACAAGGTAAACGCCTATCTTTGCCCAGAGAGGCCAACTCAGTGGACATTTTTAAACGACAGCTAAAGACACGTCTTTTTAGATTAGCTTTTCATTAGCAACCCCCGCACTTTCAATGTTCTTTTATATTTTATTATTTACCTACCTTTATATTGTTTTATTTATTTTATAGGTCTTAATCTTTTTATTTGTATTTCTGTTATACCGATATGTTCACTTTGTTTTATGGGGCTTTATATTGTGGCATCGACTCAGTTGTCTTACCTGTCGGAGAGAAACCATTATTTATTTTATTTTATTTGAATTTTCATACCTTTTACCTCCTTGTGTTTATTAACCTGTTAAAATGTTATATATAAGTTCTTAACAAATAATCTGAGGGGCATGTGTTGCATGAAAAGTGCAATATAAATAAAGCTTTATTATTATTTTCTGTCTGGTGTACGTGCGTCACATCTGCATTTCTCACATCTCTTTCCAGGCATGGGGGACATGGCGGTGTCTAACTCCATAGGCAGCAATATCTTTGACATCCTGCTGGGTTTGGGTTTCCCCTGGGCTCTGCGTACCCTCGTGGTGGAGCACGGATCATCAGTATGCATATTCCATATCTCCCATACATAAACAATCTCTTTTCTTCTTATTTGTGATCTACTGAAGTCTGCATGTGTATGAGAGGGCGATAGAAACTGAGATTCTGGGTTATACTAACTAATACGTGGTCATGCAAATGTGATACCTCCTTTTCTCTCCTTACAGGTGTACATAAATAATAAAGGATTGGTGTATTCTGTCGTGCTGCTGCTGGCATCTGTGTTTCTGACGGTAAGGAAATCGGTTTTAATATGCATGTCAGCATGCAAGATACATCAGTATGATTGGATCCCTGAGGAGAACCTGTTTTATGAAAATGGAAAATATTTGTAGCTGCCTTTATCTAATGAGATTTGCCTGCATGTCAATATGTTTTGCCTATCCAGTGTGAAAAGGCAAAAACCGTTTCTAAAATCATTGTGTAGATTTTTAATCGACGTCATGTTCAAACCATGCAGTTTTATATGCACTACTGTTGATGTATTACTGTTAACAGCATGTAGAACAACCAAGTGGCCCATTGAGTAAATGCAGATTCAGGGGATACTTATCAAATTGATACGCTTATGTTAAAGAGCACAGTTATGCTGATTTCCAGGTTCATCATTTGTGTCTCTTCTGGGACGTGTCTCCATGCTTTAATGTTCAGAAAGCTGCTGCAGCACCTCTTTTCACCCTCTGTCTGAAACCAGAGCCCAGTCTGCTCTGATTAGTTTGCTGGACAGCTCTGTTGTGATTGGTCAACCGCTAAGAGATGTCACGCCTCTTAGCCTATCACGTACAATGTGTTGGAGCGCTAGCCAATAGAAGCGCTAGTGTTACAAAGTGATGTCACTATGCCGGGGAAGTAAAAGGAGTCCAATGGAGGCGTTTCAGGCAAGGGGGGGGGGGGAGTGTGTTGGAGAGACAACTTCCTCTATTGGGAACTTTGGGATTTTAGCATTTGAAGACCATTTACATGCACACACATCTATATAACACACTACAGGAAAGGGACAACTCCAAAAAGCATAATAGGGCCTCTTCAATAAAATGAATAGCACTCGATTTATAGTTAATGTATTTTTTAACCCTCATTAAAAAGACATCAGCCTTAAAAAATCCAGTGGCTCCCTTTCCGGGGGAGCTCCATGGGACCTTATTTCGGAAAAAGTATGCATTGAAGTCAATGGAGAGAGAAAGATTATCTTTCGATCCCGTTTGAATTTATCAATTTAAAAGATAATTTTGTGTGAAACCGCTCAATGAACTACATCTCCCGTCTCGCACCACACACCAAGACGGCCGTCACGTTGAAACATTTCACTTCTTTCTTTCAGAATGAGGCGAAAAGTATTAAAAGAGGTGAAAATCACTCCAAGTCTGGGCATGTTGAGAGCTGTGCATACACACAAGGGGAGTTAGTCGGTTCCGTGAGAGCCAGCATGCGGGACCGGGATTCTGGGATTTGTAGTCTTTCTAGTTGCGTATTTTTCATGTCTTATATTTCAACAGTTTTACGACAAACTGTGACTTTTTTGACATGGAAATTACTTTTTAATATATGTGTAATTCGTGGCACAATTCAAACGGGATCGAAAGATAAGTTTTCTCTCTCCATTGACTTCAATACATACTTTTTCTGAAATAAGGTCCCATGGGTCGGAAGTAGATGGGCGGGACATCGCCTCTCTATCCTTCTGGCTCTATTACATTTCCACAACCGAATTAGTGGTGACGATCTCTCTACCTATCCACCTAACTATAGTAGAACGATAATGTTGTCAGAAATGTTTTCTCAGGTGAATCTTTGTGGCTCCTCCTCCTCACCTCTGCCTCTGTTTCAGGTGATGAGCGTCCACCTGAACCACTGGAGGCTGGACCGCCGGCTGGGCCTGGGTCTGCTGTTCCTCTACTCCATCTTCCTGCTCTGCTCAATCCTCTTCAGCCAGATGTGAGGCCTGGGGGTCAAAGGTCGACCCTCTCATGATGAGTAGCTTCCTTCCTACCACACGTCCTCTTTCCCCGAAGCCAAAAAAGAGCGAGAGCTTCGTTGTGTTCCTCGTGAGAGTATCCATGCACGTCTTTAGGACTCGGTCAATACTTTCCACCTGCATCCACACAAACACTCAGTGAAGTCTTCTATCAATAGCACAATTTGCTCCCTTTTGTACAGCGCAGTGTTGAAAACAATCTCTTAAGCATCACATATGGTGACCGAGGAAAATATTTAATGACAAAGGCTTGTTAGGCCTTTTAATAACAATATGAAACAGGAAGTGGAATGGCTCACAAATATCTGTATGATAAATAGAATCCATAACTATATTAAATATTATGTAACAATGATTATGTTTGAATACACAAAAACAAATCACAATGCCTTGTCTAATAAGAATATTTGTTTTAGGAGGGATCACTTCCTGCTAAGTTAACATATCAGCTAACTAGTTTAAACTATTTAATTTGACTAATGATGCGTCTTCACAATTTTAATAAAGCAATAATCCATTAAAAGTTTAGGTATTACAGTGATTTGGAAAAGACTGTTGCTTCCTGTTTTCATTTGTTCAATGTTATTATTTATATTTTCAGTGTTTGTGCTCTGACAGCTGCTGCAGCCGAGCAGATGCATTACAGAGCGATTAGCGAGGGGATGTCCTCGACAACAAAGCAATCAAAAGTTATTTATGATATAGAGTATATGCACATATATTCAGTGTATGCTGGTGTTCACTAGTGTCTCAGCAATCAAACTGTTTGAGCAGGAGCGGTTTCAGAGGAGATTTACTAGCGAAAATATAGATAAAAATCTAGTTTATAGTTCTGAACAAATTGTTTTATCAATTTAATCTGGGGACCAGGATGTGTGAGAACAAGCTGAAGGATAAAGTTGGCTCCGGTGAAAAAAAAACTATATTTATTGGAAGAAATAAAAAGTACCCGAAGGAATTTATATATACAAATATTAATATATACTTGACATGGTTTTAGTGGCCACTGTGTACACTTTGCATTAATGGTTGAAACCTGCAGATTGTACAGATGTTAAAAAGATACTTTAATCTGCCACGTTATGCCTGGACCTACCGTTCAAGATAAAAAAAAGTCTATCAGATTAATATCGTCCGTCGGCCTTGGGTGTGAACACCCTGTATGTATTTGAATGTAAAACCTTGCTGACTTTACCATTAGTGTGGAAATATTTACATGCATTCAAATGTAGCAGACGGCACTGAATCACAGCCTCTGAACAGAGAGGTTCTCTAGTCCGCCTGTAGAGGACATGATGTGTGTGTCAGTAGAAATGTAACATGAAAATGCACATTGTTTTTGCCTAACTACTTATAAGCAAGTATTGGTGCATCTTAATGTACGTAAAGAGATTAACCTAGTGTTACAGTGTTTTTAGAAGTCTTATTATTATTATGAAATCTTATAAATAATCTTCTTCTATGAGTGTCACATACTTTGATGACTCTGAGTGCAGGTTAGTAAAACTTCACGTTTAGGTACGACAATCGATGTTTGTATTGTTTCTTGTACATTTTATGCGAAGATTTCACTTTGGTGGGACGTTTTCACTCAGATGGGGACAGAAACAGCAGTGTGTGTGTGTGTGTGTGTGTGTGTGTGTGTGTGTGTGTGAGACCTGTAAACAGTCTTTGATGTGTACAATCGAGAAATTGTAACACAGAATATAGTTTGGTTAAAAAAGCATGAATCACTGAAGAGCCAGGGTGTAGTGCAAATACCTAATTGCTGACATTCGTGTGTGTGTGTGTGTGTGTGTGTGTGTGTGTGTGTGTGTGTGTGTGTGTGTGTTGCATATTCTCTATTCCTATATACCTGCTGCTCCTGTCCTTTTATATGGAAATTATGAAATAATTTGGAAACATTTAAATAATCCGATGAAGACTAAATGTTCCACCAAAGCGATATGGCCAATTTTGTCTTTGTTTCAAATGGCTGTATAATTATTATCATTGTCTACTAGACAATACTTTTTACTGTTTGTAAATGTTAAATAATTGACATAGTTTTACAATAATGAATGTCTGACAGAGACTAGTTTTGTGGTGTTTTTGATATTTAAAAAAAATGAAATGTAAGCCTACTTGTGAAATATTGGGCGAATGCATATTTTGTTTAGTGGATTATGATGCTGTAATGTCAGAATAGCTCAGTTTGGTATGAATTCTATTGCAGTTGTGTCCTAAAAACTGTTCATCATATGATTTTTATTTAATGTAAGGATTGATTAATTGATTATTTAATGCAAAGGGAATACAGAAAACAAAGCTCCTGTTTACAGGTTTGAATTCAGTTTCAAATGTTTCAAATGCTTTAAAGAATAGCTGTGCCACTTAACTTAAATTACAGTTAGCATTTTGCCCTTTTCTCACAAAATGATGCAATGAAAAAGTCAGCAATTATCCCAAATGACTCGTATAGCTACAGCTTAAAAGTGTAGTTACATTTAAACACATTTGATCAGATCTGCTTAAATGTCATGCCAGGATTTCTTTCTTCAAAGATGCCATGAATGTATCTTAACGGTTTTAAAGGCAATGGATGTGCTGTTCAAATGTCAAAGGAAGAAAAGGTAGGAAGTCCTCCTAAACACCTGTGTCCCAACATAAAAGGGTTATAACAATGCTTTCTGCTCGTCCAAAAAGAAACTTGTGCTGAAATGAATACATAAGCATTTGTTAAGTTTATAAACGTCTCATTCGATCATGAAAATTGTCAAAAACCCACTTGTCGCAGCTTTGAGGATATGCAGCGTTTCTATTTGGGACGACTGGCTGAATAAATTGGAAAAGTTACTGACAAATAAATGAGAATAATTGTTTCTGCTCTGCTTTTAATTTCACTTATTTTGTGCACTTTTTTTGTATTATCTGAACCCCAAATCCTCCCTTTCTTCATCCTTGTAAAACACCCTCAAACATCGGTAACTAATTGTGTTTAGTCAGGAGAACATTTCCTCCCCTTTGTGATGCTAATGCTTTGTTTCACACCGCTGATGTTGGGAGTCTCTTCTGTTAACTCTTGTATTATGTAGTAATAATCTCAATTTACGAGAGACACGACAGCACCAAAGCAAACCGTACGTGTTGTGGTTTCGCAGCACTCAAGAATGTTCTCTTTAAAATGCTGTGATGTTGGAGGTAGAGGACGTTTTAGAGTTTAAATCGATTAGCGGCTGTATTGGATCATAGAACACTGTTGTATCTTGAGACCAATTAAAAATGTGCAATAACAATTCATCTCTTTTGGTCTCTTATTGTATCAAGGTAGTAGGCATATTGAATAGATGGAATATGTAGATGTTCATACAAGTAAGTAGAGTCCTGCTGGTCAAGTGTAGTAATACAAATAATCTATATTTTCGATTAACTGGGTCACATGATTAGGGGTGCATACCGGTTCCCGGTATTACCGAAATACCGGTTACTGGCGGCTACGGTATACCGTACCGAAATCAGATCCGGTTTTCGTTACTTTAAAAAATGTTTTTATATATATAAAGTGAGGCGTAATATCCTTTAACTCACGCCCAAACAGCCAGCCAATCAGATTGCGCGTCTTGCAACGGATTGCCAAGCAACGCCCTTCACCTTCCTCCCGAACGTCTGAGCCTTTCGGTTAGCTTTCGTTTTTTCATTAGCTCGATGTCGGCCCGAATATCTAAAGTGTGGCTGCATATGACTGCCAGTCTGAATGGTGGGGTCTGTATTGATTGATTGATTGAAAAGTGTATTAACAGCTTGTATATTGGGTACAGTACAGTACAGCTCAAAACATACAATTGTTAAGGGGATGCAGACCAGAGAAATACTTTTGTCTTGTTTACATCAGGGTCCCCCATTTCCAATTCATCATGTCATTTAAGACATATAAGACATATTTGACATACAGATGGCTTATTTACAATTTACATACAGGTGTTTTTTTACATACAGATTGCTTGTTTACAATTTTCATTTTAGATTTTGTTCTAATACATCCTAACCGGACATTTAAGACATACCAAGTCTACAGATAAACAGTGAGTACATAGATGGGGGGGGGGAAGCTGTCCATTGAACGACAGGTTGAGATTTGTACCATTACCGGGGCCAGTTTTGCAATGCTCTCCCCCGAAGGTGCTCTTTAAGAGAGGTTTTGAAGGTAAGTATAGTTTTACTTTCCTTTACAGTTGTGGGAAGAGCGTTCCACCTTGATGTGGCATAATTGCGAAACGTGTATTCCCCCTTTTTTGTGCCAAATCTGGGTTTCACATGATTTGTGGAGCTCCCTCTGGTGTTATGATCATGGTATTCCTTGACCTTTGGGAAGTATTTTGACATGTACATGGGTACCATAGAGGTGTAGTGGATCTTGTAGACCAGGCCCATTGCAAGTAGCTGTACTCTGTCGTCTACTCTAAGCCATCCTAGGTTGTCAAAGTGGGCAGAGGTGAGGTGGGTTCTAGATGAAAGGTCAAGCAGTAGTCTGACCAGTTTATTTTGCGATGTTTGCATTTGTATTTTTAGCGCCTTGGAGGTGCTATGGTACCATGACGTGCAAGCATAGTCATAGTACCCTTGAATGAGTGCTCCTGCCAGAGTTTTCAGGGTGTTTTTGTTTACCAGAGAGGAGATCCGGTATAGGAATCTAGTTCTTTGATTGACTTTTTTTATTACATTGGATGCCATTTTGTCACAGGAGAGGTTTGCCTCAAGAATAGATCCTAGGTATGTCATTTCCTTCTTACTTGTGACAATAATGTCGCCCACTGCAACTGAGAAGTCGTCGGATTTGCTGAGATTATGTTTCGAACCGAAGAGAATGGACTCTGTTTTACCCAGGTGTAATGATAATTTATTATCGGCGAGCCAGGTGCAGATTCTGCCGAGTTCGGAGCTGAGGGTTTTTTCAACCTGCAATCTGCTCCTGTCAGAGACCAGCAGGGCTGAGTTGTCCGCGAACAGGAACAACTTGCAGTCACATGCTGATGACATGTCGTTTGCATAAATTAGGAACAGTAACGGACCTAATATGCTTCCTTGTGGAACACCACAGCTCACTGGGAGGGGGGGGGACAGAGTACCGTTTACCTCCACCATTTGTTCTCTCCCCTCCAGGTAGGACCGCATCCAGCTCACCGATAGTTTATCAAAACCAATTGCTTTTAGCTTGTCAATCAGAATGGGGTGATTGACAGTGTCGAAAGCCTTTTGTAGGTCCAGCATCACCATGCCGCAGTACTTGCCCTCGTCCACCTCTTGTTTGATGTGGTCGCTCAAATAAAGAAGGCATGTGTCAGTGGAGTGGGATGTTCTAAAGCCAGATTGAAATTCATAGATTAGTTTCTTTTCCGCGAGGTACTTTTCGACCTGTTCATATACTATTTTTTCCATGACTTTCGAGATGGAGGTAAGTATATAAACAGGGCGGTAGTTGCCTGGGTCCAATTTGCTGCCCTTTTTGTGCAGGGGGGTTACTCTTGCAATTTTGAAGTCTTTGGGTACTTTTCCCTGTTTTATGGAGAGGTTAATTATGTGAGCTATGACTGGTGAGATGGCGGTTGCTGTGTCTCTGAGGAATTTGGAGGGGATATTGTCGTGGCCAGTGGCCTTGTTAGGTTGGAGGGCGCTCAGTTTAATGAGTACCTCTGCTGTTGTTACCCTTGCTAGACTGAAATCATCTTTGCGTACCCCTAGGTTTTTGTAGTAGGTCATGATGTGATCTACTCCAAAAAGCCCTGAGTGGGAGGGTAATTTATTTACAAGAGTTGTGGCTATGTTTGTGAAAAAAATGTTCAAGTACTTGGCCACATCCAGTTTGTCTGTGATGAGCCTGTTATCTGTCTGTATGTTTAAGTTCGAAAATCTCGTTTTAAGTTTTTTACTGCAGCCAAGCTGGTTATTGAATAATTTCAAAGTTCACGGGGTTTATTTTTGTTTTCCTCAGTTTTGACATTGATGAAATTCTTTTTGGCAGTTTTGATCATGGAGCTTACGTCATTTCTTAGTCTGTTTCTTTCAATTTTGAGTTCAGTCACGTGGGCCTGGAGTTCACTGCTCGTGCTTTTGGAAAGCATTGACTGACTTTTATGAAACTCAGAGCATTTTTTGTCTCTGGTTTTCATGGCGGTCAGTATGCCGGAGTGCATCCACGGCTCAGCGCGATTTTTTATCCTGGTTGTTCTTAGGGGGGCCAAATCATTGAGTATTGCAGAGAATTTGTTTTTGAAACCAAGCCATGTTTCTTCAACTTGTGTACCACTGAGCTCATCTGACCAGTCCAGGCTCTCCAGTTCTAGGTTAAAGGCCTCGCTAGAGTAGTTTTTGAGGTCTCTAGATATGACTGTTTTGTGACAGCCGGCCCTTTGTTTTAGCTTTTTGCGGGTACAGAATATCATATAATGATCACTTAAACCGCATGCTATAACCCCTTTACTGGAGATCCTGGACTTGTCAGAGGTCAGAATGAGATCATTGGTAGTTTGTGTTGTTTCACATACCTGGGTGGGTTGGGTGATTAGCTGGCTGAAGCCGTGCAGATCACAAATCCTACTGAAGGACTTGAAGACGGACGTGTCTTTACGTTGCATATCCGTGTTCCAGTCTCCAATAATAATTGTCTCTACATCAGCCAAACACCCATCTAATGTATCATAAAAGTCACTCTGTTCCGGTGGTCTATAGATTGTCCCGACTATTACAGATTTAGCATTGTCAAAATTATTTCAACCTACACAGATTCAATATTTTCATGATGCAGGTCAGTACGGTTTTTGAAATTGGTGTCTTTATGTATGTACATGCAGACACCACCTCCATTCACATTCCTGTCCCTTCTCACTACAAGATAATCTTCAATTTCAATCTCTGAATCTGTAATGTAATTGTCCAATTTGGTCTCAGAAAAGCATAATATGCTTGCCTTACCGTTCATGAATAGCTGCCTGAGTTCAGCCAGTTTGTGTCTCAGGCTGTTAGTGTTCAGATGAAAAATATGTAGTCCATTTTTGTTGCTTAAATGCACAATGTCGTCAGCTTGCAGATATGTGTCTTTGTCCGTTACAGCAACCGGCTTGCGGCCTGCCGTGGTGTTTGGAGAGGTGGGGTGGTGGTGGGGGGAGGGAGGCTCCGTTGTAGCTTTAGCCGTTGATATGCTAGCAGGGTGGCTAACAACATGGCGGATATTTGTTCCCTCGGATATCGGTTCTCTTCCTCTCGTCACTGCCTCATGCGTGTCTGTCTGCCGAGGCGTCCCCGGGGGAATGTCGAAGTCTCCGTTTATTCCTCGGTCTCCGCTGTCTCCACGGTCTCTGTTGTCGTCGCGTAGTTGTTGCTGCAGCGGAAGAGATGCTAGTTGTGATGCTAGTTGTGATGCTAGTTGTGATGCTAGCTCCTCGAGCCTGCAGGACTGGCTTCTTGTCTGCACCGGGCCCAGATTCAGATGGATGTCTCCCGCTAACAATAAGACCAAGACGATCATACTTCTTCGGTCTAGTTTGCCTGACGGCCCGGGGGTAAGTACTTTCGCGTCGGGGTTGCAGTTAATAATGCATGAATGCTTGCACTTCCAAAAGCGAGGTGTTTCCTTTCTCAGCCGTTGAGAAGGTAAGTCATTGTGGTTCATTTGATCCCCGCTTTCATTACTCTCCTTCTCTAAGTGATGTTGCCTCATTGATGAGTTGAGGTAGGAGTCCATAATCCATATTGTCAGGAGGATGAAATATGTAAAAAATCGTGAGGAATAACCTCCAAAGCGGGAGCTCTCAAAAATGCGACCACTCACACCGGATGCACCACGTAACCACTGCCAGTCTGAATGGTGGGGTCTGTAACCACTGCCAGTCTGAATGGTGGGGTCCGTAACCACTGCCAGTCTGAATGGTGGGGTCCGTAACCACTGCCAGTCTGAATGGTGGGGTCCGTAACCACTGCCAGTCTGAATGGTGGGGTCCGTAACCACTGCCAGTCTGAATGGTGGGGTCCGTAACCACTGCCAGTCTGAATGGTGGGGTCCGTAACCACTGCCAGTCTGAATGGTGGGGTCCGTAACCACTGCCAGTCTGAATGGTGGGGTCCGTAACCACTGCCAGTCTGAATGGTGGGGTCCGTAACCACTGCCAGTCTGAATGGTGGGGTCCGTAACCACTGCCAGTCTGAATGGTGGGGTTCGTAACCACTGCCAGTCTGAATGGTGAGGTCCGTAACCACTGCCAGTCTGAATGGTGGGGTCTGTAACCACTGCAAGAAGTTTATTTCTGGGAAAGGCGGCAACACATCCAACCTCTCAAAACATTTGCTACCGTCACATAAAATCAGAGTACAGGAATGTACAGTCTTCAAGCCCGTGTTTTTCATTGTTTGTTCAGTACTAAAAGGTCGAAGTCCCACAATTAATTGTAATATTCATTTGACATGTTAACTACATCATAAAGCGTTTCAATTTTCCCTTATGCAATATGAAAGTATCACGATAAGTGTCGGTCGAGTATCTGTATCGTAAAAAAGCCAACGATATGCATCCCTACACATGATATGGAGCCACCTTCACCAAGTCCACCAACCAGAGGGTCGCCAATCTTCAACATACTGACATTTTTTTTACACATACTCAAGTTTTTTTTCTAATATTTTATATACTACGAATTTACTTTCGGATATTTTCATTTGTTGTATAAGGATTTCCTCTACATTTATACTATGATATTTTTGAAATGTTATTTCGTAATAACATGTGTAATAACAAATATGTATACTCTAATATGACCTTTTTTTATATGTTCATTTTTCATATAATACATTTTGTGACATACTATTAAGACGTTTACTAATATTTTCAAAACGCTCTAAAATGACTTTATTTCCGACACTTCAACGCTATTTTATAAATTTCATATAATTACCTTTTTTCTGAGATACTGTTTTTCGTTCTTATATCTTTTCGACATACTATGCTATGACTATTCATGAAATACTGTATATTTAGTTTGTTCTAATATTTTTTGAAATTTGATATCATCTTTTTATTGACACATTTACTAATATTTTCAATTACTAATATTTTCAAACACACTATAAGCCTTTCGACATACTATACCATGTTGTTTTTAGACATTCAATATGACTTTTACTGATACATTTGGCACCTTTTACTACGTCGTTATAAATTAGTTGAAGTTATAAAAATAAATCACTCACAGCAGTTGATTTTCAAACGATGACACAAAAACCTTTAATTTAAATAGGAGGAAAATAATCACATAAAAAACTGTACAGAACATTGAACATCGACTTAAAGTTCTTAAATAAAAGACCCCCCTCCCAACAACTAATAAAACAATAACAAAGTGGGATGGTGTATGATACATTTTGTGCAAAAGAAGTGTTAAATTGATTCTTCCCAGACTGCACAATGTGAAGAGTGCCTCTCCCCCTCTGATAGGTCAACACACAAGACCCTCCCATTAACCTCAAAATAGTGTCTTAAATGTAAAAGAACCCAAAATCCAATAATAATAAAATAGATTTATATTTTAAATATATATTTATATACGAAACATGCTGTACATAATATCAGAGATAGTGAAATCCCTTTTTATCGACAACCAGGTCCGTCTGTTAACTTGTGCTTTCCACACTCCCAGCAAAGAAAGGATAAAGGAAATGGAATCACAAGTCCCCGTTGATTTGGTTACGAGTGAATGATAAAAGAGCACTGATCAGAAAGTCTCTGTTGTTCCTGAGTGGAGGGAGTTTCTTACGTGTTTAGAGAGGAATAATGCACATCTGTTGCAGCTTCTTCACAGCTGACAGAAGTATCATGGCTGCAAAAAAAAAAACGTCTTTCAAATGGGAAAGTGTTATACTCGGTCCCTTGCTGCCTTGTCATAAGAAGCTGAAAATGGGGAAACAATGTTGAGGAAAACGCTACATCTTATCGCAATTCAATCCTCAACCTGCCTCATTACCTTGAAATAAATGTGTAATCCCCATTTTGGGTTTCGTCCTTTGGAACAAAAAGTCTTCCTGTGGAGGAAGTCAATTTCTTTCCCAATATAAATCCTGAGAACGCTGACCTCCTTTTAAAGTTTCCTAAAAAGGGAACATTAGATCGTTTAGTGAGAAAAATAGCACACAAGGCTAATTCCAGAATCATTCCATCACTGCAGAAAACACACCGGGACAAAGACACCGGGACAAAGACAGCGGGCTGAGTTTGGTTTGACTTCAGGCTTCCTTTAGCTAGACTTCAACCCCCCATCAGTGTTTTCATTTGCTTTTCGCAGCGGTGGAACGGAGAGAGTGCAGGAGTGGGAAAGAAACCAACTTAAAGTGACTTCTTAGCAATTCTTCCAGTTATAGAACAAATAAAAGACAGCCATTGGTGAGATGATACAAAAGTGATGACGGCAAACAAATTGAGGGAGGGGTAGGGGGGGGCACAGCTGACTGAAGGCATATTTCCAATTCGATACATCATCATCATCACACCATATTGACAAACCCCGTTAAAGATATCTGTAAGACAATATTAATCAAATAAATATTCCACCTTTGCTTTCAGTATTTATTCAACTTTATTTCCAACTAAAACGCTGGATTTGACTGTTGTCGAGACAGCAGTAGTAGTGGGTATATTAGTAGTAGCAGGAGATGCAGAAGCAGTAGTATAGTAACAAGGGGGGGAGGGGGGAGGCGGGAGGGGGAACAGAGCTCCCCACACAAAGCAGCCTGGGTCCCTTCTATCGAGAAAGCTGATTGGTCTGATCGTAGAGGGCGTCGCTGATCAGACATCCAAAGAAACTTGGTGCATCTTAAACCGAGGAACTTGTGATTCTTCAAGTAAAGTTTCTTAAAAAAAAAAAAAATATGACATTCCACTTACCAAAAAAAAAAAAAAAAAAGGCTTTAAGTTTCCCAGTTGTTTTAGGTTCGTGATCAACGCAACGTTCACAGATTGGAGTCACCCTACCTCCTGATCCTGGGCTCTGTCTGAACTCACCCTTCGTCTCCGTGTCGTCACATCCAGGACTCGAGTCCTCTGTAAACCGGCGCTGAAGCACCACGTGTTGGCGGGACGGGGGCAGCGTGTTCCTCTCAGGAAACTGCTCCCAGACAGAACTGTTGAGTGTGGATGTTGTCAGGCACCTCTGTGGGAAATAGGCCAGAGGACTAAGAAGGGGGGGGGGGGGTGTTTTTCTCATTGAATATGTATAATGTGCAGGGAAGAAGAAGAAGCAGCAGCAGTGGCCCGGTGAGGATTGAAGCAGTGGAAAAAAAAAAAAAGGCGAATCGTGGTTTCCACACATCCTCCCCCTGCACATACAGCAATATACTGTTTCTTTAAATTGTTACGCACTCAAGTGAGGACAAAGACCGAGGCGATCCTCTCATTTCCAGTATATAAAAAATATTCAGTCGTCAGGCAAAATATCCCTTATATTTGCAAAGGCCTTCATAGCCCGTCGATACTGTTACAACCACGAGGTCGTCCAAACAAAGTGAAGAATGAGAACATGGTGATGAACGCTGACTTTGGGATAAACAGGTTGGCTGAAATCATTTCATGATCTGATCAGTTCAGCATGCTTCAACATGTCCACCTCCTCCATGTGGGACTGACTGCATCCCTCCTGTGGTGCAGAGCTCCGTCAGGCTGCACTCAGTCAGATAAACGAGTCGATGGGATGAGTCTGGGGGGCGGGCCCGGTCCAGATCCCCACGGTGTGCTGGGGGGGGGGGGGGGGTGTCCCAGTGCAGACTCAGCGCAGGTGCTCGAGTAAAGGCAGCTCTGTGGATTCCTCTCGGGGGGTGGGGGGGGTCCGCTGCATTCAGCAGGGTGGGGTCCATCGTCTGAGTGGCTCCCAGAGGGTCCTGGCTCAGACTGAGCTCTTGCAGGGGTGCAGGGGGGAGGGGCTGGAAAGATTTAAAGAAAACAATGATATCAACTGAATTGTTTGCTGTTCATTAATTATACTAATATATCCCAGATGCTTCTTTTTGCACACCGTGAAGATGGATTCTGTAAAAGCAGAATGTTTTTCTCTTGATCCGAGGAACACAGCGATAAAAAGGAGCAAGTTCATCTTAGGCGAAATATGTAATATGTTATTTAACGATTCACAGGTGAGCCGATTGTCGTCTTCGAGGTTTACCGACTCCAGAATCTGGATTTCTTTGATAAGTCTGAAGTTCATCTTTCAAATGTATTTATATAGCCCAATATCAGAAAACACATTTGTCTCAGAGGGCTTCACAAATCAACAAACATGAATGATAATGTTTAAACTGTGGGGGAAACTTCTGAAGCAATTGGAGTCAGGACTCCGAGAGACGAGGAGAGCTGGAGCTTTGATGGCAAACACTGACGGTTTATTTGGAGCTTTGGCCGGAGAATTCACACGACATGTCACGAGCCACGGTCTGACCACACGGTAGAGATGCCACAATCAATTCTGAAGCACCCTCCTGTGGCTCCAGGTTTTAACTAGTTCAGAGTGTAATGATCAACATCCTTCAATAGAGAGACTAAACAGCTGAGGACACTGGATCACAGTTGTTGTCGGTTATGGCTCGAGGTCATCTACACACCAGCTGTCCCACAACAATAACTATCTCTGACTGAGAGTTACCCGGTCATAAACTGGTAACAACAACAACTTGCTAGCGGCTGCTCAAGGTTAGTCAGCTGCGTCAGAGGGCGAAGGAGGACATGCAGGGCAAATGGTTCCCTGACAAAAACAACAAACATATCTGAGAATATATTCAAATGACAAGATAAATGTGAAAATACCAATGAATGGGTACAAAACACAATGACTCAAATACAGTTAGAATACAATAATTAAAATTCCATAGCACATCTAAAAAAACAAAACATTAATGTATATGGCCCGGATAACTTCAGTAACATGTGAGTGAACAGTGACAGCAGCTCCTCACCTGTGTGCGTAGGGTCTGAACTGTCAGGGCCTCCCCCTCCACTGCAGCTGGTCCGGTGAAGCCCTTCCTGCCTGAGAAGCTCCACTTGCCGAAGTGGCTCTCGTAGTGAAGCCCCCCGCCCGGCCCGAAGCCGGCCCGCTGACCCGCTCTGTGGCCCGAGGTCTCCAGGAGGCTCGGGACGCAGAAGCGCTCCGGGCCGGGCAGAGGGGGGGGGAGCAGAGAGCTGCTGAAGGACAGCTGGGAGCTGGACAGCTGGTGGCCCAGGAGCCCCTGGATGGAGGACGTTCGCTGCAAGGAGCTGAGCAGGCCTGCCTCCATCCTGCCCTCTGATTGGCTGAGCAGAGCTAGTGGGAGGGGCTGGGGGTGGCGAGGCCAGCTCTGGGTTGGACCTACAGGGTTGTCTGTACCTGAAAAGCAAAATAAGTGTTTCTTAACCAAGGTAAAACATTGAATTGTTTCAGCAAACAAAAATGACGTTGCTACTATATTGGTTTACAACACCCGAAGCAGTGGTTGGCTTTAGGTCTTACCCATGAAAGGCTGGAGATTAGTGATGTGCGGCTGGGGCAGGCTGGAGGCGGGGGTGCTGTGGGTGGTGTGGACTGCTGGGTTGGTGGAGATGGAGGTGGAGCCCCCCCCGCAGTCCGAGTCCTCGATGTTACCTCCGCTGTTACAGCCCGCACCACAACCCTTCTGTAGCCTGCACAGACCAGTCATACATTACGATAATAAGACATGGGATTTTTAATAGTGCTTTTCCAAATGCTCAAAGACGCTTTACATAAAATATGAACAGAAACAGTACAAAGAAAACCAAAAACATAAGTCCTAATCCAAGTGTGGAGTAAAATGGGGGGGTGGGCGGTGTTGTTGACCAGAGTTTGAAATCTAGAGTGAATAAGTGAGTTTTGAGAGATTTAAAGTAGGGTTGCCAGAAACTGACCATGATCAAAATCGATTATTCGGCAGCCCTGGCGAATAATAATCGATTAACCGAGCACGCAGGCTTCCTCCAAGTTTACAGTAAAACAAACTGGTGGTGTGACCAATGGCCATTTACAATTGTTAATACCATTACTATTATTAGCATTAGTCTATATTTTGGTTGAAACTAAGCCAGAAAAAAAAACAAAACATAAATAATAATAAAAAAATATATAAATAAAATCGATTTTTAAAAATAATATTCGATTATGGAGACTGTAACGATTAATCGAATAATCGAATAATCGCTGGCATCCCTAATTTAAGGGTTCAGGAGCTTTCACAAGAGGATTACACCCGGTCCCAAAAAAACTGCATTCATCACATCAAGTCTAAAGCATGTACCTGTCCCAGCTGCTGATGAGCCAGGTGTAAATGTTGTGTGGGCTGACAGGCCCCCCCCACACAGAGCGCAGCTGGCTGTGCCCCCCGGCGTACGAGGTGGTGAGGGGGGACACGTAGATGGGATATCCGATGGGCTGGTCGCAGGAGGAGTTGATCATATTCCTCAGGGCCTGCTTGGCGTTCTGAATGCTGCCGCGCTCTGGGTTACGGTTGCGCAGGAAGACCAGCTCCTGCTGCTGCCCCGCCCACAGCCCCCGCACACACTCTCTGTTCACCTGTAGGAGCAGAAGAAGAAGTGAGAGGAGAGCAGGAGGCGGAACGGCTGCATATAAACAACTACATCTGGTCCAGGGCAGAAAGAGCAGCATCGTGTAAATAAAGCAATTACATTTCATAGAAAAATGTACCAATAATCAATTAAAATACATATTTTATATTTTAGTAAATATGTAAATGTTTCCATTAACTTCTAATTGTTTGTCAATTTGATTGTATCTTTTATTGGACATATGTAACTTTAACACCCTCCTATAAACACATCTCTGCACAAATATATTTTTAAGAATAATACAATGTTTTACTTCACTTAACTTAAAATGTCAGTTCAACTTAAATGTCAGATTTCAGTATAAAATAGAGCAGCTGTCACCCAGCCCAATCTCCCCCGGGATAAACAGATTATTCTGACTCCTAAAAACAAGCCGGAGACGAGGAGACAGCAGGTGATGTTACAAATGGAGCTGCTGTGATGGAAGTCACATTTCAGACTTGATCTGACCATCAAAGTATTATCGCATCGTAATAGAGAGAGAGCTGTAACCTTGATGACTCTGAAGCTGAGGAACCTCTTGTTGAGCATGATGATCTTGTACTCGTCGCTGCCGTCATCCATGATGTGGCGCAGTGCGAGCAGTGAAGGCATGTTTGCTAAAATGGCGCTGCGCCACACGGGGTCGCCCTCGTGAGATATCAACATCTTCTCCTCGTTGGCAGTGATGGCGTCATATAGAACCATAGGGTCCTCATACTCATCTGGTGATGTGAAGTGGTCCTGAGGGAAACACACAATGCAAGTTCGGTGTAAGATCAGGGACAAAAACTGTCATGATTGTTACCTTAAGGCAGTGGGTCTCAAACGTGTTCTGTCATTCCCCTCTTTGGACAGGTGGGCCTGTTCAAGCCCCACCTGTCCCTCGTCGCTCCCATAAAATGGTAGGCCAAGCTTAAAATGGTCAAATGTATCGTTCTATAACAATATATCTATAACAAATAACATCAGTTCAAAAACAGAGAAAAACAAAAAATAACAGTTCAGAAATAGAGAAAATAAAAGTGCAACGGATCAATCGATCCTCGAATGGGCTGAGTTCCAAAAATAGAGAAAAAGGGCCTACTGTGCAATTGTTTATCAAAGGTAGGCCAAGTTTAAAATTGTCAAATTTATTTAAATAACGTCAAGTTCTACATCTTATAACAAATAATATCAGTCAATAATAACAAATACAATCATATAAATAAAAGCACGAGTGTTTCGTGTGTGTATGTGAATAACTTTGGATTTCATGTGTGTGTGTGTGAGTGCATTTCATATGAGTATATGAGAGATTTTTACATATGTTTGTAAATGATTTTGGTTTCAGTTGTGTTTGTGTGAGCAGGCTCGGATTGGCCATCGGGAGATTCGGGACTTTTCCCGGTGGGCCGCAAGCTCTGGCATAGTTTGGCTGTGGACTTTCACAGCGCCGCTGCGCCGGTACCGCCGCCGCAAACACCCGCCGTTGCGAGTCTCTGGCTGTAACGGTCCACTACCGCCCGCGAGGACCCAGGTTCGATTCAGGCCTGAGGTCCAAATAATTAATAAAAAAATAATCTCCCGTTCATCGCGTCCATTTGCGACCCACCCATCACATCTCTGCGCCCACACTTTGAGAAACGCTGCCTTAAGGGAACTTTTCTTTATCTCTTCATACCTGATGTAGTTTGAGGGACATGCGCACTCCTGGAGCCACGACTCGGTTCAGCAGGTCCATATCTGCAAACACCCATTCATCCCTGGGAGACGTGATGCGAAAGTCTCCCTTGAAGAGTGCATGGAGGCCGTAGAGAAATGGCTCCAAGCTGTCAAAAGGATAAACAACAACTCTTTTATATCGGGCAGTGACAGGGGGTATTATCCACGGAGACAAGCGGGGGGGGTGGGACCTTACCTTGCAGACATGCTGTGGGAAGCCGTGCCCAGAGCTCGTCTTCCCAGGATACACAGTCCAAAACAGAGGTTGACGAGTGGAGAATCTCTTTCACAAGTCACCGGCTAACACAAAATGGAACAATACAAATTAATTATAATGTCTTTCATTTTTTGTAAAGCACTTTGAATTGCCTTGTGTTGAAAAGTGCTATATAAATAAACTTGCCTTGCCTTATAACAGTGTATATTTTGTTCTACAATTACTACAACAAATTGTTAAATATGTATTCTGATAACAAGTTATAATAAAGATAACATTTCTGTAAACAATATATAATAACATTAAGACCCATGTGGGATTCTAGAGTAAATATTGTTGAATCTAACCGTTTGCCGCCTGCTGTTGCAGTACTGAATCCAGTCCAGGTAAACCATGCAGAATGAGGAGAGGGTGATGCCAGAGGCCCGGTGGTCGTAGTCCTCATCGATGTTCAGGTTGAAGGTGGGGTCACTGTCCACGTAGTTGGGGCCGAGACACGGCCGCAGAGCCTCCTGAACCGTCTCATTGGTCAGCCACTCTTCCATCTTAGCAGAGCGACTCACATAGTAGATGATGCTCTGTTGGAGGAGACAAACGATCAGACTGTAACTTGTGACTTTGATTTAAAGGAATTAAATGTCTAGATGCACATTTTACATTGCTACAATAGTTATGCTAAAGCAATGTGAATAGTAAATAATTATATACATTGTTTGTGTAGACAAAGGGAAATTCAGCCATTTCAAGTGTTAGCAAAAGCATCTAATTAACCCTTAGATCCATAAGTGGGTCTTTTTGGACCCGGTGAGGCGGTTTCTTTTCTTGAAGTATCTTTGTAATTTTTTTATCATTTCATATTCCAGCTATTCCTCAAAAAACATGTTTTGGATATCATGCCATTCACATTTTAAGAAATTGTAGTTTTTGTATTTCTACCCCAAGCTTCCACAAGTGGGTCAAAAATGACCCGCATGCATTTTCTATGGAATCCTATGGGAACATTTATTTTTTCAAAATGTAAAAAATGTTTCTAAAATTATAAATAGTGAAAAATTAAATATAAAATATTTCTAGTGTGAACCAAAATATAATACGAAATATTATACAAGTGATTTTTCTTAACCAAAATGACAACAATTGCATAAAAACACATTCCAATACAGGTCCTTTTTGACCCAATTATGGAAGAGTGTAGGGTCCAGTCACTCGTGCATCTAAGGGTTAAGAAAGAACAAAAAAAGGACTCTTGATCTATGGCTTACCTTGACATAGTATGTGATGAGGATCTTACGAAGGTCGAACACTTGCAGCATGGAGGCAGCATTGTTGTCGCTGATGCTGTAGCCCTCTAGCACGTACTTGGTGGCGGCGACCTCCCAGGCGAGCCAGCGCTGTCCAAAGGCCGCATTGAAGGACAACATGTGGGGAAGGTGACCGGGTTCACAGCAGCAGCAGCCCTCGTCCTCCTCCACACCCTCTGTGATGGCCTCCACCTCCCTCTGCTGACAGTAGGTACCTGGACAGGGGAGAACAGGTCAAGGTTCAAGATTCAAAAGTGTTGTTGTCATTGTTGTGCCACAGTGACGCATCCTAAAACCCGGAAGTAAACTCCTTCCGGTTCCTTCGACAAAAACACAATGCAATTTCTCACAGGATTTACGGAAATAGCTGGAAATAAGGTCTGTGGTTGAAACACATTTAAGAGACGAATCACGTTTTGTTCAGCCGGATAATATCCACATGTCTATCCTACTTTTATCATTTTATAATCATAAATCTAGTCGCCAGAAGCAAAATGCTAACGTTATGCTATAAAGGAAATACAGCAGGGTCACTGCTTCAACGTCACGCCAACTTAAGATCGATATTCAAAACTACAGATTCTAAATGGTTCAAGTTGAAGCGTTTGTTCTAACAGTTTGCAGGAGGCAGGTACTTGCTTTCAAGCAGAACAGGGCAAACACACTTAGAGGAGTGTTTACGTGTTCGGTGTAATGACGTAAAACGGCCTCGACAACTTCTGTAGTCCTATTCAGCCACTTGGTAACAACCATCGTTTTTCAGACACGTAAACTCTTCAGAAATCACCAGTGGGGTCACTGCTGATGGATTTAATGTCGTAGAACAAAACGTGATCCGTCTCTTCAATGAGACTCAACCACAGACCTTATTTCCAGCTATTTTCCTAAACCCTATGGAGAGATTGCTTTTTGTCGAAGGAACCGGAAGTGGTAAAATGCTAACTTCTTCCGGGTTTTACGACGCGTCACTGTGGCACTCTATATGTAGGTCATCTAAAGAAGCAGAGTATTCCCACAAGACGATATATTCGAGATAACTCTTTAACTTTTATAATTGTACACTGCTTTATTGTCATGTCTTTAGAGACTGAAGCAAACTTTAATTCATTTTTAAAGATAATTTGATTAAAGAAATAACTAAACAAAGGGTTTTTAGATTTGAAAGAAAGGATTTCACAGAAGTTTGACCAGCTGCCACATTTACATGAGTGCTATTTACTATGCTACAATTACCACATTTGAATAACTAAATGCTATTCTGGGGTAACACTTGAGAGATAACCAAGTAGTGACACGTTAAAACAGCAGGTAAACATCTCAAACGGTTCCATTTTACAAGCTTCAAAATATGGTCAACCCCCCATCATCCCCTGCTGCTGACCTCTGAACTCGAGCCCTCTCAGTTGGAAGGTGATCAGGCCGTTTCCGATCTCGATGATGTGCACCAGAGCGTTGAGGTAGTCTGAGGCGAGGATGAAGCAGTCGCCTGTGGTGTAGTTCCCCCAGCGGCCGAGCAGCAGGTCTCCACACAGGCTGTGCTGCAGGGAGCGCGTCAGGTGCTCGTAGAAAATCGAGTTCAGATTGTTGTCATCAGCACCTGAAAGACCATCAAGGCAGCACGGATAAATACGAGCCAAACAAAGAGAATTAGACGGGAGAATATATCTTTTTTGTTATGGCATACCTGGGTTGCGATCTAACTGAGTGGCAAGTCTGGTGTTGGAATGATCCACGCGCTTGGTGCTGCAAACATGACGAATTGATATTATAACTGAACAATAACGCTTTTATATTAATTATATACGTCATATTTGCACAGATTATCTTTTACATACTTGTAGTCTCTCTCCCAGAATTTGACAGGTCTGGTGTACGAGGTGACGAACACGGCACTGCCCAGGACAGGATTCAGAGGAGTGGAAAAGATGGCAGAAAAGATGGCCTGAACAAAAAGCACAGCAGAGTCTGAAGTAACGTGAGTTAAGGAAATCAGGTGGTATAATACAGTGAAGTGAACATTACATAATCCAGGGTTCATTCACTTTTTCACCAATGACTTCTCCATGACCTTTACCTAATTCTCCATGACCAAAACAATTACTCTTTCTCAGCGGTACCACTGAAAATGGTTTGTTTTAACATGGAACAGGAAGATAAGGTCTGCATATGAATCATGTTGTGCCCTGATTATCATTGACGTAAACTCAAAGTGAGAAAAGGATACGGGGAACGGCGAAGGGTTGTGCGAAGGCGTGGAAGGCTGAGCCCCAGGTGATCTGCCAGGGCGCGATGTAGGTCAACACGAAGCGCAGCTTGTACAGCAGGTCCCACATCTGACAATTACAAAGACAACGACTTTAGAAACAACATCCACAAATGTATTCACAGCGCTACACAGACATCACGTAATCTTTAACTTTGACAAGATGCCCAATATGAAAAATAACTGCTTCTAGAGTAGAATACAATCATATAACAGAATGTGCTATGAAATTCTTAAGAAGAAAACCGCGTAATATACCATCTGACAAAGGCCTGTGCTATAATGCTTCACCTAACTGGCTGTTCTTTATAATATACTCTGATCAATAGGAGACAGAGATGTTAAGTTATATATTAAGGGTTTTTATTATTATTTACAGCAGGGGTAGGGAACCTTTTTCCTCTCAAGGGCCATTTACATTTTTACAACATCCTCCGAGGGCCGTACTAATTATTGACCTCTGCTTAAAAATACTAAAATCACAGCCCATTCATTTGGCCTTTCTTTCATTCTGTGCAAAGAAAAAGAAACCTCTTAATCCAGATATCTTTCCATGACTCGTGCATGCACGTGCACGGTTGTGGCATGACCACCAAAACAGAAAGATAGACACGCAAGATGTGTGCAAGTGTATTTAGTTTCCTATCCATGTGGACATCATTAAAGTGGGGGGGGGGACCTAAAATCCTCTAGGGAAGATTTATTTTTAAATGTTGAAGTTAAAAGCATCAATCTGGTGCACTTTGGGAGCAACATTAGGAGATCTATGGATACATCTCTCAACACATATGAAACAGAACTGTAAGCAGATTTATTTTTCTTTATGGATAATTTGAAAAATCACTCCCCTTTCAAACTGTATTCTTGTTATTTTTAACAACTTTTTTGTTACCGTCATTTAGTATTTTATACCTGTTTTTCATTTATTCTCTTATTTTTGTATTTCTATAATGATCATATCAAGGTGTGCCTTTAACTCACTGAGCTGAGGTTATTTGAGCCTCTCAGTCTCTCAGGAGAGAGCTCTCTTCCACCTGGTTGTAGAAAAAGCTCTTTAAATTCGTTAGCATAGCTAGCTAACCAGATGCTAATAACAACAGATCGCCACTGGGCTTAACTTAAGACACAGCCACGCAAACACTGCGGCATGTGTACGGCTCCTTATGGGTACTGCAATATTTGAAGTGCTGGAGCGTCGTTCCGATGCTCTCCGTCAGCACTACCACGTTACGCTCGTGTTGTGTTCAAGGAACCTGTCCTTGGCCAGGAGAAACAGGCACTCGCTTGTTTAATTCGTTTGCGGTCTATATCTCTTAAATGTTTTTTGAGTTGTCCCCCCCCAAAACGAAAACTCTTCGGTTCTCCACGAATTACACAAGTCACCCAAATCAGCGTTAAAAAAGCGGGAGACGCCGAAAAGCGACTAATTTGCATGCATGATCCTGACCTTGCTGAAGAGAATGGACATGAAGTAGTAGTCGATTAGGAAGGTCTCTGAGAAGTGTGGATAGTCGAATCGGAAGAACAGTGTGGTGAAGCACAGCGTGACGTACTGCTGCGACGGGGCGCAGAACGACGAGCGCATCAGCTTCATGCCGGCAACTGAGATGAAGAGAGCTCGACTGCTGGGGGGATGAGAGAGGGAGAGAGGGGAAATCAGAACACGTATGCTACAGTTTAACTGAAAAATGGAACCACCATTACATAGACTGACATCTATACAACACAGACTGGTGTACAAGGTGAAGATGGGAAGGAAAAAGGAAACAAGAGAGAGAATGTATTTTAGTTTTATCTTGTGCTTTCGAGCACAACCTGCAGGAAGTGATACACCCGTGTGCTGGTACAGCGTCTCAACTCGTTTTGATGTTCTAGCACACAGACAGAGAACAGCACATATCCCCGCGGAGCAGAGATGGAAAGGTATGATGAATGGGTTTGAACAAGTTTGCAGACAGAATGTGGAAAGGCTTACTAGATGTCCAGCTCTTTGTGGTTCTGGCCCACAGCTCGAGCTTCTGTCGTCAGGGAGTTAAGCACCACAGCTGGGTAGATGACATATTTCTCCACACACTGAAGCCAGGCATACAGCTTCTCAAACCACATCAACTGGGCAGCATCTGGGACAGAGCAAAACACACATTACCTACTTCACCTAATGCTGTGCGTCTATTGCATCTCTTACAATTATAATTCAGCTACTTAGTATTATTGATATTACTGATCTGTGAGCTATTCGGAATATTCAGCTGTTTTTATAGTTTCAAGATAATGACTCAGCAATCTATGAAGCTCCCCGACAGACAATTGAGGTTAGGTGTTTTTTTTATATAGAAATCTTGCTGTTTTTCATTTACTCCATGCAGCTTTTTCCTGTGGGGATACTTTGAGTTCCGACTGATCATATAGTAGGGTTTCTTCTTACACTTTTAAGATAGTTCCCTCTGCTTCTTTCTGTGTATGTGAATAAGAGAGCAATCAGACACTGACCTCGGACTTCAAACTGACTGTACTCTCTGGAGCGGAGCACAGGGTGAGCCAGGCAGAACCACGGCAGCTGCTTGCGGAGCTGAGGCAGGAGATAGTGAGTAATGAAGCCTACCACTCCTGCCAGGATGTACAAGACAACGCTAAGAGCCGGCTGTGGATCAAAATCAAAAGAGGTGAATTAGCAGGAGAAGATCAAAGATGCGTTAACTTTTTTCACAAAAAGAAGAAATGTGTATTAAGTATAGGATCATGAATTCTGCTCAAACTCACTTGAAGAGCGATGAACACTGTGCTGGCACTGATGGCGAAGGTGATCACAGCCATGAGGAGACACATGACGAGGTCTGAATGAAGAATCTCTTTCTACAAAGAGACAGTGAGAAGGCACAGGTCTGTAAGAACAGACAGTGAAACTATCCAACTGCAGTGTGTGTGTGTGTGTGTGTGCAGGCGAGTGAGCGCTGATCTTTACCACAGAGTTACGCAGCTTCTCAGGAAGAGGGTCCTTGATCTCCTCAGGGGGCTCTTCTGGGGTTCGGTTCTCCAGCTCAGGGAATAATTTAGACCGGACTAGTGACCTGATATAAGAGGGAAAAACATACAAAAAGCAACTGTGAGAAAAGCTGAGGTGTAGGGTCAAAGTCAAAGTGAAAGCAGGCACATTTCTGTGTGTAGGACACTCAAAGCATATGTGACCTGCTCCATCGAAATCAGTCACATTGACCCGAAGACACATTTTGAGTTGTATACACTGCTGGAAAGAGGAGATTCCTAGCTTTCTAATGATATCAGGATTGTTTTTGTACTCCAAATATTAAGCAAAATATGTCACATTATATCATGACTGTCACCGAGTCATCATTTTGAGAAAAAGGCCTTCAAAGTTTCCTCTTCTCTGGAATCCATCGATCTGATTGATTATAAGCGGCTAGCAAATTATCAAAGGAGAATGGAGGGAAGATATTTTCGTTTGGATTACTGGTCTGGAGGAAGCTCGAGTGTGTGTGTGTGTGTGTGTGTATACGTGTTTGTGTAATTTTGCGTTTGTGTGTATTGTGTTTGTTTCCCGGGGAAAACCCTCACGAGAAACACCGGCTGTTGTTACGCCTGCTGTGACGTCAAGTTGCTCTGTTCTCCGCTTGTAATTATGCCGAAGCTTCAAAGTTGTCTGAATCATCAATCAATCATCTGAATTTGCCGAAACAAGTTTAATATTCTGAAAGCCAAGACTTTGTTTAATTGAAATCAGATGAAAACAAACTGCCCCGGATCCTGCCGTGTTATTTATGATTACTATACGCCTTGCATTCATAATGTCAGCCGGAGGGAGGGGCGCTGCGGAACAGCAGAGTGGTGAGTGAGAGCCGTCTTCTTCCCTTTACAAGCTTCAGAAATGTATTTATCGTGTGATTTTGGAAATAAAAGTTTCATATTCTGAAAGCCAAGACTTTGTTTATTTAAAATCAAACAAAACACCCGAACAACTAGTTTTTTTTACGCAAATCCACGTTTATTTTTAAATGAGCCGTTGCGACTTCCGACTGATTTCGATAGAACGGGTCACATATTATATAGTACTTGTAGATATATGTTGGAAATTCCACAAAAAAATGAAATTCAAAGCCATGGGTTAAAATGTCTTAAAACAAAAACAGGTTTGACGTAAATATATGACTCTTAAAGCTAGGGTAGGTAAGAATGGAGAAACCAGCTCGAGTGTTGAAAATACACAACCGGAAAAAATCTGCTACTTCCTTACAGAGCCCCTCCTCCAACACACACAAACGCGCACATGACCAATGAGGGCACGAGATAAGTTTGTGCACAGATGGAAGGCTGACAGGCAGGTCGGCCATCCAGTTATTTTAGCCGGCCCGGCTGAAATGATTGGTCGTGCTTTTTACAGCGCCACGGCTTCCACAGATGAAATTTTTGTATGTATTTTTTGTCAAAGCATTTAATATATTCATTGCTATCGGGATTTTAAGAGCATTGCATGGAATATAACAAAAAGTGTTTCTGAAGTGAATTACCTACTCCACCTTTAATATAACTTTTTAGCAATGTGTGTCAAAAATGTATATACTGAATTTCATTTTTGGGTTAGTAGAATCTTTAGAAGTTGACTTTCTAATTTACTCCGCTACAGGTACTTTGAAACGTTTAATCATGGATGTATAACTTACATTTGTATAATAGCTTAGGACATGGACAATGTGAAACACAAAGTACTGACCAGAGGAGGGTGGGGTCGCTGCTTTGGCGGCTGAGGTGGTAAGATAGGGCCAGGAGCAGGCCACAAAACACAGAGAACAGTACTGGCACATGGGCGTCCCCCCAGGGTGCCTGATGAAAACAAGTAAACAAAACAATATTAAAAAGAGAATTGTTTTCATCAATTCCCTCTAAGATCAGAGTCTCTCTCTCAAAAAAAAAGACTTCCACTTACATTGATAGCACCGAGGCAAAATCCATAGAGCAGAGCAGCCCCCAGCAGGCTGCGCATGAGGCTGAACAGAGAGGAGAGGGGGCTGGTAGTGGCTGAGGAGAGACAAAGAGAAGATCAGGTTAATCCCTGACACAACATATGTGCCGTTTCTAAACTGACAGTCTTAGGATTTCAGTTATACGTCTCATCATCTTCCTGTCTGTCTATTCATGTTCTTACCAGTTCCACCAAAAATGTGCATGTCAATCTGCTCCAGCAGACACATCACAAACGTGTTGACCTGAGGCAGCAACCCAAACAGGAAAATGACCGGGAAACACAAGGCAAACACTGTAGGACAAAGAAAGGAACACATTAAAAAAGATAAGGAGAAAAAGGTTAAGGTGCTGAAGCGAACCCAGAAAACTACTATTCTATAATTGTAAAGGTTTCTATAAAGCGGTGTCAATGGGTGATGGGCAATGATTTTGCTCCTGTGGGTATTGTCCCCAGTACATGACCGTTACATGTATGATATGTGTGTAATGTGTATTTGTAAAGCGCTTTGAGCATCTGGAAAAGCGCTATAATAAATGTATTATTATTATCCATGCATCAATGGCTAATCTCCAATCAAAGTGCCACTCCAAACATCACATAGACATGTTCAAGGTGTTAGTCTTACGAAGTATTCATGTTTAAAACTAACCAATGAGCATGTCCCTGATGCAGAGCAGGAAGTGTGCAGAGAAGAAGGTGACTCCGTAGAGAGAGAAGGGTTGCAGGTTGCCAAAGCGCCCTGATTGGTCAAAGATCCAGATCAGCACACAGCACAGGCAGAAGTAGACCGGCCGACTGTACACGATGATCCAGTTATGGCCCTGTCAAACATCAGATAACAAGGTGAGTCACAAACAGGAAGATGACATTTCTTGATTAGTTTGTTCTTTATGTACATTCTAGCAGATCAAAAGGTGTAACCAATACTCACATGCATGGGAGAAGCTGCATCTGGTTGTACGCTCTGGAACAAAGAGGCAGAGAGATTAAGCTTTACAGATTTCAGATGTTGCATTACAGAAAACAACAGAAGCAAAAACCAAACGGGTTTACTGTATAGCGTACAGCAGGGCTATTCAAATCCGGCCCGGGGTGATATTTTCTGGCCCTTTGAGTATAATGTTAAAAAGTAATCCAATTGTATTTTTATTTAAAGGTTTCTTTTTGGGCCAGAGTGCCTTTATTCCAGAGAGGGTGTTAAATTGAGAGATAGAGGGGAAGACATTGCCTGAAAACGTTGGCGGGCTCGGGTTTCGAACCCACCTACTAGCTACTGTAGTGACAAACTAGGGCTGTGCAATTAATCGTATTTTAATCGCGATTACGATTATGGCTTGCGACGATTAGGAAAACAGCATAATTGACAAAATACGATTATTTTGCTGGGTGCGCTTTCGCCCCTCCCTAAAAGCCCACTCGGCCACGTGGGAGTGACATGTGTTGTGAGTGTTCAGCGCAAGCGAAGATGTCAGAACAAGAGCAGCAACTAGTTAAAAAGAAGGGTCGCGGGGAGATTCCCAGTCGATCGCGAGATGTGTCTAAAAATAGAACAACAATATTCTGTTTTATCGTTAATGTCCTGTAACATAATGTTCCCGTGCCAGAATAATGCACTTGAACGCATCAAAGCTTTGTGATTGGCCGGCCTCACCCCATGTGTCCGGGCGTGGCTGGTGAGCAGTGCACTATTTCGCTGACGTTGTCCGTGTCAACAGGAGTGACAGTCCGCACACACACAAGACCGCAATTATGGCAGAAGCAAAAAAGCCCAAAATATATAATTTTCACTCCGAGTGGGAGGATGATTATTTTTGTATCTATTCCAATTCAAAGTCCATCTGTCTCATCTGCAATGCGAGCGTGGCTTTATCGAAGAAGGGTAATTTAGGAGCGGCATTTCAAAACAGTGCACAAACGCTACGAGACGGAATTCCCTCCTAATTCTGCCCTACGCTCCAAAAGGGGAGGGGCCTGAAAGGACAGCTAAATGCACAGCAGTCCATTTTCACCAGGCCCAACAACAAGAGCAAGGCTGCTACCAGAGCATCTTATCGTGTCAGGCACGTTCTTGCGAAACACATGAAGTCTTTCGAAGACGGCGAAGTTATGAAAGAAGCTTTCCTGGAGGCTGCGACGCGCTTTTGGGGGACAGTAAAAATAACAGCAGCATTTCAACAGGTTTTTGATATAATAAAAACTAAATTTAGATACCGTTATTAATCTGCTGTAAGTTTTAGTTTGTTTGAATTTATTCATGATAATTATTGTACAAAATGGTATACGAATGCAAACATTAAGATCTGTTCTGTTTAAATTGATTATAGTCTATCAGTTCAGAAACTAGTGTTGCTTGCATCCTATTTTAAAGGCATTTATTTGTATACTCTAATAAAATGCAACAAAAAATGGGTTTGATTCTATTAATGTTGTCTTTTTTATTGCACTGTTGCTGCAGCAGATTACTGTGTAGCTTCAGATCTGAGTTGTCTTATTAGTAAGCCTAATGTATACTTTTGTAGCAACACTATTTTTATATAATGGCAAAGAAAGGGTTCTTCAGAGTCTTTTCTTTTTTTCCTGTGTCATATGTGGCAGCACTGCCACAAGTTCCTCTTCAGAGAGGGTCTTCAGTACAGGTGGCAATATTGTCTCCTGCCTGCGCTCATCTCTGAAACCAGACCATGTAAACAGGCTGGTATTTCTTGCAAAAAATCTTTAAGAGATGACATGAGCAGCCCTACCAGCATTTGCCATGGTGGCCTAAACATTTTTATTTGGTCTTAAATTGTAGTTCAACATTTATTTCCTGTTACTTCTGGACCATGACAGTTGGCCAGCCTTCAACGTTTAACTGAGTGGAATATGTTGAATATGTTTTACCAAAATGTTGGCTATATGTTAAGGAGTTTTCAGTAGGTTGTGACAGTGCACTGCAACATATTTGATTTCATTTATTTTGGTCTAATTTATTTTTATTTATCATATTAATATATGTTTAGTATGGTTTTGGAAGTGCGCTCCAACACATTTATTGATCTTGTTTATTGGTAAAATAGTATTTGTTTTAAAGTTCAATAAATGGTCAATGAATAATCGTCAAAATAATCGTGATATCAATTATTGACCAAATAATCGTGATTATGATTTTTGCCATAATCGCACAGCCCTATGACAAACTGTCATTTATTGCATCTCTGCGTGAATGATTAGATAATTTCACCTAAATTACATCAAATGAAATGATGTTTATGGTTAAATTAGCTTCACATGTAGGCCTACTGAGTTCTGAACATGCCATTTAGATCTATAAAGTGATAAATGTTGTTTGTTTTGTCTATTGTAGTATTTATTGTATCTGAAGCTCTTAATATGATTGCTCATATTTCAAGCCATCTTTTTCCCGCCCCCTTGCTTTGTATCATTTTCATCAACCGGCCCCATTCCAAACTAATTGAATAGCCCTGGTGTACAGTATTAAAACAAAATGTGGCTTAATTACTGTATGGAAAAGATCAAATGATTTTATTGTTGAAAGATGAGTAGACATGGAATTGCTCAAACCTATTGGAGCAATCGTTTACATGTTGTGGCTACTATAAATCATCTTATGAATGAAGTAACACCACATTTGTTTGTTAATTATCTTTGCAGTCATATAGTTGGACTACATTACATGTCACTTGTTAGACGCTTTTATCCAAAGCGACTCACATACTCAATACTATGGGCAATCCCCACAGGAGCAATCTGGGGTGACTACAAACCTATTGTCACGGTCAAAGGACGCAAACCCAACTTAAAAAGGGTCCGTGTTTTATTTAGGGTCTTTGTAGAGTTGTTTGTAGATCAACATTGTAATCAGTAGTAAAGAAACCCAGGGGACAAAAGAACCATCCGGAAAAGTAATTGGATGAGTCAAAGAAATGCCAGAAATAATGTACCTTCAGTAAAGAGTACTGGCAGCTGGCAATGACCAGGCAGAACTGGAAGACCCAGATGTCCCTGAAAAAGCCCTGGAACAGCAGTAGGAACCCTAAGAAGGCCACCAGACTGGCCAGCACCACAGCAAACACGTTCTCTGCCACACGCCGGTTCCTGGGAAGAGAATGCAAAGAAATCAATAAGCTTTGACAACGCTATTTCACAGCTATCTAGATTTAGAAAATATCACAGTATTAGATAAAGCAAGTTAACAACTGGACATGAAACACTTCATTGAATAATATAAGCTTAAGAGCGACAGACCAAACTAAATGTCATCTCTCCTCCACTCCAACAGTTTGCGTACCTGTCCAACAACGCCAGGAGAGCTAATCGGTCGTATCGAACCCTCAGCCACTTTCTGGGCAGCACCCAGAAGCGATAGTACTGTTTGGGTTTGGCTTTCTCCTCAATCATTAGAGTGTTTTCCTGGGACTCTTGTAGGGACTCATGATCCAGATCAAACTAGTGATGAGGTGAGACATTAGTGAACAACAAGGAACATCTGTGATAGTTTGCTCTGATGTAGAGAGTCCCGACTTATCCACATGACAATTTTTCCATTGAATAATCTGCTGCATGAAACATTTATAGACTGCTAACCTCAGGCATTTCCAGAGGCACCCTGCGCACCTGCATGCCCTGTAACACCACAGGTCTGGGCTGGAGCATGGACAGGGCTGGAGCCCCTTCCTGGACCTCAGTGGAGGTGAAGCTTGACGACTGGGACTGTCTCTCCCTCTCTCTCTCCCTCTCTCTCTCCCTCTCCCTGCAATATTAAGGCATTCATTATGGCTTTTATTCACAATTAGTTTGAAAGCAAATGGAGTGCCACAGTGACGCGTCCTAAAACCCGGAAGTAAGTTAGCATTTTACCACTTCCGGTTCCTTCGCCAAAAAGCAGTGCAATCTCTCCATAGGATTTTGGAAAATAGCTGGAAATAAGGTCTGTGGTCGAGACACATTGAAGAGACGGATCACGTTTTGTTCTACGACATTAAATCCATCAGCAGTGACCCCACTGGTGATTTCTGAAGAGTTTACGTGTCTGAAAAACGATGGTTGTTAACAAGTGGCTGAATAGGACTACAGAAGTTGTCGAGGACGTTGTACGTCATTACGCCGAACACGTAAACACTCCTCTAAGTGTGTTTGCCCTGTTCTGCTTGAAAGCAAGAACCTGCCTCCTGCAGACTGTTCAAACAAACGCTTCAACTTGAACCATTTAGAATCTGTAGTTTTGAATATGGATCTTAAGTTGCCGTGACGTTGAAGCCCTGCTGTAGTTCGTTTATAGCATGACATTAGCATTTTGCTTCTGGCGACTAGATTTATGATTAGAAAATGATAAAAGTAGGGTAGACATGTGGATATTATCCGGCTGAACAAAACGTGATCCGTCTCTTAAATGTGTTTCAACCACAGACCTTATTTCAGCTATTTTCCAAAATCCTGTGAGAAATTGCATTGCTTTTCATTGTGTTTTTGTCGAAGGAACCGGAAGGAGTTTACTTCCGGGTTTTAGGACACGTCACTGTGGCACTCTATAGAAGGCAAAACTAGTAATAACTTACTGGACTGGGTCCTCATAACCACCTCCAGCTGGTCCAAATGTGTAGGACCTCTTCACTCCTGTTACAAAAAAAGACAGAAAGCTGTAATTTTCCAAAGACACATTTACAGACGATACATTTGTCCAGATTTGAGAGAGTTCCCAATCTTCTCATTTTCCTATGACTCACCACCTTCGTCGTAGAAATAGTGCACGGCCCCCTCTGTTGTGTCGTCGAAGGTGGAGGCCTCATGGATGCCGCTGCGGGGCAGTAGGAGTGAGGAGGCGAACTGTAAGGCTGAGGGAAGAGTGCGGGTCCGCGAATGAGAGGAGGTCCGAGCCCGCTGGAGGTCCTGAAGGCTACAGGAACAAAAGCATGGGTTGAATATTAGTGTCTAACATTAAATTGAATATTTAATAAGTCTTGCCAAGTAGTTTAAATTAATATTTTAAAACCAAAACTTGCTGGGGATATTATTTTTTTGACAAATTCCACACAGTAGTAAATTCAACTACGATTACATCCATCAGCTTTAATCTTGTAGATAGATTTGAATACTGCAATGTGTAGGTAAGGCATCAGCTATAACCCTCACTTGTCCTTGACTCACCTGGGAGGGGATCCCATGGTGGAGGGGGGCGGTGTAGGGTTGCTCCCAGCATTGTGTCTCCTGCGGATGGCCTGGGTCCTCTTCACACTGCTGACTGAGTCGTGTTTACCCCCATCCTCCGGACCCATGGCTGGAGAAGGGTTATCAGTTACATCAATGCAAAGGTTTATGTGACAGTTTCAACGCACAGTTCACAAGATCATTAACACTGGAATCTACTTTTGCAATTGTAACATTTGTATTTTAAAAGTATAGTGTATAACCTTTTCTAAGTAAACATATACTTCTGCGCCATGTATAGTGGTTCAGTAACCGCTGTATAGTTAGATGATAGCTTGCTACATTAGAAGCATTTCATTACAAGCACTCTTGTAAAACTAGCAGTTCACTGGCTAGCAATAAATGCCTTAATACTAAAAATGGTTGAACATAGTTTTTATAATCTTGCAACACAACGTGATTTGTTTGCCTTTTCTTATCTTATTTATTTGCCCTTAGCCAATATATTTTATCATATGTCAGAAAATAAATATTTGAAGGTTTATCAAGATCTGGCATCCGATGCAAATAAGAAAACTGCACTACAGGAAAACACTAGTGTTTTTGTTGTGTCTTGTTTCTCCTTATGGAGTATAAATGGACGAGCATGTGTTGTGCCATACTGTGTTTCAGAAGAACAATAAATGATCCTTTGACATGGAAAACATCCCAGGATTCTACCTTCACGCTATAGAACACAAGCACAGTGTGGACAGTGATCATAAGTTCACAATAACTCACCTCCTCCCACAGCTCCTTCTTCTACTAGCTCTTCAGCCCTCCAGCCCATCTGGTTACCCGTCCACGAGCCTCCGAGAGAATCTAGCCGATGATGATGGTGGTGATGGTGATGATGATGAGTTCCAGGAAAGCCGTCAGTATGGATGGCGTGGGCTTCCAGATCAGACTTAGAGATGGTGAGAGTGCGAGGTGCAGGGGTGGAGGGCATTGTAAGCAGAGTAGAAGGCAAAGCCACAGTGTTGTTCTGGCCTCCACCTGCCCCATCCATACTGAGCACCCTGGCATGAGTCTTAGCACTAGCAGTGCTAGAAGAGCGCTGAGCAGCACGAGAATGCGAGGGGCCAGCAGTTTCAGGTAAATCCCCCTCCCTCGGAGTGGGCAGTTGAGTAGCAGCGGGGGATGTAACGCCAGTGTTAGCGAGGTCCGGGGAGTAGCAGGAGGTAGAGGAACTTGAGTCGTCATCATCGTCGTCGTCGTCATCGTCGTCATCAGAGCTGTACCGGCGCTGAGAGCCCAGGCTGGAACCAGCGCTCATGTCGCTGCCGTCGTCCTCGTCGCTGGAATCCTCAAACAAACTTTCACTGTAAGCCTTGGCCCCCAGTCGGCTGCGCACTGGGATGTAATCTCTGTGTTGACTATGATTGTGGTGACGCCTGTAAGAGCCGCAGTCGAAACTACTACTTCCTGCTCCGGCTCGCCTGCGTGGAGCTTTCCTTCGGCCAGGCCTGTGCCCCACACTACTGCCGCTGGCCCGCAGCAGCTTCAAGTCTTTGGGGCGCACAACCTGCTGGGCTTGCAGAGCAGACTGGTCAGACAGTAAAAAGGGGGTCGAGGATATGGGCAGAGCAGGCTCAGAACAAACTAGACCCAGGGCCAGCCCTGAGGCCACTGAATTGGCCTGCCGAGGAGGGGGAAGAGGAGGAACAGTGATATTTCTGTCTAAATCACAAACCTCTGAGTGGCCACTACTCGAAGGGGAAGAGTTCTGGAGAGGCCGGTGGTGTGCAATATCACAGGGTACTGGGGACAAATCCTCTCCTTCAACAAGCGTCCTGTCTAGCCCCTGGCTGTGGGAGAATTCTTTGGAAGGCGAGCGCAGCAGCACACTATCAGACAGATTATCAGTATCACTGCCACCCTGTCCTCCTGGATCGTCTGAGGGTTTTGGGAATTTGGAGCCTATTGCTGGTGCTGAGGCATAAGCCTGTCCGTCTGCAGGCCGGCTGAATGAAGGACTTTCCAGCTGAGTGGAATCAGTCTTTTCACTGCGGTAACTGCTAACCGTGCTTAGCGTCTCTCGATCTGTGGTGGCTCCGCCCGCACTGAAACAGCTGTCTGTGGACCCGGCAGCCAGAGCCACTCCACTGCGGCTGCCCGGGTGCTCGGTGCCAGGTGCAAACGCCACGGGGTCAAGGCCCAAACCCAGCAGATTTTCACTCAGCTCCTCACTTAAGCTGCTCTTTATGAGGGGGCTGAGGGGAGTATGCCCCAGGCTCTCAGATTCAGCAGAGGGCCCGAGGGGAGAATAAGCCCCCAACCCATTGTCCTCAGGACTCTGTAAAGACAGTTGTTCTGGTAACTCCTTCAGTTCCTGCAACTGTTCTCTCTCGCCTCCATCTTCTTGACTGGAGGGTGAAGGGGGGATAGACAAGCAGACTCCAGGTTCAAAGCCACCAGACACCCCCATGAGTCCGGGGAAATCTCCTCCAAGAGCAGCAGCAATGCAGGACTGAACCACACTGGGGGCCCCTGTACAGTAAAACAGATACAAATCAGATTCATATGCACTAACAAAGACCAACAACTGCTTTTTGTGTTGTTTTCCTATACACTTGCATGTATGCTAGGGCTGTACCCGAATATCCGAATATTCGTTCGTTGGAGTACTATTCGGGTTTCAATTTCGTTATTCGGATATCCGTTTTGTTTGTTTTTTTCCCCCTAATTGAATTTATTGAAATCTCCAATATCAACGTAAGAGCTTGTGCCTCTTTGGGGGGTGCCAACACTTAACCATAAATGTTATCGTTTACTTTCTCCGTCTTTATATGTAGATATTACTTTTCTCCGTTAATCTCCGCCACGTTGTTTCCAAAGCAACAACAACTTCCTGTCAACTGCGCTAACTCTCCTTCAAAATAAAAGCATGTCCATAAATAGGAAGCCAAGCGAAATTACACTTAAGACATATACAACTGCAACGAAAGTAACAAACACAATGCGATATCCTTTTCAATTTCAAAGAACACAAATTGGCAGGATTAGACAGTGTTGACTGTGTATGATGCTGGTTTCTGCTCCCTTAATATTGTAACTTACTAATGGTGTCCTGAGACCTCTGGCGTAAGATCTCCCGGTGAGCTGACGTAACAATCATATTATTGCTTCCTTGCTCCCGCATCAACTCTTTGATATCTGATGTAAAAGGAAAAAAGTCAATCCAAAATGGTGCACATTCATCACAGGTTAAATTCACTTAGATCTGGAGCTTAGGTTTACGTGTGTAAGCCCATAATTAGATTCATTTAGATGCAGTATGAAAACATAAGACCACACATATTTACCCTTAGTGCCCCCTGTATCCTCCAGCTGGGGTAAAAACTCCTGAATTTTAAGGACAATTTAAAAAACAAACAAAAATAACGGGTTAGTGAACTCAAATTAACTAATATGTACATATATCAATAAAGGACATGAGAACAGTTCTGAATATATTTGCACAGCAGACTGGCAGGGGAAATGACTGAATTACTATTTGAGGTAGGGCTGTGCGATTATGGCAAAAATCATAGTCACGATTATTTGGTCAATAATTGATATCACGATTATTTTGACGATTATTCATTGACCATTTATTGAACTTTAAAACAAATAATATTTTACCAATAAACAAGATCAATAAATGTGTTGGAGCGCACTTCCAAAACCATACTAAACATATATTAATATGATAAATAAAAATAAATTAGACCAAAATAAATGAAATCAAATATGATGCAGTGCACTGTCACAACCTACTGAAAACTCCTTAACATATAGCCAACATTTTGGTAAAACATATTCAACATATTCCACTCAGTTAAACGTTGAAGGCTGGCCAACCGTCATGGTCCAGAAGTAACAGGAAATAAATGTTGAACTACAATTTAAGACCAAATAAAAATGTTTTGGCCACCATGGCAAATGCTGGTAGGGCTGCGCATGTCATCTCTTAAAGATTTTTTGTAAGAAACACCAGCCTGTTTACATGGTCTGGTTTCAGAGATGAGCGCAGGCAGGTGACAATATTGCCACCTGTACTGAAGACCCTCTCTGAAGAGGAACTTGTGGCAGTGCTGCCACATATGACACAGGAAAAAAAGAAAAGACTCTGAAGAACCCTTTCTTTGTCATTATATAAAAATAGTGTTGCTACAAAAGTATACATTAGGCTTACTAATAAGACAACTCAGATCTGAAGCTACACAGTAATCTGCTGCAACAGTGCAATAAAAAAGACAACATTAATAGAATCAAACCCATTTTTTGTTGCATTTTATTAGAGTATAAAAAGAAATGCCTTTTAAAATAGGATGCAAGCAACACTAGTTTCTGAACTGATAGACTATAATCAATTTAAACAGAACAGATCTTAATGTTTGCATTCTTATACCATTTTGTACAATAATTATCATGAATAAATTCAAACAAACTAAAACTTACAGCAGATTAATAACGGTATCTAAATTGAGTTTTTATTATATCAAAAACCTGTTGAAATGCTGCTGTTATTTTTACTGTCCCACAAAAGCGCGTCGCAGCCTCCAGGAATGCTTCGTTCACAACTTCGCCGTCTTCGAAAGACTTCATGTGTTTCGCAAGAACGTGACTGGCACGATAAGATGCTCTGGTAGCAGCCTTGCTCTTGTTGTTGGGCCTGGTGGAAATGGACTGCTGTGCATTTAGCTGCCCTTTCAGGCCCCTCCCCTTTTGGAGCGTAGGGCAGAATCAGGAGGGAATTCCGTCTCGTAGCGTTTGTGCACTGTTTTGAAATGCCGCTCCTAAATTACCCTTCTTCGGTAAAGCCACGCTCGCATTGCAAATGAGACAGATGGACTTTGAATTGGAATAGATACAAAAATAATGATCCTCCCACTCGGAGTGAGAATTATATATTTTGGGCTTTTTTGCTTCTGTCATAATTGCGGTCTTGTGTGTGTGCGGACTGTCACTCCTGTTGACACGGACAACGTCAGCGAACTAGTGCACTGCTCACCAGCCACGCCCGGACACATGGGGTGAGGCCGGCCAATCACAAAGCTTTGATGCGTTCAAGTGCATTATTCTGGCACGGGAACATTATGTTACAGGACATTAACGATAAAAACAGAATATTGTTGTTCTATTTTTAGACACATCTCGCGATCGACTGGGAATCTCCCCGTGACCCTTCTTTTTAACTAGTTGCTGCTCTTGTTCTGACATCTTCGCTTGCGCTGAACACTCACAACACATGTCACTCCCACGTGGCCGAGTGGGCTTTTAGGGAGGGGCGAAAGCGCACCCAGCAAAATAATCGTATTTTGTCAATTATGCTGTTTTCCTAATCGTCGCAAGCCATAATCGTAATCGCGATTAAAATACGATTAATTGCACAGCCCTAATTTGAGGCATAGTATATTTATGAAGTCAAGAAAAATAAGTACATTCCAATTAGTAGGATTGGAGATATTATGGAAGGAGATAAATGAAGACTGTTCATATTGTTTGCTGTTATAAAATATTGTGATCCTCACCGACACCTGGTTCAATCCATACAGAGAGTGCTGGGAGCTACAGCGCACAGGGGGTGTCGAGTTGACCTTCCGAAACACAGTCATCTCCACACCAACATGACTATCCCTGTTACACATACAGACAATTGAAAGGACGTAGCATGTCAGAGCATTGGGATTTAATAAGTGTTCACGAAAATGAGTCAGAAAACATCTTACCTGCGGTGATTCCCATCATGAGCACCTGAACCTTCATCTCCTTCTTCTGTCTTTGGCGCTTCTGCTGTGAGTGAGGCATGCTTCTTCTCTACAATCTCTCCAAGGTCGAACATAGTATGAAGCCTGAAGTTCACCACCTTAATGGCCGTGAAAAAGACTGCCAGTACCGCAGAGTACACGCCTGCCACCACCAAGCTAGGAGGAAGAGCCTGAGAGGGAGAGGAAAAGCAAAAATAAAAGTAACTGAGACATTCATTTGACAGCAGCTGGCAAACAGTAAAGTCCACATTTATAAAAGAAAATGTCTATTGCTAATTTCAAATAGGAAGTTGGACAGCTTGATTATAATAACATTACACTTCTTGAGAAGCTAGAAATTAGTTGTTCAAATATTTCAGACGTTAGATTATTTACCAATACAATTGAATAGTATTTAACCCCGTTGTAAAAAACGGTCCTACTTGTAAATATTTGACCTTTACTAATGGCCACTCCTAAGCAGCAACTATGCAACACAATATGTTAGGCCAATGTCAAACAAATCCACATTGCTTAAAACACTTCAACATAGGAGAACTAGGGTGATAATGTTTGCACACAGTGTCAGTTGTGAATTTGCATAAACTCATGCATTCTTCCCTGGTAAACATTGTATGACCTACCTACTGCTGTTTTGCATACACATGGTTTTATAGCAACAACAACAAGATGATGTGATGCATTCACTTTCATTGTAGCTTATAATAACTAGGTTAAACTGCGGGTTTGTTTGAATATGACTGGTTGTGTCACCACATGTGTTGCTTGCCATAATGGACTCCAAGGCACTGCTGCCACCAAGATATCCTAATGAAACTGAATGTTAACACAGCTCATACGGATATTATAAAATCAATATCAAAACAGTAACAGCTTCCTTTAAATGTGACCTCATTTTGCAAATGCTGTGGTATCCGAACAGGTGTTTATCGTTGAATGTTTGTGTAGTCTCATGCAATTTGTATTGTTAGAGATCTAAATATGATATAAATAAGCTATGTATTAACCATGTACTGCATACAAATGGTTGATATGGTTATGTGCTTGAATTGAGTTGTTCCTTCATTTATATGGATACATTTGCAAACAACCTGGTGTGAAAATGTGCTTACCATGTACAGAAGAAAGGGAAAGGCCAGGAGAAATATCCAAAGGTAGAGGTGGAAGCAGTTGGAGAACGTGCTCTGGTGCGGGTCCACATACCAGCCTCCAGTGAGGGAAGCCCACACACCCTGCCGCAATATCTGAAGCGCTTGGGAACCCATCTTCACCTTTAGGTTTTAACCAGAAGCTAAAATGCTTCCTCCGAGGCCGTGGTTAAAAAAAAACGGTCCCAACAGTTCGAGCCACAGTATCCTGTGTCTAAGATGGCACTTCCATTGGGAATGGCAGGTTAACAGAGACTGTTTCATCAAGGACAACAGTTCTGTGTCTTGGATATGTACACTTCAGTTGAGGTCAAGAGTCCTTGCATATTCTTGAGCCAGTATGTCTTCTCTCCCTGCACCAACGCTGCCACCCTCTAGCCTTGCTGGGTAATCGGGTGAGGGACTTTTTGGCACATTGGAAACCCACTGAATGTATGAAAAAACATTCATCTGTAAGAAAGATCAAAACATTTTAAAAATTGCATTCAGTGGACACAAATGATTGCTCATAAAAGTACACTGCAAGTCACAAAAAAGGTTTAGATGTATTCAAAAATAAATAAACTGTCCATATGCACAAATCAAATCTTGAGTTAAACACTTTAAATAGTGTTTCTAGTTGTTTTGTATACTTTAGAGTACTTCCTTAAATTCCAAATGATAATAACGAAACATTGTGGATTACCTTTGATTTTCAACTGATCTTTAATTAGTCAAACTATCACCATATCAATGGGACTATATTTGAGTTTGATATAAAACGTTATATATTTGTTTCATGTATAACTTCTACCATGGATCAACCACTAATAACCATTTGAGCTGCTACTACAATAGAGTTGTAGAATGTATTAAAAACACAGATTAGAATGGCTTTAACTGACACACGCTAACGTTACAATCAATCATTACAAACTTGTTTGTCAGTCAATATCTTCTGTCCAAAACAAATCATCAGGGAAGCTATATAAAATAGTCGATATATCAATCAGATTTCAAAGAGGATGACAGAGCTTTAAACTCCCTTTTCTCATCTCCAGGCTAGTGTGCCAGCTAGATTAAGTTTCTGATTGACATTAGCAAGCTAACAGGCAATTTAGCCTAGCCCACGAATATCTCTGTGTATTTATTCTCCGTCAAATTCTAACTGTTCAACCAACAACGCTTTCAACCACCTCAGAGAATATAACAACTCGATTGGTAGCAGCAGCATAATACTGCAGACTGACTGACACACATTAAACATCTCTGGACTGCTTGACGCTAGTTACCGGCTAATGCTAGGCCGCATACATCAGCATTTCATCCTGGGTAATGTCCCTATCGTTAGCAGGGGAAATGCAACGCCAACAACAAGTTAGCTTATAACGCTGGTCGCTAGGCGATTGTTAGTTCCTCGTCGTTAGCTAATGTTAGCTTGATAGGTTTGATAATTGTGCTTACATTAAAATGTTTTCCACATTTGGCTCAAACCTTACAATTAGCATGAGTTGTCCAGCTTGGCTCATATCCTCCTTCCGCATCCAGTCCTTGCAAAATCTCAGAGCTTTCCTTCTCAGGATGCTAGCGAGCCTGTCCAAAAACTGTAGCTTACTTTTTGCTTGCGTTGGCTAACTTGTCATTTCTTCATGAGGGCCCCCCATCCTCTTTGGTATTAAAGGTTGACAGACATGCAGCGGGGGCGGAGGTCCTCTCTCATGACGGACGTTTCTTGGTGTAAACGGAGCCTATGTTAAAATGTTTCAACAAGCTAGCTAACTGTATAGCTAGCGTTAGCTAACAACTAGTTGACACACACGCACGGACCTACGCATGCACGCACGTACGCACAAAGAGCGATCAAGGGAGAGAGAGATTCCCATGGCGCTGATTGGTCGTATACAGTGACGCCATGGGAAGGGTTTTTAAGAGAGACATTGACATGAATTGTAGTTTATGCCATGAGTGTATTTTATTGATGTTTCAAAAGTTGTATATTTATTTTGGCGTCGCCCAAGTGCTTTTATTACTGAGACCATTAATGAGACATATTGTTTAAAGCACTTCATTCATACAGAGATGTATGGACAATGAGTAGGCCTACATGAACCGAGATTGTGGTTGTTGGAGCTTGAACATGCTGTCCTTGGTTTACCAGACAATAAAGGGTCAAGGGTCAGGATTAGAGGGGAAGGGATAAACACACGTTATAAAGTACCTGTTTGTTTCACGATTCAGGCAAGTCATTGCTAAATTAAAACAATATTTGTATCCTCTACTTCACCAACAATATTAATACAATAACAAAATAAGTCTCACTGGATCATAAGTATTGATGCAACAACTTGCTAACTTGCTAACCTTAAATGATGCATTATTGCTGTATAGCTTAATCTACTATAGATTATAGTAACATATGCTGTATTATTTTTAAATAGTAACTAAAGTTGTTAAATAAATGTAGTGGACAAGGAAAACATTCTTATCTAATCACTTATTGTTGAATGAGGATGACTGAATTACATACTTGACTGACATCTGACATACATTTGATAATGTATTTGGACAACCTTTTACCTATTATTATTATCATCCACAAAAAGCAGTATATACACTTTGTATATAGCACATATACTCTCAGAAATAAGGAACTAAATAAACAACTGTAGGATAAATACTTACTGTCTGAAGAAAATCTTGCTTGAATGTTGAGGGAACAAAGGTAGGTAGGAGCGGATGTGACATACGGGTTGTCATCTGGGTTTATCTTGTCATAGCTGTTTTGTTGAATTAGCCTTGTGACATTTTGGCAATGCTCAATAGTGGCTTCTTGTATCCTCAAACTACCCCTTCTTCATGGCCAATGTCAGCACATATCAGACATCACATAGACCAGACCTGCACTGACAATAAGCCCACAGGATTGTTCCCCATCTGTCTCGACACAAACGGCTAATGGGACAGGTGACCTAGCCTGCTTGAAATACAATCTGTCTAAATTCTTGTCTTTTGTGATAAACCTCATCTGCTCTCACAGGATAAATTATGGCTGCTTTAGAGGGGGGCAACTACAGTCTATACATCACTCTGGTGTTCAGTGATGTGGAGATAACCTTCCGTCCATCTTACAGTTCCTTGTATTCTCAGCAGGGGGTAGTAGAACAACACAAACCACGCTACTGCTGACAAGCATACAGATGAGTGTTTTCATCCGAGAGATGGTGGAACATGATCTTCTTTAAATTGAAATATGCAGGTCAGGTGACACATGTATCCATAACAAATTACTAATTAAATCAACCATCAATACATTGGACAATCAGAAGTTGTGCATATTGTCATTTGTTCTAAAGTAAATAATACCTATGCTGACCTATTTGAGACAACACTTGTTGAAAAAATATTCTTGTTCTATAGTCTGAAGCTTCAAAATATGGTCAACAACCTTTGGTATAGTACAGTATGTTACTGATATTGCTGATGTTAAATAAAGTAGACTTACTTTATGTTGTAATATTATAACAGAGGCTGTTAAATCATACATTTATATTCTCCTAATATTATAGTAGCTCCTTTACTTCCTAGTATGCAATGTGATAGCACCTTTTAGACCCTCTGCTTACTAGATGCCTACATCTTTCAAACACTCACATTGAACATTCAAGTTACTAGTGACTCTTAGTCTAGTCCTGAATAATAAGTGGCACTAACCATGGTTCAAAAGGCTTTATATATTTTTTCATTTGTCCTAATCTGCTTCGTTGAAATACATTTTTTAAGTAGAGTGGACCTTAACGACAGAAGGAAGTGTAGCGTGTAAGTAAACCCTTAAACATTTCATTCTATATTAAATAATGGTCATCTAGGCGTCACTAACACACCAGAACTACGCAGTGCCTGAGTGAGGAAGAGAGAGAGGAGATGATGATGAAACTCCGGTGTAAGACACGATTTTAAAACACATCATGACCTGCAATGTGTGAAATGCTGTTTCTTCATGTTAAACGTGTTAAACCATCTTGTTAGCAAAGTATGACCATTTTAAAATGACATCACTGTTAATTCTTTGTGTTTCTTTTATCCCAAAAGATTCACAACTCACAATGATTATCCCTAGTAGATAGATTAGTATATTATATTTATAAATTCCCCTGACCTTCAAAACTCTGTCAATTACACCTGTGTTTAAAATTTTTAAGACAAATAAGAGTACATTTTCTTTGTGAATCTACAAGAAGCAACACACAACACAGGTGTGTACAAAGTATATAATCAAGTGTATTTTCATCTTTATCCACGTTCTGTACACATATTAAGATCCATTTCACATGAACACTATACAATAGCAATGAGTGAGGAATGGAATAGAGTGCTGAGCAGCTCATGTTGAATGGCACTTTCATAAAAAATAACAGGAAATCACAGAGCATGAATAAGTAAATGTAGACATAACTCAACAGAGAAAATGGCTTTATATTTTCAGATCCATTGAGTAACAGATTCAGCACATATAAAATGCACAATGCAACAAAACATTGTTCCATCCTTGTGTTTTCTCTGCATAATCTGAACCGTCAAGAATGCAAAAACAGAAGATATTTGCAGCTTTCAGAGGAAAGTGTGCTTCTTGTCTGGATTTAAGTAAAAGGCAATCTAAAATGGTATGTGTTAAGAGGAGTGGTAACAAGATACATCGAAATATCAATACAATTCACAAACCTTCAATTATTCATCTCATAGAATAGTCTCTTAGTAACTGATAGAAAAAACAATACATGTTTGGCTGCTTTACAAGGAGTATTTATGTCTCAAATATACGTTTACATTTTCCATGTGCTTTTTGAATGATCCCGTGACAGTTTTGAGAGATCAAGCGTGAGCCAGCCTCTGGTGAGACGAGCTGCTTCTCCCTTTCCAAGAAGAAATACTTTCTCGAATGTGTTTCTGTTTTCCTACAGATCCCGTGAAGTTCGGGCGGCAGCGGTTCTGATAGAGTGTGAGGGGGGGGGGCAGAGCATCTCAGACGTTTATTCTTCTTCATACCTGTTCCCCAGCGGACACAATGCTTTTTCAATTGGCTAACCTCTATATGTACATACAAGCAATGTTTACAGAGAAATACCTTCACTGGTGTAGACTGACTTTATCACATTTATCCTGACTGAGATCTCACATAAATAACATTTCTGATCCATCATATTATAAGGTTCACTGGCCGGAGAGTGTTTCATAATTCCTCTTTTTGAATGCCGTCTTTTTCTCCAGGAGAGCTAAATATGCTTCATTTATGATACTGCACCAGCAACATAATACCAACTCTCATGGACAGAGGCAGAGTGACTCGGGAATTTGAAAACCACCTAACATAACAATGAGACTGCAGAGATGATGTCTAATCCAAATAAAAGTGCTTTCATTTCGAGTCAGAATAACTTGGGTGCTTTCTGCTCATCTACCGTAAAAATTCAATAATCTGCCCTGTTCTGCTTCATATATCACGATGGGGACATTGAGACTTGAGATAGAGCGTTACAAAGAGGTACAAAGAAGACATTTAGACAAATCTGTCCAGATGTTCTCGCACTTTCTCCACTGTACCATGCTATATACAAAGCCAAAATGGGTATAACTCTTCATATCCTGTTGAAAACATTTTTAGAAAAAAATGATACACTAACAAAGAACAGGTGAACGCAGACCGGGTGCACATTATGACCCGGAGAATTATTCAGATCTTGTGGTGTAGAGGAGGATTTTTATCATTGGGCAAACCTTGACTTTTGAGAAAAATGAAAAAAGCAAGCCTCGCTTTGTGCAGTTGTTTTTTGTGGCCTGTGAAAATGTCTCTGATGGTCGACCGGGGAGCGAAACGAAAGCATCATCTCTCTCATCCTCTTGTCTCAGTCCACACTTCTCTCCTACTCCGCTCTCAGACGTAATATTCTTTGTCTTTGTTCTTTTTGCCCTTTGTGTTTGCCTTGGCCACAGAGGCCGTTGCTGTGCTTTTGTCTTTGATCACTGCTCCGTTGTCCTCCACAGTGGAATTATTGGCAAAATTGTGGCCCTGGTCTGACTGGTAGGAGCCCTCGTCCCGGTTGCGGTACTTGTACATGGCATAGAGGAGTATAAGGATGCAGAGAGCAGCAGCAGCCACGATACCAACCACCATCCCCGTGGTGCTGCTGGACTCCCTGATCACCTCCACGGCACCCGGCTGGCTGTTTTCATCAGAGGCTGCGGGGTTGGCTGTGGGCACATGGGGAAAATTGGGGGGGTAAGTTAGTCCTGGTGTGTTTCGGGAAGAAGGAGGAGCAGGAGGCAGAAGCACCTGGTCACGGGTGTTCATTTTGCCTGCGGGGATGTGGAGCTTGTCAGGGTTGGTGGTGGGAACATAAGGAGGTAGGGGGCGGGGTTTCTGGACTCTACCCTCACCATCGGTGGGAGGTGGAGGAAGAACTGTCCTGTCAGTGACCATGGGGGAGTTATTTTTGTAAAAGTCCTCGTCATCCGATTCTGTCATCTCCCCAGAGCCGAAAGCCGACACCTCCACAGGGTCACCACAGTCTTCCTGGTCCGGGGGGCAGGAAGGGTGAGGGGGGAGTATTAGGGACTCTTTGGTGGTGTCAAGTGGGGAGAGGAGGGTAGGGGGAGGAGGGATGACGGGGTAACGGGTGGCGATAGATGGGGGCTCAAGGGAATCCACTGTTATAATAGGCAACACTAATTCACCTCCTAAAAAGGAAACAGAAAAGGTAGGGGATCCTAAATTAGAGCGGCATTACAATTTTAATTCAGGCAGTAAACTTGTGCTCATTAAAATAGAGGCACAATCTGCTCATTACGTACAATTTTACTGAGGAATTAAACTAATATTAGCTGGCTTATCAGTGTTAGTATGAATAATCATCACACATATTATGATTCCTCTATAATCAAGAGTATTCACAACATTCGGCACAAGAAGAGACTAATTCATTAAAACCACCTTTTTCTTAACAACCTACATTTCTTATGTGGAGTGTGTGCGCACATAGTGTGTGTAGCATTATTCAAATATAGTACAAGAACATTAGAGAGCTCACATGTAGACACAAACATACAAGATGATCCCTGAAAGGCGGCAGCTAAGTGAAGAGCATATAACAAACATAGCAAGTAAGAAGAAAAAGCAGAGTAAATTAAAAGGACATGCTGCTGTATAAACATCTGAAGGCGTGCTTAGGGGGTCAAAGGAGAAACACAGGCAAGTTATTTTATGTATGAATCACACATGGAATATTCTGGCCTATGGCTTTCAATGTGTGTGTTCTGTACATTTGTATTCCTCATCAAACAACCCCCTCACATATATAGCTGTATTTATATAGATATTCTTCTGACTTCTTTTGCATTGAGCTTTGACTCTTAGGTCAGAATGTCTTCTGGTTGTGGAGGAATATTTGAGTATGTTGTTTTTTATGGCCACTCGTTTCTCTTTCATCATTATTTGAGTCACACTTTACAGGGCCAGTCAACAACAAACAGTTCTGATAAGGTCATATTAATAATTGAAGCAGCCATAATAAGGGCAGACTCCTGTCTCAGCTCCCCAGCTCATTTCTGTCACACAGCCTGATCTACTGTCCACTGTGTTCCCCACTTAATGACTGCGCTACTCTTCCATCCAATTAGGTGAGTTACTGACATGGCTTAAAAGCTAATGCACCCAATGAATTGATACCAGTGGAGACTGTAAGAACAGCGGTTCAACAACGCTTCTGTATAAATGAAAGCTGCACAAACATGAACTGAAAATGGAAAATTAATAATGGCTGCCTGAATTCAATGGGTTTTGTCTTGGTGTGTGAGAGCTGGACGCCCATGGTTTATTTTCTCTGTGGCTGACCCACCTGTTCCTGGTTCACACTCTTCCAGGTCTTCATCATCACTTGGACACTCGGCTGATGCCACCAAGATATCATCAGAGTTCTGCGGCTGAAAGGCAAAGATAGAAAAAGTGTTGTTTTTTTACAAATATAGAGTCATCACGTTCCCATCATCTAGATTTGTGCTCAGCTTGTATTTAGTCTCGCTGGTTGACTGCCCTATTTGAGGGGAAAACTGCAGCATACAGCACTGTGCCACTTTCGTGTTTTTTGTTGCTTGGAGCCACGCTACTTAGACTACAAACTCAAAATGTGCCCATATGCAGCTGCTTTTTATCCTGCACCCCTGTGGCTGAATTCATGTGTTTACACAGAGTACTGCTGATGGAGAAGGATTTCTCAGTAAGCAGATGTTTTTATTAGATTCTATATCATTTGCTCTTTGTACACTTCTTTTTTATTAACATTAAAAAAAACAAATTCTAATAAGCTAAATCAGTGAACATGTCTAAATTGAATTTTAGGTCGCACAGTGGACTCAGAATACCTGAGCAGAGCGGGGAATAGATGGTTTGCAATTGGATTATTCAAATGAATTGAAAATACAGAGAAGATAATTTAAGGGAGCCCGGACAAAATAATTATAATGAAAAATGCACTCTGTATTTTTAATAGAAGAGACAGGGGATTTTTTTTAATGAAATCTCAGGACTTCAAATACAAGCGCTAAAATCCTTCCAATTTGGCAAGTTTGCAGCATTTTGAAAGCGTTTGAAATGTTGGTTGGTAATGTTGACCAGTCTGGATGCATGTCTGATCCATGCGCTCCAATTCTTAAGGATTCAATACAAATATATTGAAGCATGAATGCTATTATTATCCTAGCACACTTGGAAATAAAGTGAAATACGTGATGCATTTACAATCAGTGGGACCAAACCTGTCGTAAGAATGCATGCACAGTTAGCTAAAGGATTTAAGTAGCCTATCATTTGAATAATTATGGAATTCTACAAATGTGTCAGACATTCGAAAACAAGGGACATTTGATTTTAATGATTTCAGGGTCAGAATCCTTTTAGCCTCCGGTGATTATCACATGCATATCTAAAGGAGGTAATTGCTGTTTGATTTTAATTTAAGCTCCAACAGCAACTTCTGACATGATTACACAAAAATGATAATTTATCTTATTATGAGTACTCATGTGCAGTTCCACCCCTGCACAATAAACTGAGTTTATCTCTCTTTATTTAGAAAATACGAGTTTATTTTTACAAAGGTTAAGGCCATTGCCAGAGAGGAGAATTGAGGGATCAGATTTGTGTGCTGTATGATTGTCATTGGTTATGTGATTGTATCTCCTTATTTACTCCTGATAACCCAGGAGCTTGAGTGCTATACGTAAGACTTCATTGTCCCCATAATAAACATTTCCAACCATGAGCAACATATGGAGAGACATTGAGTTATAGATAACATAGGTGAGTTTCTCTAAGACTGTACAGTTAGTTTAATACAAGAACAACATGCTACTTGAACCCCTGCTTTCAAATAGGGCAAAATACACAAATAGATTGAACATATCATTCAATTTTGGTTCCAAAATACTCCTTATTGTATGATTTTGAGAGGAAAATGACAATTGACTGATAAATAAAAAGGTGAATATTGGTTGACCCCAGTGTGAATGCTCTAAAATATGAATAAGGTCGCTGTAAATAGTTTGGGAAATGTTATAATATCAAATACGGTTTGTTTGAATTAAATAAATTAGATGGCACTTTTTCACTACTATCTTAAGTTGTTCACATGCACATTCATTATGAGCTATGTTTGGGTCAGAACCATTTTAAATACTATGGAAAAACAGAACAATGTAAGGTCTTAATAATTCTTAAAATATTTGCAACAATATTAAAAAAATAAAGCCCAATCTCTACAAACCACTTAAAAAAACAGATGTATTTGATTGATGTTCTGTTACTGAGCCATTTTAATATCCCATATGTTTGATTTCCCTGAAAAGTGGCCAAAACAATCCTCATCTAAGTTACTAGCCCACAACTTTTATACTCTATCTGACCTTTGAGATGCTCTCGCTCAAGCTGGGCGACCTCTGTCTGCGGGTGGTGGTCGTAGCCATGGTGGTGGTGGTCTCCATGATTGTGGTGGACATATCGGACACTGCCAGCGGGGTGGCGGAGGTGATGTCGGTGGTCAAAACAGAGAACGAGTCTCCGACCAGACGCAGGTTCCCCTCCGCCTGAACACTGGGGTCGTTCTCTGCTGCCAGCTTGAGCACCTGGAGACCGTTGTAGTAGAGCCCTGAAATCTGACCCTGGAAGGGTCGATCCTTGTCGTGACCGCCAATTTTAATGGCTGCCTGGCTGTTAAAGATGGTCAACTGTCTCCCTGAAGTTACACAGACATAGAGAGAGCAAGAGGTGGAAAAAAAAGGAAGAGAATAGTGGAGCAGACATACAGAAGTCACACGGGAGAGCTTGCATAGGAACATAATTTGAACCAGGTGGGCTTTTGTGATTATAACATCATACTTAGTCATATATTTAAAACTTAATTAGACGCTAACTTTAAATGGGGAAGGTTAGGTATTAGCAAGGTTATTATTTAGACTTTACACATGCAGGTTACAATCAGAGGAGGGTTATATGTTTAGGCTCTTATTTAAGTGTTTTGATTGGACATGTTGAATTATCCCGATGTAAGCAGACGGTCTGTGGGTGTGGTAGAAAGAAATGTATGTTATATTGCTGAGTCATTGCAAATTCATCTGTTGGATAACTCCAAAATGCCAACGACATCTAAAAGATTGGTAAACACCTGGGATATGCTTTTTGGGAACCGATTCCGGCTGGTTTTGTTGGATTTAAGAGAGATAACCAATAAGGCGCTGTACAACCTTTTTCTAATGGCAGCTTGGGTATAAGCAGCTTGTGGTGAGAGGGTTTAACAAGCTCACTCTGTGTACTCTATTTCCAGGTTTCAGTACTAATAAATACATTTATCTAAGACAACAGAATGTTTTTTCATTCATCACTAGAGGAGAATGAGCAGATGTTTTTTCATCACTCAGCTCCAGAACAGATGGTGCTAGGATGCAAGTCTTATGGGTTCTTTCTGAAGAGATGGGCACATTATTAACATGGTAGTGTCGCTATACTTTAGACTGTAAAGCTTAATGACAATAAAAGACATCCCTCCCTTACACTGACTTCATCAGCCATTAGGCCATTGATGCATGCTGTGCTCTGGGCGCCATGATTGTTTCACCTCCTGAAAGTGGCCAATGATATCTAATCTAACAGCAGGACTGTCGGCAGCCTCCCTGATAAGCAGTGTTACATCAGAGGAGGAGGAGGGCTCCAGTAATGGGCCCCTCTCTGGAGAATGCTTATTAGCAAAGTTATTGGCTACAAACAGTGATCTACTGTCTAAACATCAGCTTGGGAGTCTGATGTGGTTTGTGGTGGTACAAGATAAGGTAATACAAGGTTGCAGGGAACACGAAAGGGAAAATAAACTAATTTGGTGAGATAACATCCAGGAGTTTTTTTTTTTTAAATGTTCAGTTTAGGAGGAACGAGACTATGGCGTCACATGTTAGTTTCAATGGTGTTCATTGGAGTCTTTCACCCACAAAATGATCATTTGTTTTTCAATTATTCATCCCGTGTAGCCTTGAATTTGTGAAAAAACATGGTTTTTCTTGGATGCCTCCAGGGTGAGAAAAAGGTCTGAATGCATTGAAGGGAAATGGAGGACCCGTTTACGAACTCTCACACATCGCAATCAAATCCAATTTTCATTTATCCAGGCATGCAAGAAAATACATGTTCTTTCAAAACGTTAAGATAACACGGGGTAAGTTATTGATATACAAATAGTCATTTAGTGCGTAATGTTTTAGTTCCATGTAAATGTTACACAGCATATTAATGATATTTTATGTATAGCAATTACACACAGTATCTAATTACACATTAAGAGGGACGATAGAGGGTTAGACAAGGGTTATGTTTTTTTAGGTATTCGGTTTAAATCTTTGTTAAGGTGCAGCTTATCCACAAGGTTAAGGATGACAAAGAATAAATGGCAAGTACGCCATTCCCCTTCACTATGAAATTAATTTTGAAGTCCACTTAAAGCTATATTGTGGTAATCATAATCAACAGGCAATAGAGAGTCAAATTAAAATGGATGTTTACATCTGGGTCACTTGTCACCCTTGTCTTCTGGCACTGCACCTCTCATGGGGAAGAGTTATTTAGTATTTATTTCAGGGATTAATTATTCATCAGTTTATTTTTTACCTTTATCGAGTAGCCACTCGTCAACTACCCGACCAAGTCTGTATGGGATTCTTTGTCTAGCAATAGCCAGTCGTTCATTATCATAGTGTCCTTCAAAGAATTTGGAGAGACAGATTAAAGGTTAAAGTCTGCAAGCTGAAAGATCACATGGTTAGAAACAGAGTTATAATGGCTAACAGGTTTAACAAGTTATCAATTTTAACCCAGCTGTGAGTTAAAAGAAACTTGTGCTTTACTTAGTGTTATCTAGTTATTACGAGTAGCAGAGGTTGTATTAATTAGAGTTTAGGCTATTTATAATGTGCTGCCCTAGTTAGAGTTATTTAGTTATTTTTTAAGCAATGCATGATTCCAATTGCAGTCAAATTTAAAATGATTTTAGGTACTGTATAAAAAAGAAGTTAGTTATTTCAGGTAAGAAAGCATTAAGAAAAGCAGCCACTTCAACAAATACAATCATTTAGCATTTAGACAGTGATACACATTCTGTAGTTGCAGCCAAAAATACATTCACAATTGACTGCAGTCATTACAGAGGGCTGAAGTCTCACCCCACTCCTATTCCACAATGTACTTTCATGATATACTGCATTAAATACAATGGGAGCAGTAGTTGTTTAATTCTGAACAAGATTTTCAGACTAAATAAACAAGTGGATAAACAGTAAGCTCCATCATCAAAACCTATTTCTATTGATCTATTAAACGCCAAACTACATTGTGGAATCAGGGCTAATAGGACTTCCCCTCTCTATATACCACATGCAAACACAGAAGAGTAATTCATCGCAAACAAACGTCGACAGGAAATATACTGTTTGATTCAAAGTATAAGAATTGCCCAGTGTATACTAGTTCCATAAATACGTTTCATTCAGTCTTGTGTTGATTTAGAAGAAGACCTGTCAATCATCAGCCACACTGTTATGACTTTACTGTTGTTGACACTATTTATAAACTACCACAAGTGTAGGGTACCAAATCCATGTGGAGTAGGTTTTCTAAAACCATGTTTAATTCACATCTTCTGTATGAATATGTAAATAAACTGATACAAACGAACAAAGAGCAGTTTGAAGTCAGCCATGTTGTTGGACAATAAATGAATAAAAAGGATTAGGATTACAGTTGAAAACGGAAAGGGAGGCACAGTAAATAAACGGTGCATGAAAATTGAATTGAAGCTTACCTAGGCTATTTTTTTGTCTCCTGTTAGACTAAATAAAAAAGCAGGTTTTAAAATATGTGAACCATTCACAGAGCATTTCGAGAAATGCAAGCAGAGTTTTTGCATTTTTGCCTCACACAAAGGTCGTTGCTTGGTTTCCGTGTGAAGGCAACAATAGTTATAAATCCTTATACACTTAAAGAAACGTTACGTTACGAAAAACACAGCTTCAGAGCAGTTCCTGTGACAATTACAAAGTCTTTTTTGTGCAGGGCTAGCATCCACAAAAGCCTCACAAGCATTGTGGAAACTTGCCTAAGAGGTTATACTGTATGTACACTTCACTCAATTAATTACAACTATTACTCTATTTTATACCCATTGCACAATTTCTGGATTCAGATGCCATGAGCGTGTGTGCTTTAAGCACCAGCTGCAGAAGGGACTCGGTTTCCTCCCGCTCCGCCAGCTGGAGCACCTGTTCTAAACAAGGTTAATTGGTTCAGAGCAGGTTAAAGCACAGCCGGTCGTGATCACATTATGAACGTTGGGTTTTTTGGTCTATGCGTATATGTTTGGTATGAGTCTCTCAAAATGGATGAGCTTTGAACTTTTTGTACAGGGAAAAAGATCTGTGTGAAAGGCAGGGGCGGCGGGTGCTGTAGGCTAGGGAAGGCTAAGCCTTCCCAAATATTTGTGTCACTGCATCCTGGTAAAATACAAATATGATGTAGGCTATAATGTCTGTGTCTTTGACATTAGCGCTGCTAGCCACCTGTGTCCTGTGCTACGAAGCCAGTTCAACATACAAACTAACAAACGAGATCTCGCTAAGCGGTCCTACGACGCTGGTTATCAACTCGGTAAATCAAGCCAGGGTTTCTCTCTCCAGCTGAGAGCGCGTTCACGTGAAAGGGGCGGGGTTAGCGACATTTCACCAATCACAAATCACAAACAGGGACAAGTGTACTGACAGCGCAGCGTCATACTTCATTAATGAAAAGTAAACTAATATTAGACAAATATGAGCTTTAAACATCCATGACTTAAACATATAATCCAGGATACAAGCCACAGAGTTGCTGCAAGGTGAATACAGAACAACTGGTTAAAAAATGAGTGTTTGAAAGCGTATAGTTTTATGATATCACTGCCCGTCTAAGACACGAGTGGATCTGACTTTAATTACATTTGACTCGAGTGTTTCGTCAACATAATGTGTTGCTTAAAATAATACTTCTGCAAACAGTATGTGACACTGTAAGTGTTGCACAGCCAGATACGGCTGGAGAAGCTGACTCAGATAAGGAAATATATGATATATTATGATATTATATGATCGATGATCTGATTGATGATGTAATGATAAGTGCGACACATCGGCGTCTTCTCTGCATATGGTAGTTTAAACTGTATTTCCTTTATCCTGTAATATGACTTGAGAGATTTAAACTCCGCACACTGAGTTGATCTCTTTTCTATAGACGCCGGAGGCGGGCAGCGTCAGGTAAAAAAAGTTATTTAGCCTTCCCAAACCTGAGCCTCACGCGCCGCCTATGGTGAAAGGTGCATCCTATCTTCTCCATTGTGTTTGTTTGTCTGTGTGCCTGGGCAGATATAATCCACATTGAATATGCAATGCCATGAAGGTATTTGGATTTTCCAAAAACACTAAACCAGAATAAAATGTGTATATAATATAATTTTGGAGTATGGAGTAGGTCATTTGTCTTAGGACATGAGGACACTTTTATCCTCAGGCAGAGTTACTTTAATTATGTACATATTTATGTATAGCATAGTATTTTATGTTATAGCATCTGATTAAAATGTAAAACACATATCCATCATTTTAGAGCTGAGCCTTTTATCTGGCAGAAGACAGTGTAAATTCAGCCAAATCCATCAATATGCAAAACGGACGTTATGGTAAGGTCACCTTGTTGGTGTTTACAAGTGGCCAGATGAATATGGATTTAAGCATGTTCTCAAGAGAATTGTAAATGTCAACAATTTATCAGCTGAACCGACAGCATCCACCCGGGTTAGTTAACACTGCCTCTATAGACCTGGAACAGGCTAATAGATCAACCAAAAAAGATACATATTCATTTAGATTTACATAGTAATTGAACTGAAATTTGTTTTTGTGCTACCTATGGATATCTTTTTTGTACTCACAGACATACTGCTTCACTTACTTTTCTCATCTGCTACTTTTTTTCCCAAGTGTCTGGCAGACTGGCTTCAAAAACGACAGCGGCTAATGAAAATTATTTCATTGCTAAACATACACAAGGCAGCTTGAAGCAAATGTATCAATTTCAGCTTATTACATTTGTTTGAGCAATATGGTTATGTCCAGTTGTATGTGTGTGGCAATTTAATAGAGAGCTCACAGAGTGATGAAATAACTAGACGGGAGAGCTGAATTAAAATGAGCCACTGGGTAAATTGCCAATCTTTTTTTCTCAAACAGTAAATTTCACAAGTGGTCATTCAAGGATTTATGTTCGAGAGGCAGACGTGCAATCCTCTCTCGTTAATCCAGACGCTCCATGCCAACTCTGTATGTATCGTATAACCTCATAGTGAGGCCAATCAGTCTTACCTGGTGGATATCGCTCAATAACCGGATTGCTGTCCACCTGGAGGGTAGCATTGCCTCCGCTGCGTGTGAAGCGCACTACATGGTACTTGCCGTCATTTACAATGACAGCAGGCTCATCGATGGTGATGTCATCTGTCCCCACGTTGAAGATGACACCAATTTTTCCTTCATCCTGCAGGTAAAAAACAAAGAATGACACGTATTTCCCATTTATATTCACTCCAAACGTGCAGCCTATAGAGTTTCCGTCGGTTTCAGGGTTGTGGAGCCAGAGACATTGTTTAAAAGCGTATCTTTTGTGACATGAACAGTATGTTTAGTTCTCTCTTCAGGGTTCAGTATCGTCCCCCCTCAGTGGGCAGCTCAGGTTTCCTGATGTGGATCTCTCCTGACAGAATCCTTCTGTTTCTCTTTTGGTTGACCAACTTTTCCTCCTGCAGCATCTCCCTGCTCCTGCCATCCTTCTTTAAAGATCAAGGCTACTTCTCAAGTAAGCCTTTGGGTGGCACTTATAAGAAACGTGATAAAAACTGCATGTGGGGGTGTCAGTGCCTGTCTGAACTTTGTTCATCAGCCGCCTTGCAGTGTTTCTAAAATGCAACACCAGGTCAAAGTGCTAAATGTGTGGAGACATGTGTGTGTGTGAGCAACACATAGATCACAGAGGAGCACACACACTCTGCTCACTAAGCTGTGCAATATGGCCTGAACTGTTGTTGTTCATATCCTGATAACAATATATATCAGAACATATAGCATGTTTTCATGTAATTGAACAACTAGTCCATATGAAATAACTACATATTAATGCCTATTGTTGTTCATTTTTGTTTGATTTAAATTATTGTTATACTATATTTCCAGCTATACAATGACTATTAAGATGTCAGTTTGATTTAAGCAGAATAATTGGGTGTAGGCACACAGCTAAAACAATAAAGCTTAACGTTTAAATTATGAAAATCCTGCAAATCCTCTTCAAAGTTGAAATAATAACCATAACAATGCAGATATAACCCTGTCCTGCTTGCTATTATCAATTAAGAAATCATAATTGTGAATCACGATATCTCAATATAGAACCTCATAACAATATGATTGTACTGTAAGGCAATAAATTAACATTTTGAATTATCACCGAGCCATCTACAAACCAGTGGACTGATATAGCCTTTGTACTACGATGAAACACACAACACATAAATAATCCTACCATGAAGAGAGCTCATTAATCACTACAGTATGACCCGGAACATGACAGCCTGAAGGTTAAGTGTGACAATAAAAGTCGACAAACCAAATTACAATGTAATTCATTGGCACTCATAACACAAGTGGTCAAGTGGTTATGCAACGAGTGCCTGTTGTACAGTATGTCTTAAATGCAGGATCGTGTGCACATAATTAGAAAGTCATTAAAATAACGCAATATTAATAATAAGCCGTGTAGCTTCCCTGATATCATTCAGCTGTTTAGTTTCAAGGGCCAAGAGTGTGCAGGTTTTATTTAAACAGCTGGTTGCACTATATCACAACTTCAACAAGAGAGGCGAGAAGAAGTAAATATAGAAATAGGTTGTTTATTGAAATGAAATACTGCATACTGAGGCGCCTGCATGGCACAGGGTGGAGACAATATTTACAGCCCATATGGATATTAAAAATCTCCCACACATTTATAATAATATGACAGATTTGTCCTTTCTCTCTGGATTTTAATACTGCATTACTCATTGAAAGACCGAAACATTTCTTTCTGTAATGTTGGCTGCTATTGTGTGAAGTAAAACCTGTCTCGGAGCTTTTCTCTCAACTGCTAATTATATGTAAAATCCTTCCGGAAACCTTTTCAATTTGAAATAATGATTCATGCTGACAAAGTTGGTGTGAGGTAAAGAAGTCTGAAGAGACCTTGAACGTCCTATTAGTAACGTCACTTCAATCTTGAGAAATGTACCACTTATTTCACATTAAGGAGCTCTATCTCTAAATAAAGACCTTCATTTTGGAGGTCAGTAACAGGTCGATGGCTCTTTCAATTGTCTTCCTGTCATCACTTGAAGGTTGTTAGGAACCAAGAAGGAAACAAATGTGTTTATGACTCATCAACTACAGCTGGATAATCTAACTCACACAAGTCAAAAGGAAGATGAAACCCTTTCAGGACAAATGTCTGCCCACTCACAGTTACTCACATTGACACCGAGTTAATTACAGTCAGCTTTAGTCAGTGCTTGAATTGGAATGAAAAAGGTGCCAGTACTCTAAAATCAGCAACTTTTTCAAGTCAATTTTATATATACAGCCCACAAACAAGAATGTGGCTACTATAATGCTGGTGGGTTTGTCTCTTTACTACTGTATATTTTAGAAAGGTTCACTGTACTTAACATTTGTTATGATAGGCAGCGGATATGGCTAAAGCTCAGTAAGGTCAATATTAACTGAAAATATAGCAATCAAAGTCTAGATCTTCTGCTGAAGACACATGAAGCAGAGACCTTTCAGGTGAGAGCCCCTCTGGTGGTGTTCAACATTAATGACAAGGAAACAAAGCTCTGGTCAGAAGCATTTTTTATAAAAAGCTTTAACAAAATTAAGTATTTCTGTACATTTTGAATGCAATCTAACTTTCCAACTCAGAAAACGAAAAACGAAAAAGTGCCAAAAGTCTTCTCACATGGCTGAGCTGCTTTGCAATATACTTCACCACTGAAGAATACAAATATGTATAAAGTAAACTATGATGCAATCTAACTTTCCAACTCAGAAAAATGATAAAGAGCATGAACAAAGAACATGTAAAAACAAATGCAAAATTTGCACAATCTAAAATGAGAAACTGTAACTGCAAGTAACAAAGTCTGAGCCATGGTAAAGAGTTACATTGAACACCAAGCTGATCAGATAACTCCCTGGTTGGTCTGAAGTCCTTCTATCTCCAGGATCTGTACAAATCGGCACATTATGCCAAAAGTCTTCTCACTGGGTGAGCTGCTTTGCAATATACTTCACATTGTTAGAAAAGGCTCCAGAAGGCCTTGGGGACATCAGTATCAGGGGCTGGAGCTGGACTGGACATCAGCACTTCTCCTTCCCTTTGCCAGCCAGGACCTCACATACTGTTCCGGATTGAACTGTCCTAGTGATGGTCCATTACATTTAATGAAAACCAGGCTGGACAGTCGGCTGACAGAGAGAGCATTCCTTTTTGCAGTAAGGATATCGTTCATGCAGCTGAATGCCCGCTCACACTCACTAGTGGAGACAGCGATGGTTCGGACTGCTTTCAGTAGAGGCTCCATGGCAGCAGGTGTACGGGATGCCCTGGTTTCCTTGTATTCGCGAAAGCCCTGAACAGTCTCTCTTCTGTCCACTTTCAGCACTTCGCACAAACGTAACACCTCTACGTCCCCATACTGTACGTCTAACTCCTCTTCAGGCCAACTTCCAGGATGGATAACTTTCATGTCCTGGATTAGCTGATTGTCCCGGGCCTCCCGGCCATGTAATGGGATTTCTCTTGTGCTGACATGAGAGGAGGTTGTGGAAGTCATTATGTGTCTCAGATTCTCTACCATACTGCGGAAAAACTGACCTGCATGAATCTGTACAAGCCTGCCATTCTCACGCAGGGCAACACCCTTGAAGGACTTCTCAGCTAGAGCTGTATGAACTGTAGTCATGTGTGGGCCAGGCATGGTGACCATGGATTCAAAAACTCGTATTTCTCGAGTTAAGAGCCTATCTGCTGTAGGCAGTGTCATCTCTCTTTTTTGGAGTTGCCGAGAGAGGTCGCTGAGCTCTGTGAGCGCATCGTACATCAGTCCCAGATTGCTGACAAACGTTGCAGATGTGAGCACATCATCCAGGCCCTTGTACTTTGCTCTGTCTCTGGAATCCCTGCTCGTGTCGTTTGCAGCATTTGTGAAGTGATCATGAAGCACTCGGTAGTTTTCCCAGACTGCTCTGACGCTCCTTTCACTTGAAGCCACCCAGTGGATGGACAAAACACGCCCTATCACCAGGAGACGCTGTCCGACTGCTTGCGCACACTGCGCTAACTGCCTCTGATTTTTGGGGGAGGCATGGAACAAGGAATAGATTTTGTCAAAAAAGATCTGGAAATGATTGAGCCCTGAGACCTCCTTGACCACATCCCCAACTGCCAGCTCTAGACGATGATTGGAGCAGTGCCACACAAACAGGCTTGGGAATTTACTACACAACTGGGTAGCAACGCCTGTTCTCTTCCCTAGCATGACTGAAGCCCCATCACATGCAAAAGAAACGAAACACTGACCTAAAAAGTCCTCGTTAAAATCTCTTCCAAGACACTCCATTAACGCCTTTGTGATGTCATCAGCCGTTGTTCCATCCAACTCGATCAGCTCCCAAAAAAACGTTTCGGGCTCAGCATCAGCTAATGCTGAGCGTAGACACACAACAAGCACCGTTTTACCACTAATAGTGGTAGATTCATCGACCAAAACACAGAGTTTTCTTTGGTTTTCTGTAATGTCTTTTGCCATTTTTTTCTTCAGCTCATGAGCTATGTGGTCGATGATTTCGCCACAGGTTTTATTGGAGTGCAAAGCCCTGCCCACGTTCAGCCCATTCAGTTTCTGTACATTCAAATCAATTGGCATGTCTGTGAATGGCCGGCTATGTTTGCCAATTTTATATGCCGTTCGAAAAACTCTGATAGTGGTGTCTAATTCAGATTTATGCATAGACTGCACTTGATGTTGAATAGTTTCACGTGAAGCAGATGTAAGGATGTCAGCAGCTTTTACATGGGCTTGTGATTCTTTATGTTCTTTGATTTTTTTTCTCAGGCTAGCTTGTTGTTTGCCCTTGTCAACACCGAAATGAGACACTGCACACTCACCCCATTCAGTTGACAGTTTCAGTCCTTGTCCAGTGTGTATTCCCAAAGATTTGACATCTCTGCATATCCGACATCCTAGCTTCTTATCTTTAAGAAGGAGCCATGCATTGGTCTTGCAAAAATATTGCACCTGGTCCGTTGTCCAGCAGTCAGGTGCATCGCTTTGCCCGGTGTTGGTGGTGGCAGTTGCGCCAGCAGCAGCTAACGTTAGAGGCTCTGGAGGAGGCGGCGGAGCTAGTGCTAATGCTAATGCACTAGAACTTGGAGCAGGAGGATCAACC